CCTATCAGGGATGGTCTAGATGATACTTCGTCCTGCCTTGAGTGCAGGGGACTGGACTAGATGATCTTTTGAGTTCCCTTCCAGTTCTATGATTTAGATGATAACCTCTTTTTAAATTGTAAGATCTTTGAAGCAGGAACCTTACCTTCAAGCTTGTCTGAAAAAAAGGATTTCTGGTGCTTTCTGGAAAAAAAAATTGATAAAATAGTCTGGAGATAATGAAAAATTCGTTGTTTCAGGAAACTTTTAAAAATGGTTTTGCAGACTGCCTAAACATAAATTTTCCTCCATGAGAAAGTCAAGCTTTTGCCTGATATGCTTGAAACTATACTGCTACCTGCTGGCTTAAATGGAGACTGGAAATGATGCTACATTCTATTTTGATACATTGTTTTAAAAAAATGAAACTTTGCTGTTGGAACACTATTTGAAGTTCTAAAGAAAGAATATAGTTTGAAAACATACTGAAGCATTTAGGACCAGATCTCCTTCCCCTACTGCCCCCTGAAGACTACTTCTCCTCCTGTGGCCATGCAAGAACCAAAGAGGACAGCGGAAGGGGGAAGAAAAGGAAATAGCTCTTGAAAGACTGCCTTGAGAGCCTCCGCACTCCTGCCACCATAGAGCAACGGTCTGTGGTGCAGTGTGCAGGCATGTGGGAAATGGGACGTGGCCAGGTTACAGGATCCATGACTGTATAAAACCACTAGCTAAAGTAATCTCTTAGGGATGTAGAGGGTTGAAAGATGCTGTCGTAGAGGCTGTGGATGTAATAGTGTTGCAGCCCCTGCCATTGGCTAAAAGGGGAAGAGTCTCTTCACCCTCCCATATCTCCTCTGATCAAACTTTTGTTTGAACTTTGTGCAGCAAATCAATATTTGGTCCCCATATACAGTAATGATACACGTCAATGCATTGAGCTAGGGGGATGTGTCCATTGGGGTGCTGAGGAGACTGGGGATAGGGCCAGTCTTGGTCATCTGAAAGATAGGCAAACAGAATGTAAATTAATTTGCATATAATGGAAATGAGTTATGAACACTAGTGAGGGCAGGGGGAAAAAAAAATACAAAATGTACCTATGAAGGTTAGAAATATGAGCAGGAACAAAAAGAGCCAACCTGCACAAAAATTATCTGAAACACAGCTATCTGATTGAAGGAAGGTGGAAGTTTTAAAGTAGTAATTCTGATACAGACTTGCTAATAATAGTGGAAAGAAAAATATTATATTGAAAGTTGTAAGAGTGCTTGTCACTGGGGAAGATGTGGAGAAAGACAAGTCCTTGTCCCAAATATTTTACAATTTGACAGACAATACAGTTCACAAATACAATATATTCTCTGAACAGATGAAGGTCAAACCTCAAAATGGCACAGAATTTTGTTTTAAATACGTATTTTGGTAGATCATCATCTTTGAAAGGAAGAAGTCTAATTTTCCCCAGTATTTTGTTTTCAGATAGTCTTCAGACATTGAGACACTGCGATGATCATGAAAATACATCAGCTAGATAAATAAATTCAGCCAGCTACAGCTGGTGTCTCTGGCATATCTGAGTGAAATGCAGAGCTGAAGGAAAGGGGCTAGAACAGAGGAGCCAGCAAAAAAAACAAAAACAAAACAAAAAAACAAAACTAAAATTGTATCCTGTCATCAAATATAGCATTTCCTCTATTCACAGAACTTAAATTCAATTTTAGCAGCTTACTGAGAAAAGTTTTCCCTGTGTTGATTCTCTTTTCCTTCCTTATTCTGGTCCTTAAATGGAGGTCTCGGACCAAAGGAGTTAGGAACCTAAATACCTTTGAGGATCTGGTCCAAAGTGTCTAAGATTCGCTGTTTGGCTTTTTTAGTCTCCAGAACAACAGTAGCACAATACTACGTGGGAAGGTGCATTTGGATGGAAACAGGCGAAAGTCTGTTAAATATGAGATGAGTTAGTATGGCACAGTCATTATCCAAAAAGAAAAGGAGTACTTGTGGCACCTTAGAGACTAACCAATTTATTTGAGCATAAGCTTTCAAGAGCTATTTGTGTACACATCAAATCCAGCCTGATTATCCATCATTATCCAACTGCCACTTACTTGCATCGGGCTAAATGTTGTGGTCCTTATTCAGGCAAAATTGCTGTTGATTTCAGTGAGAGTTTTTGAGTAAGAACTCCAGTATATGATCCATTATATTCAGTCTGGGGCCAAATACTTACTTCCCAATTCAGGAAAGCATCGCTATTCAGGACAGTATTAGAATATGTGCTTAACTTCCTTTGAAATCAAGAGGATATAAGCACATTTAATTTTAAGTATGAGTTTAAGTGTTGCCTTGAATAGGGATGGACATAAGTAGATGCTTAAGTGCTTTCCTGAATCAGAGCCAAATCCCCTGTGATAAATAAAGGGAGGAACAGCTCCCTTTGATGGACACCAAGCCAGCCAGTTAGCTGTAAAATCCCTCTTGGTAGCTGTTCTTTACTTGCTTTACCTGTGAAGGGTTAAAAAGTCCCCCAGGTAAAGAAAAACAAGTGGGCACCTGACCAGAAGAACCCATGGAAAGGTAGAACTTTTTAAAATTGTGAAATAAACTAACTTCCCTTTGTCTGTTGTTCTCTGGGCTGGAGGAACGGAGCAGCCATTCTATAAGCAACTTAAGCCAGGTATGATGATAAATCATCAGATCATGCCTAGAACTACTTATCTGAACTCCAAATGTGTTAAGTAGATCAGAATGTTTAGCTAGACGCAATTAGGGTTATTTCTTATTGGCTTGTGGACTCCTCTGTGTTAACCCCAGATGCTTTTGTTTGCTTGTAACCTTTAAGCTGAACTCCCAAGAAAACTATTTTGGGTGCTTGATTTTTGGAATTTCTCTTTTAAAAATCTAGCAAAAGCCTAAGTTCCAGATGTATTTTCTTTCTTTTTGTTTTTAATAAAATTTACCTTTTTTAAGAACAGGATTGGATTTTTGGTGTTCTAAGAGATTTGTGCATGTTGTTTGATTAGATGGTAGCCACAACTAATTTCCTTTGTTTTCTTTCTCAGCTCTTCCCCGGAGCAGGGATGAAGGGGCTTGAGGGTACCCCACAGGCAGGAATTCCCAAGTGCTCCTTCCTGGGTTCAAAAGGAGTTTTGTTGCATTTGGGTGGTGGAAGCATTTACCAAGCCAAGGTCAGAGAAAACCTGTAACCGTGGGAGTTTAATACAAGCCTGGAGTGGCAAGTATTAATTTTTAAAATCCTTGCAGGCCCCACTTCTGCACTCGGATTGACAGAGTTGGGATTCAGTCTGGACATCCCCCCTATGAAGGCATAAGTAATTCTCCCTGAAAAAAGTAATAAAAACTTCAGGATTGCAATTAAAAAATAATTAAGGTTCCAATTAAAAAATAATAGTGTTTTTTCATATGCTGTTATTAAAGAAACTATGTCAAGGGTTACAGGGTGCTCAATGTCCTACTCCTGAAGCATTTCCCCATAAAGCATCATTGATGGCAATACAAAGGTAGGGAGCTGCAATTATAGCTATTCAATAGGAGACAAGGATGGAGGATGGGAAGAGAGGGCCAAGGAGGACAAAGTCAGCTGAAGCCTATGCACTAAGAAACTGATCCTCAAGGCATTAAGAAGCCACTTTCAAAACACTGGCCCTTATTGGACTACTTTTAAACACCTAACCCAAGATTTTCAAACCTGACTGACTAGAGCTCATCACCCAAGCCATACACATCTAAATGAGTAGCCTGATTTTCAACAGTAGCAAGCAACCACAGCTCCCCATCTATTCCTCTAGCAAAACAAATAATACTTTTGTAACAAGAAAACCCCATACTAACTATAATGTTGATACTAGTGAAAGTTAGTCACATGTGTAACTGCACAATTGGGCCCTTAGTGGTCTATTTTAATATAGTAATAATTTGGTATAGTCCCCCCCCCATTTTTAGTAAGTTGGGAGTGACAGATTCCCAACCAGTTTGACTACACTTGTATCCCCAATGAACTATTGTGTGCATTTACCCCACCTCCCAAATATTCTTAAATACTTTTGTACCTACTGCATTTTTCTCCCCAAACAAAATTAATAACAAACAACAGAATAATGATTATGATGATTTGGGCGTCAATCCAGCACTGAAATCCACACAAAGCTTTGTCCATGCAAAGCTCATTGCACAACTGGGGGGGGGGGTTGTATGCCTCCGTTAATATTTTACACAGGAAACAAAACAACACGAATAGTTTTGCATCTACCCCTCCCCCTCTCCGATATATCTTAACACGGCTATGGCCGATTCCCGCTCCGCCGCCAAACCGCTCTACTCGCGGTTCTGTATCTAGGCCAGCCCCAAGTGCGCGCGGTTCCCCAGAGGCGCGCCCGCAGGCAGCCGTTGGAATGGCCCTGACGTTACCCGCTCAGCTGCGCGCGGCAGGGGAGGAGGGAGCGAGGCTCCGGACTCCAGCCCCCACAATGCCTCGCACGCAGGCGGAGCCCCTCCCTTAGTGTAAGGGGAGCTCATTGGCGGGAGGGCCCGAGCCTTGGGGGAGCCTATCACCTCCCGTCTCATTGTGCGGTGGCAGTAACCAACGTACACACACCCGGACTCCAGGCAGCAGCGCCGGTCTCCCTCCAGCCGCGCTGTCTCCTCGGGTGGTTCGCCGCATCCCGCGGGTGTAGAAGGGGAAGGGCCATGAACCTGGGGTAAGCAGGGCAGGGCCCGGCTTTCGACTCCTCTGTGCTGGGCGTGTCTGTCCCCATGGCCTGGTTCTCCATAATGACCCACTCCCCAGAGCCGGACAGGGCTGTGCTTCGCCCCGCGTGCGGCTAACGGGCTTCCACAGTCAGGGCCAGGGCCTGCAGCACGTTGTAACGTAAAGTGTGCGACGTGACGTGTCGGCGCCTGGGTTTGCCCGGGCAGGTGACGTCTCAGAGACGCCGCGGTAACGTGTAATGTGCCCGCCTCCCTCCAAGAGTCCATGTTTTGTTTACTCGTTGTTCAGTGGGTTGCTCTGGGTACTTTATTCTGTGCCTCACAACTCGGTGTGGCCAGTCCGTCCCTAGAACTGCTGCTAGTGTAGGCCCGTGGCGTGTTACAACAGGTAGTGACTATTGGAAGTAAAACATGATCCCTGTGCATTCCGCTAGGTAAGGGAAGGGTTCTGGCTTTTAGCTGTCAGCCTTTACTCCCAGTTCTTCCAGCTAGGATTTTCACAGGTGTTGCGCCCTCCCCCCCCCATTAGTGATGCTTCAGTGGTCAATTTATGCATACTCTAATAATTTCACTTTACCTTGTCTCAGTATTAGTGGCTCCAAGAGTTCAAAAATTATGATTCAGGCCTCAAATATCATGATCTTAGCATAAAAACAATTAAGTTTAAAAAAATGTTTTTTTATTTACCTAGTAATGTTCGAGCATTTAGGGTTCATGTTTTCAGGCTTTTCTATGCAACTATGAGGGCTAGAAAGCTAAATTATTATTATTTTTAAATGAAAGCTAAGATTCACAGATTATCCAATTCTGACAGCCAAGAAAAATACCATGAATCAAAAGAGCTGACAATACTCCTTCCTTAATATTCGGATTAATATCTCAAACTATTTTTGTTTTTCATTTTCAATAAGAACTAGGATTTCAGTAAAATAGAGTTCAGACACTTAAATGTAAGATTTAAAGAAATTTTTTTAACTCTTTAACATTGATTTCCATTCCCTGGAGGTCTACCCGGTGTTTTTCTTTCTTTCTCTCTCTCTCTTTTTTTTTTTTTGGAAGAATCCTCTCTCACGACAGTATGGGGTGTGTTAGAATATGAAGAAAATTTAAATTTTTATTTAAAGGACAGTGAAGTACTGTTTTTAAAATGTTTTCCTCCCCACAGTTGTTTCCATCTCTCAGGCTTCTTGGGTGCTGAAATTAACATGGTTTATATTGTTTAACATACCTTTCTTTAGTTCACCACTTTATCAGTTATCCCATTACCCATCTCTTGGACCGGGTCAGAAATCAGACATGACAAGGTATGAGTATATTGAAAGATGTCAGCCCAACTTAGATATATATTGAGATGATGTACAGGCTTAAAAGCACCAGCACTTGAATAGTATGGCTATCTCCCAATATTTGCGTATTTATAAGAAGCAATTGCTTAAGTTTGTATTTAATATAAACATAGCTCATATCACCTTTTCATATTCTAAGTGTCTTGAGACCACCTCTCTCCTTGTGCTGTAATCTCACATACTTTGCTGATGATGATTTCAGGTACAGAAGAGTTTAGCTGTTTTTGTTATTGTTTTACAGAGATGGATTAAAGCTTGAAACTGAAATTTTGGATGGAAAACCTAGGCTAATTTTGGCTTCATATGGTATGATTTTATTATGTATAATCATTAAGTTCAGTAATCTCTAATACACTTTAAATCTTCTTGAAGATATCTTGTTATAAAGGGTATGGTTAATTTTTTTTAAGTATTAATGTTTTGTATAGTGATGTGAAAGAACTATTCAAGATTTTGATGAAATATTCTGTACATTGTTATTTATGGGTCCTAATATTCACCAAAATGGTACTGGCATGGGTTGGTATTTGTCTTTCCATAAATCATGAATTGCCAGCTATATGTACTGTCTGACAATAATGGTTATGATCATCACAAATATTGATCAATTGGCAAAGTCTAAGGTAGTCTCAGCTCAGCTCTCAGCAGTCTTTTGGCTCTTGTGCGTCCAGAGATAAATTGACCATTCTATATAGATTGACCTGATTTGAGGAATACTTCCATATCTTTACAATGCTGTATTTAAACAGAGGGAGCATGTTAAAAAAAAAAAGGTTTTGTAAATGTAGTTCCTTCTAAGTTGCAAGGCACTGCAGCTTTCTCTGCGGTTTGGAATGAGTTACTAACCACAGGATAAAACTCTGTGAACATTTTTACTTTTAAAAACCTATTTAGGCTACCTCTCATTCTTGCTGCTGAGATGCAAAAATCTCTTTTCCAGTATTTGTTCATTATTAAATGGCTTGAATGGAAAGCATTGCTTTTGCTGTAATAACCCAGCATCAAAGTATATGATCGTATTACTGTTAAGCAGTACTGGGAACAATTCTGATTTCTTGACGGGTCAGCTAGCCATATTGCTGATTAGCACACGTATTAGTCAAAAAAATATAAATGCAGGATGTCATAAGTGGAGTGGACAGTAGCACAAGTAAACCCAATAAATTGTGCAAGTCATTCATAAATAAACCCTAAATCTGATGTTCAGAATAAAACACTGATATTTTATAATTATAAATATAAATATTTTATATTTTAAATCTCCTTTCCCAAAATCTCCCAGGGTTCACTACATAGCTGCCAGAAGCCTGAAGATCTCTGCCTTTTCCCCTCTCTTTAAAGCCATCTTTCATCTTCCAGATTCTGCATTTACCATATTTTTGTCCAGGGAAGACTTTATGGGATTACTTTCTGAGCCAATCAATGCCAGTCAGTCTGCTATAGACATTGTTAACCACTTTAGCACGCTTCCCTCCTCTTCTCTCTTTTTCCTTCTGGACTGTAGATGATACATCTGGCAATCTCCCCCCTTTATGGGCCTCAGTGATGGATTGGAACCAGTAGTCACCCCAGAATGCTCTCACAAAGCAAGATAGCAAAGACTGGACTGGCATTAAATTAAAAAAATAAAATACAAAATCTTGTCCAAGAAAACTATTTTTATAAAGTTCATGAGACTGATGTAAAAACAGCAGTGATATTCAGCTGAATTGTATCAGGTTACATTTATGAATTTATTTCCTATACAATATTAAAATTTCCAAACAGCAGTGAGACTTTAATCAGGAACATCTTGTGGTGGCTTAAGACACCCAGTTTCAAAGAAATTATTGTCTTTTACACAGTAACGGTGGAGAGAATAAGCCATTTAAATGAAAAAGAAAATGAGATTGTAGAGTCAGAAATAGAGGCAGGGAGATTCAACGTCAGGCATACTGGCTAAAGCTACTTTGAATTCATTATTTTTAAACTGATTAGATTTCAAGAAACTGTAATGGTGCCCCTAAACAGAGGATCTTTACTTATCCCTCATGTAGATGCAAGCTGTACTGCAGTTTCTCTTGCTGTCTGAGTAATCCTCTATCCAAACCATAGATGCCACCCTTTCACTGTAAAAGGAAGTCCACAGTAAAACAAATACTTACCAAAGGGGTCTTTCAAGGGGATGTTTTAGCTCCTCACTGGAGAGATACTGTTAGCAGCCCTACTCTGTACAGATCTCCCTCTTATGAAGCAGAACAGCATCACAAAAAATCCTACTCCCTTCAGTTTCTCACTGTTATGAGGGCAAGGACCTTATACTTCTGCCTCCTCTCCCAGCACTCCTTGCTATATAGCCTGTTATGCCTGTAGACTCTCTGAGAACTGCAGTTTCTGCTTATTTGGTTCTGAGTTGGTGAGCAGAGCCCACCAGGACAACAAACTCCCTCTTCCCCCGCCTCCCCTCCCCCCCCTCAAGTAAGGGAAGAAGCCACAGAGCCTACTGGGAACTATGATCCCAAAATACCTTAATTTCAGGCTGAAACTGAAAACAGGGCAGTGCTGAACTTGGGGCCTGTCCTTAAGGGACAGCATACCTGCTTACAGGGCCTTAGGAGCATAAACATTAATGTAAATACAAATGTAAGGATATTTATCTAAAATGGGAAATCATTATCAATGAGGTTGTTTCCACTGGGGTCCCACAAAGATCTGTCCTTGACCTAGTGCTATAAACTATCTTTATCAAGGATCTGGAAGAAAATGTAAAGTCATTGCTGGTAATATTTATACATGAGTAGGGCCCTACCAAATTCACAGCCATGAAAAATGTGCCACAGACTGTGAAATCTGGTCTTTTGTGTAGATTCATAGATAGATTCATAGATATTAAGGCCAGAAGGGACCATTATGATCATCTAGTCTGACCTCCTGCACAATGCAGGCCACAGAATTTCACCCACCACTCCTAAAAAAGACCTCACACCTATATCTGTGCTATTGAAGTCCTCAAATTGTAGTTTGAAGACCTCAAGGAGCAGAGAATCCTCCAGCAAGTGACCCGTGCCCCATGCTACAGAGGAAGGCGAAAAACCTCCAGGGCCTTCCAATCTGCCCTGGAGGAAAATTCCTTCCCGACCCCAAATATGGCGATCAGCTAAACCCTGAGCATATGGGCAAGATTCATCAGCCAGATACTACAGAAAATTCTTTTCCAGGTAACTTGGATCTTACCCCATCTAAAAACCCATCACAGGCCATTGGGCCTATTTACCATGAATATTTAATTACCAAAACCATGTTATCCCATCATACCATCTCCTCCATAAACTTATCGAGTTTAATCTTAAAGCAAGATAGATCTTTTGCCCCCACTACTTCCCTCGGAAGGCTATTCCAAAACTTCACTCCTCTGATGGTTAGAAACCTTCGTCTAATTTCTAATCTAAATTTCCTAGTGGCCAGTTTATATCCATTTGTTCTTGTGTCCACATTGGTACTGAGTTTAAATAATTCCTCTCCCTCTCTGGTATTTATCCCTCTGATATATTTATAGAGAGCAATCATATCTCCCCTCAACCTTCTTTTAGTTAGGCTAAACAAGCCAAGCTCCCTGAGTCTCCTTTCATAAGACAAGTTTTCCATTCCTCGGATCATCCCAGTAGCCCTTCTCTGTACCTGTTCCAGTTTGAATTCATCCTTCTTAAACATGGGAGACCAGAACTGCACACAGTATTCCAGGTGAGGTCTCACCAGTGCCTTATATAACGGTACTAAAACCTCCTTATCCCTACTGGAAATACCTCTCCTGATGCATCCCAAGATGACATTAGCTTTTTTCACAGCCATATCACATTGGCAGCTCATAGTCATCCTATGATCAACCAATACTCCAAGGTCCTTTTCCTCCTCCGTTACTTCTAGTTGATGCGTCCCTAGCTTATAACTAAAATTCTTGTTATTAATCCCTAAATGCATGACCTTACACTTCTCACTATTAAATTTCATCCTATTCCTATTACTCCAGTTTACAAGGTCATCCAGATCCTCCTGTAGGGTATCCCTGTCCTTCTCTAAATTAGCAATACCTCCCAGCTTTGTATCATCTGCAAACTTTATTAGCACACTCCCACTTTTTGTGCCCAGGTCAGTAATAAAAAGATTAAATAAGATTGGTCCCAAAACTGATCCTTGAGGAACTCCACTGGTAACCTCCCTCCAACTTGACAGTTCACCTTTCAGTAGGACCCGTTGTAGTCTCCCCTTTAACCAATTCCCTATCCACCTTTCAATTTTCCTATTGATGCCCATCTTATCCAATTTAACTAATAATTCCCCATGTGGCACAGTATCAAACGCTTTACTAAAATCTAAGTAAATTAGATCCACTGCGTTTCCTTTATCTAAAAAATCTGTTACTCTCTCAAAGAAGGAGATCAGGTTGGTTTGGCACGATCTACCTTTTGTAAAACCATGTTGTATTTTGTCCCATTTACCATTGACTTCAATGTCCTTAACTACCTTCTCCTTCAAAATTTTTTCCAAGACCTTGCATACTACAGATGTCAAACTAACAGGCCTATAATTACTTGGATCACTTTTTTTCCCTTTCTTAAAAATAGGAACTATGTTAGCAATTCTCCAATCATACGGTACAACCCCTGAGTTTACAGATTCATTAAAAATTCTTGCTAATGGGCTTGCAATTTCTTGTGCCAATTCTTTTAATATTCTTGGATGAAGATTATCTGGGCCCCCCGATTTAGTCCCATTAAGCTGTTTGAGTTTCGCTTCTACCTCAGATATGGTGATGTCTACCTCCATATCCTCATTCCCATTTATCATGCTACCATTATCCCTAAGATCCTCTTTAGTCTTATTAAAGACTGAGGCAAAGTATTTGTTTAGATATTGGGCCATGCCTAGATTATCCTTGACCTCCACTCCATCCTCAGTTTTTAGCGGTCCCACTTCTTCTTTCTTTGTTTTCTTCCTATTTATATGACTATAGAACCTTTTACTATTGGTTTTAATTCCCTTTGCAAGGTCCAACTCTACTTGACTTTTAGCCTGTCTCACTTTATCCCTACATATTCTGACCTCAATAAGGTAGCTTTCCTTACTGATCCCTCCCTTCTTCCACTCCCTATATGCTTTCTGCTTTTTCTTAATTACCTCTCTAAGATGCTTGCTCATCCAGCTTGGTCTACAACTCCTGCCTATGAATTTTTCCCCTTTCTTGGGATGCAGGCTTCCGATAGCTTCTGCAGCTTTAATTTAAAATAATCCCAGGCCTCCTCTACCTTTAAACCCATAAATTCTTCAGTCCAATCCACTTCCCTAACTAATTTCCTTAATTTTTGAAAGTCAGCCCTTTTGAAATCAAAAACCCTAGTTGCAGATTTATTTTTGTTAATCCTTCCATTCAGTTTGAACTGAATTATCTCATGATCACTTGAGCCAAGATTATCCCCTACGACCATTTCCTCTATGAGGTCCTCATTACTCACCAAGACCAAATCTAAAATGGCATCCCCTCTAGTCGGTTCAGCAACTACTTGCTGAAGGAATCCATCAGCTATCGCATCTAGGAAAATCTGAGCCCTATTATTATTACTAGCACTCGTCCTCCAGTCTATATCTGGGAAGTTAAAGTCTCCCATGATCACACAGTTTCCATTAGTATTTACTTTATTAAAAACATTAAAAAGGGCTCTATCCATATCCAAATTAGATCCCGGCGGTCTATAGCACACCCCAAGCACTATCCCAGGGGAGGCTCTAATAGTTTTCTTCCCCAATTTAATTGTTGCCCAGACAGACTCAGTCATATCCATTTCATCGCTTCTTATTTCTTTACATTCTATCTCATCATTGATATAGAGTGCTACTCCACCACCTTTACCTTTATTTCGGTCTTTCCTAAACAGCACATACCCTTCAATACCTGTAGCCCAGTCATGACTACTATTCCACCAGGTCTCTGTTATACCTATAATATCTGGTTTCACTTCCTGCACCAGTAACTCTAGTTCCTCCATTTTATTACCTAGGCTCCTTGCATTAGTGTACAAACATCTTAATTTTTGCTGTTTGGCCTCACTCACATTCTGTACCCTATTAGGCACGGTTATTTTACTACCAGTATAACCTATTAGACTTGTATCTACACTGCCCTTCCTCCTACCTACAGCTGTATCCACTCTTACTTCATTTTCTTTCCACTCTATGCTAAATTCTGGCGTGGAGATTACCTGGACATCTCCCAACCATCTCCCCCAAATTCCTAGTTTAAAGCTCTCTTAATCAGTTGTGCCAACCTCCATCCTAGTACTTTTACTCTATACTATACAGATTTCATGGGGGAGACCAACGTTTCTCACATCGGGGGTCTTGACTCAAAATGGAGTTGCAGGGTGGTCACAAGGTTATTTTATGGGGGTTGCAGTATTGCCACCCTTACTTCTGTGCTGCCTTCAGAGCTGGGCAGCAGGAGAGTGGTGGCTCTTGGCTGGGTGCCCACCTCTGAAGGCAGCGCCCAGCCAGCAGCGGTGGAGAAGTAAGGGTGGCAATACAATACCATGCCATCCTTACTTCTGCTCTGGTGCTGGTGGTGGCTCTACCTTCAGAGCAGGGCTCTCAGCCAGCAGCCGCCACGCTCCAGCAGCCTGCACTGCTCTGAAGGCAGCGCTGCTGCCAGCAGCAGTGCAGAAGTAAGGGTAGCAGTACCGCAAACCCCCCCCCCCCCGCCCCCAATAACCTTGTGATGTCCTCCCAACTCCTTTTTAGGTCAGGACCCCTACAATTACACCACCAGAATATTTCACATTTAAATAGCTGAAATCATGAAATTTATGATTTTTAAGATCCTGTGACCGTGAAATTGGTAGGGCCCTACACATGAGACAAAAATTACCGGAGTGGTAAATAGTGACGGGGACAGGTCAGTTATATAGACAGCCCTGGATTGCTTGACAAGATGGACTCATTTGAACATATTTTTAAAGACATACAAATGCAAGGTCATACGTCTAAGAACAAAGAATGTAGGTCTCACTTACAAGCTAGAGGCCTGTATCCTGGAATGCCGTGACACCAAGAAGAACTGTAGGGGTAATAGGAGTAGATAATCAGTTGAACATGGGATGCTGTAGCTAAGAGGACGAACACCATCCCTGGATATATAAACAATGGAATATCAAGTAGGAATGGGGACATGATATTACATCTGTATACAGCATTAGTGAAACCATTACAGTAATGTCGTATTCATTTCTGGTGTCAGCACTTCAAAAAGTATGTTGAAAAATTGGAAAGGGTTCAGAAAAGAGCTACCAGAATAATTCAAGGTCTGGAAAACATGCTTTATAGTAAGAGACTAAAGAAGATCAATCTGTTTAGTTTATCCAAGAGATGGTTAAAAGATGACTTGATTACAGTCTGCAAGTATCTACATAGAAAAGAGATTTCTGATAAGTAGGTGGTTCTTTAAATCATTAAAAGGGCAACTTAGTATGTGGCAAGCCAGGGTGTGACTATACAGCACACTAGCCTATCAATACTAAGGGCTTGTCTACACAGTGTGGAAAAAGTGCTCTAGAGGGATGCAATTTGTAGAATGCTCTAATGTTTTGCGTTCTAACTGCCCCAAGTAGATCCTGCACAGAACTATGTTATCGCAAACTAGGTACCTTTTAGAATGGGCCAGCAGGGTCTATGCAGGGCAGTTAGAGTGCTCTACAAATCATATCCCTCTCAAGCGCTTTGCCATGCTGGGTCCTAAGTGGACCCTGCTGCTGCACACTAAGGACAAAGTATATTTTGGAACTTTTAGTGTGCTGTAGTAGGGTCCACACAGCGAGTCACTGTACAGCAAGTTAGTGCACCGTACATTCATGCCATGGATTGTTGCACACCAAGTCTTTGTGTGGACAAGCCCAAAGGTATAATGAGATCCTGTGGTTAGAAGCTGAAGCTAGATAATTCAGACTAGAAATAACGTACACATTTTTTAGAGAAAGAGGGTAATTAACCATTGGAACAGCTTACCTAGGTTTGTAACTAATTGTCCCTCAGTTGAAGTCTTTAAATAAAGACTGGATATCTTTCTAAAAGTTTACTGCATCTAACAAGTTTTTGATGCAGAAATTACAGGTAAGGTTCTTTGGACTGCATTAGGCAGGAGGTGAGACTAGATAACTATAATAGAATAATAGATTTTAAGGCTAGGTGGGACCATGACTTTCTCAGGATGTGGTTTTTAAGGAAATAATTGTTGATTATTGAATACTTTTCTCATGTGTATATTTTGTTTTATTTGTTTTACAGTGGGTAAATCAAAATCCACAGTTAAGGTAAGTGGAGTAATGATTCCTTGATTTTTAGATAAGAACCAAAAAGACAATAGTTAATATCTTTTCAAAATGTGTTTAAATAGCGATTTCTGATGTGTCTAAATATCTGTGGTCAATGTTAACTATGAAAGAATGAAGTTCCATTGTCAAAACTCATGGTAGCTGACGAAGTAGGTAGGATTAATATGATAGGTAGGATTAATATAATCCCTCTATCCCTGGAAAATACTCTGCATGCAGTATGCCTGAAACTTAGTTAACTAAGACAAATTCTCAGAACAGAGATTAAAAAAAAGACAGTAGTACAATGAACCACATTGGATAACGTTCTGATGATTAAAGTGATTAGTTGGAAGCCACAGAGACTCTGGCATCAAAGCTGGGTACTGAAACCAGATTTTCTTGAGTCTCATTCCAGTATCTTAACCACAAGGCCATCCTTACTTTTTGGATGAACTAGAAGGGAGTAAGATTTGAGATGGAGAAGCCAGAGGAGAGGATGTTTCAGTAGTTAAGGCAAGAGAGAACCAAAGCATAGATAAGTATTACAGCTGAAGGGAAACTGCGAGGGAGAGATTTATATAGTACAGAACAAAATAAGGTTTGGCAACATACTGATTTGTGGGGAGAAGAGGGGAAAAATATGCCTGGTTCCAGCAGCCAAGCTTTAGAAATTTTTAGCCATGTTGAATTTGAAGAAAAGCAACATGACTTTCAGGAAGAGATGATAAGAGTTGTCAGCCTGAATAGAGGTGGAGAGGTCAGAAGTGAATGGACAGTCATCATCAGCATAGAAATGTTAAGCAAGATCATGGGAGTAGATGAAGTCACCCAAGAACATACATAAGATACAGGGGGAGAAAGAGGGAGTGAGAATCAAGGGAGATCTCTGGGGAACTCCAGCGGAGAGGTGGAGAAGAAGATTAAAGGAACTCCTATGCAGTTAATACATATCAGCAGCCATTGTAATGAAATAGCTGCCTTGCCTTTTGTCATTCTGAAACCTTACTTAGAAACAAATTGTGCCTTCAGATGCTTGCATACAACTCCTGTTCATATCTATAAGAGTTGCACATGAGTCTTTTGAGGGATGAATTCGCCACTTACTGTGAACCATAATAGCTCAGCCTGAGATGACTTGTTCTGATTTCTATGGGTTCAAGGTTGCCTTGGGGATGGGATAGGATGGAGAAGGTGAAGAGAAATCATTTTTACTATCCACATTACTTCCTACAATTACAAGTCTGTTAGATAATACTGGTTTTAGAGTATAGATAATACTGTGGTTTTCCTTCAGTTTGCAGAAGATAGTAGTTTATCTTGGGTAAATGTGTTTTTAAAGAATACTTACCTGAAAACTGTCTCTTTCCCCAGCACCCACATCTGCCTGAGCCCTTCATACCTGATCAGATAAATGTGACTTTTAACAGGTCTAATGCCCTTGCATTTATGATGCTTACCCAGCCGGAAGACATTCATACAACTCTATCCTATGACATTATATTGAAATAATTGGGCCCACTATTTGAAAGGAGACTAGATTAGGCCTGGCATGCAAGAGGTTAAAGGAAAATTATCCTGTTTTGTTCACCAAAAGGTTTGAAATCTGACCGTTGAATGCAAATACATTTTAAATTAGTGCTTCTGATCAGAACCAGATTATTAAAATTTTATTTTGATTTTTCGCTAGCAGCAACCATAACGCAGAAGAGGGATTATTATCTCTAATACCAGCAGTATGGGACAAGTGACCATACCGTAAAACTAATTTCCATACTGTTGCTTTAGACATTCATATTCAAATTAAAAAATTAACAGTAATGCATACTTTGGAGCCAAGTCCCCTTCTCAGTTATATTAGTATTCATCTGGAGTCATTCCATTTAGTGAATTAGAGTTTCTACTAATGTAACAGAGAACAGAATTGGCTTTTACTATTTAGACATGACAGATAGAATACGTGTGCTTTTACTGCCTGAAGGAAGGAAAAGACTACGGGCACATAGTTTTATCTTTCATAGGATATTAAAGTAAATAAACTGTTATTGTTTTAGCAGATGGGTAATAAAACTAAAATCCTCAAACATCCATTGAGAACAACACAGTCTGGACATGTTCTGAAATCAACACAAAATTCCTGTGTCAAGCATGAACATATTTTAGCAAAAGACAGAAGTGGCTCAAGATGGTCAGCAATAAAAGGTGAAAAAACCTGTGTGACTTTGTCATCATCTAAAGATTCATCAAAGGAATCCTTAAATAAAAACCATGCTTTGATTATCCAAAAAGACAACACAGCTGGAATGCCGGATTTACAGAACCCTAATAAAATTGCTGTTAAAAAGCCCAAACAGAAGTCTCAAAAACCTCATATCTCAGGTGAAGATCTAAGGAACAGTTTGGTGTGTTTAACACAAGAGCAACTTGAACAGATTCTGATAACTGTAAAACAAGGAACCAAAATTGAGTCCCAGGCCCAGGAGGAAAAGCAAGAAGAAACAAGTAAGATATATATCCTGCAGCAAAAATGAAATTTTCTCTTACTGGTAGCTTTTAGAAGGTTTGTATTATGGAAATTAATCGCAGATATTTGAAATAAAAATGAAATGCTTTAACTTTGCATTTAAAATTTCGGGCAGTCTGTTGAATAATTAAATGTACAGTTTCCAAAAAAAAGTTATTTTATATTTATTAAACATCAAAGGCACTTTTTGAGTAAAAAGAAAATATTTCAACTTATTTTTAAAAGGAACATTTTCCATTATAAATTAAAAACTACACAGCCATCTCTAAGTTATTACTGTGAATTTACATACTTATTAAATTACGATTATCTTCTGATATATATTGTCTTCAGTTATGTAAAGAGTCACTCAGATGTTTTTGTTGGGAAGCTAATTTCTCCCAGGTCTGTTTTATCTAAATGTATAAATATTTACAAGTTGTTCCTCTAAACAAGAGGCTATCTCTAGACATGGAATATGATACATAATTGAAAATTCTCTCTCAAGCACATCACTCAAGGAAAGTAAATAGGAAAAGATCACAAGTGAGTAGGGATTAAAACCTCCCTCCCAGAGGATCCAACATAGTACTGTTTTGGAGCAGACTTGTTTGGGAGGGTGAGCAGAGGTAAGTGCTATATTAGGCCCTGATCTTGAAAATGTGCACCCATTTAACCTTTTGCACAAGGAGCTGATCTGGTCCACTACAGAATTCATTAGGATGCTTCATTAAGTGAGTGTTTGCGGGGTCTGGCCCTTTGACAGTTGTATACATTTGAAGATTCTCTTTTTCGTGTGTGAGTGAGAGAGAAATATTTGGAAGACTGTGGGCCCAGTTAAAAAGACCTGACTTACTTCACCACAAAATCAGTTTCATGCTCCAGCAGAAGGGGGTAATATAGTACATACTGGAACATATAATGTTGGCTTCAGTAGAGCAAGATCAGATTTCCAGCATTTGGTCCTAAGTGTGTCTGTTGAAAGTCTTAACTAACATGCCAAATATGATTATGTTCAGTGATGAGGCCACCAGTTCACTAGAAACTAGACTGAGGCCACCAGCTCATTTCAGTTGCTATGAACCTGTTCCTTGTTCAAACTAGTGACGTAGATGAGCTAGATTATTTTAAAATAAAGACTAGATTTGACACTGACAGTCTTCCCACAAGGAAGAGATACCATCACTTTTGGATCTATTCTTACTTTACTGAGAGAAGAGGTTCATATAGCCTATCCATGTGTGAGACTGTGACAGTGTCTGAGTGAAACGATCATATTGATGGGCCAAAATTAACCAGAACAAACTGATTTTCCCTTAGACCTGTAGAAAACATTAGATAATATTAAGACTATTGGGAAAAATTGATTACATATCATCAAGAGGAAGAAGAAAGCAATTTTCTTGGTTCATTCAGACATTTCCTGAGTACCTGCTACATTAATCAGAATTATACTTGCAAGTCATAAATCCAATTTGACCATGCAGGATTGAATAACTCCCATTAATGCCAATGAAAGTTATTCTTAAAGTGCATGTAGGGGTGGTTGAGTGTGTGTGTGCACATGCACGCAAGAGAATCCCATCTTTCAAATTTAGGTCCTGATCCTATAAGCCCTTTGTGTGCTGAACTCCCCTAAAGTTCCAACTGTGGATTGCTGCAGGATCAGCTCCTTAATTTTGTAGCCATAGTTGCTTTTTTAAAATGTATGTTAAGATTGAAGTTTATGAAAAAATTGATCTAACAGTTTATCAGAGGAAATATAAAAGCCAAGGTTTTTTTTATTCCTTTTTGGACTGAACACAGTATCTGTATTTCACGCTGAATTGTTACATGTGGGATTGTAGTTTGATTTCAATTAGAGCTATAGTTATATTATTGATAGCTAATTTCACATCTGGGTTAATATTTCCAAATGTGTCATTAGGAACTCTTGATTATGTTAAGCAATGGTATGTAAAAAATTCTAGTTTCAGTTTAGCTGTGAAATGGAGCAGCTGGCAAATCAGTTCAAACCAACTATTATTGCATACTGATGTATTTTCTATTTTAAATATCGTCTTCAATATTTTTGTACATTTAAGGTTTTTTTTTTTTATCCTAATACCCTTGCCTATATTTCTGGGGGGGAAAGCACCCAAACACGTTGTATATTCTCTGTTTTCTAAAGATGATTATTTTTTAGAAGTCTATTTTTGGGGTTAGAGCAAGGAAGAGTGATGGAGATAACTTCTTTTAAAGCTATTGGAAGATGTTTAATCCCCTGTGTGCCCCTGCAATAACAGACATCTTTCATCTGTTTTCCCTAAAAACAGTATCCATCATTGATTTTAGTTTCTATACTTATTTGAAATACGAGTTTAGAGTCTCCTAGCATGCATGTTAAGAGTGGTTTTCAGATCATTTTAATGACACCTTGTTATTAGTATTATTTATATCACAGTAGCACCGTGAGGTCCCAGCCAAGATCAGCGCCATTGTAATAGATGCTGTGCATATACATGTTAAGAAACAGTTCCTATCCCAAATAGCTTACAGGTTTAAGAAGGGAAAAGAAGGGTTTGGGATATTTATCCTTGCTTTACAGTTGTAGAACAGTCACAGAGGGATTAAGGGACTTGCCCAAAGTCACAAAGTAATTTGTAGGACAACTGAACCAAGGTCTCCTCAGTTCTAGTCCAATTCCTTAACCACAATGCCATCCTTCCTATCACATTCACTTATGCACAAGATAACATCTTACTGCAAACACATTTACCAGAGAGTTTGTGCCCTTAAAATAACTAGGTTATTTAAGAATATTCTAAGTAGACTCTTGGAAAGCAAAATTGCAAGCAACTCCATCAACATTTAGTGCAGAATTGAATCATTTTAGGCATTGCACTGTGTTGAAGTTATGTGGCGTGTCAGCAGGAGTCCTAGAAATCATTGTACCTCAAGGAGAGGTAATACCCTGCCAGTGCTCAGAGGAAGTGCTTCCATTGCTTAATGTCACTCCCCTGTATGTACACCCCTTCTGAGGTGTGCTACTTAGTAGTTCTAGTGTTCATGTGAGCTTCAGCTCCACTAATTTGAATTAGCCAGGTTGTACGGTTAATATAAACTATTGTACACAATGTGGAGTGACAATCTAGTGCAGTATTTATTAACATGGACATTTTACTTTGTAGGCCAAAACAAACACTCAAATATTAGCACTGCTGCTAATCAGGCCCCACAAGAGGAGAACATAATGGGATTACTCCAAAAAGCTGATGAAGTTTCATCTGTCCCAAATGAAAATAATTATGCCTCAAGCAGAAAACAAGCAGCATCTGAGCAGGCTGAACAGAAAGTTATGTATGTAGATCTGTTAATTAATCATCCAAAATACCTTTTTTTTATTCTTGTATCCTATATTAAACTTTTAATATGAATACATTAGTAATGAAATGGAACCTGAGTAGTTCCAATGTAAATTAATTGCTAATTTAAAATTAGGCACTTTGGCTTTTAAAAATAAATTAATTTTGTTTTTTTCTGCAGTAAGAATTCATGGAAACCAGCTGATATATTTAGTACCCTAGGTGAAAGAGAAGGGGATAAAATGTTGTTAGAAGCAAAGAAGTCCCAGTGGAAGAAGGAACTAGGTATGCATTAAAATATAATTTGCCATATTTATATTAAGCAGTGTATTATGTTGTAGCATTGGTCACTTAATATAGTCAAAACTTCAATTTTTTTCAAGTTATAAAGGTTTAAATCTATTGATAAGATTAGAGTTTAAAAGTGTTTTAAATATTCTCTATCAGTTTGTGTTTTTTCTGTTTGTAAAACACATTTGCTTGAGCTTCTAATTAGACTTGGCTAAAATAGCTTTTTATTTTTAAAACCTTTCCTTGTTTTGTTTCAGACAGAATTTTCATGCCTGTAGATAAAGAAGTATTCATCCTTGCACTGGTGCCTATGCCAGGGCAGGAACTGACAGGAGTCAGTTTATGACTTATCTTCCCTATGCAGCAAATACATCGCTAGTGGAGCCCTTGGAGCAGGCTAGGGCATTCCACAGAGCAGCCATAACTTTCTCTCCTGTAGCAATAGCTTTTGTGGGCCATGGCATGGTCACAGAGTGATCCAGGCACTGGTCCATCCCAATCATTCCTCTTGTCTTTAACACACCTCCTTCCTCCTCTAGTCTGGTCCTACCTGGACCTCCAGCAATAACAGCACTGAGGCTCTCTGTGCTGCAGATATTCTTCTGAGGCCTGATGTCTACCCTTTGGCTCTTTTGCTGCAGCCTCGCTGGCTCAAAGGGGCGTAGCATAGCACTGAATCTGATCCACAGGTTTCAGTTACTACTGTAGAGTCATCAGGTAGAAAGCAAACACTGTTTTGGTAGGGAGAGGGAAAGATGTAGAAAGGGATATGAATTTGGTCCCATCTCCCATTTTAAATAGACTTGTAGGAATCTATACTCAGTCCTGGCATCCAAATTCTGAACACCATTGTGGTATAAGCTTTTTTTAAAACATAACTATTGATATTTGTCTTTGAATCAATGTTTTCAGGAGAATAAGATCTTCTAAGGTTACTGGAAATTCCTAATGGAATAATGAAGCCATTAATTCCTATAGAGCAGATTTTGTTTAACCTTGATGTAAACTGTCTGGACAAAAAACCCTCCAAAATCTCCCATCATATTAATGGGTTTGATCCTGCACAGTGATACACCAGTTCTAACCTGGTGTAACTTATTTGGTTTCAGTACAATTGTACTGGCACAAAACTAACAATGAAATGAGGAGAATTCAGGGCCTCTGCTATTTCTTAAGCAACACATGCAATATTTTTGATAAATATTTTCCTGAGTCACTGATAGTCCTTCACAGTTTTATCCTCTCCCAATAAAGATTTCCAGTTGCCTCCTGTTTCCACATCCTCTGCAGCCATCTTTCTCACAGGCAGAGCCTTTCAACACTTAAAACAAATATCTGGTTAGAAAGATTAATCAGGCAAAGGCCAGTTACCCATCTTAAGCTGCTTACACTATGTTTTTTATATTACCACACTGCATATTACTCTTTTTTGAAATTGCATTTACTTATATTTACTTATTCTAAAAAAAATTGTTTTAAAGACGAACAGATAGCTTTAAAGAAGAAATTAAAAGAAACTTCGGAGCGACAGACAAAATACTACCGTTGGGAGCAAACGGATGGTGATGGTGATAAAAACCATTTGGAAAAACTGGAGACAGTTAATCAAGCTAAAGTAAGGCTAGCAAGGAACCATTCAATAAAAGCAATGTGTGTCTTAGAGAACAAATTAATTTAGTTTTTTTATAGTGCTATATTTTGTTCATATTTCAGAATTGCTCTATAAGAGCTTGTTTTCAATGTGTATCCACTGATTACTTGTAAAATCTGCATTTAGGGATAAATCCCAGCACACAGGTCATGTTACTAGGCTGTGCACTTGTAGATTCCATTTCCTCTCCCTGGTAGAAAAACAGTAGTAAAGATCTTTGTATGTCCTAACAGAGCCCTGAAGGACCCTGTATGAAGCCCTTATTGTGTGGGTGGTTGGGGTGGGGAAGTGGCCAGTGATCCCATGTCCACTCTCTCCTGCCTGTCTTGCATCAGACCCCCTCAGTGTTGCCACAGAAAGCCTATGGAGAGCTTCTTGTCAAGTGAAATCAGCCTCTTAGCCTCATACTTTGCTTATAATTTGTGACTTTGTTCATACTGTAGCTATCATTTAATTCCTACCTCTGTACTTTAATTCTGGTGTTTCTTAGTAACCTTTATTCTTAATTTGTTGACTTTTTCCTCTTTCATTGTTCTGTGGTTTGAGAAGAATAAAACAGTATAGTTATGATCAGTCAAGCAATACTTAGGTTGCTCATTAATTTTGCTGTTTAATACATTTGCCCTCTTGTGCAAATACAGTATGTAGAACCAATTAGATTAAAGGCAAGTTCAACTATAAGAATCTACATATCTAAACCAATATTTAGTTTGCGTGTCTGAGTAGGATGTATCCTCTACTAATAGAAAGGAAAACAAATTCAGTCACTCTATCTTAATCTTATCCAAGGATCTGGTACCTAATATGTCTTGACTTAGGAAGCAAGACTCTTTTTTTGAGGTTTAAAAATATAATTGCACCCTGATAAATAGGTGATAATGGCAGCCTTTTGGGAACATAACCAGGATGGACTGGGTTTAACTCTATCTATTTCATTGGACCCTGCCAAGCAGAATTCTCCAGGTTGTAGCATCTATCACCATTATGGCATATGTAGTCTTTTATCATAGAATGATAGAATATTAGGGTTGGAAGAGACCTCAGGAGTTCATCTAGTCCAATCCCCTGCTCAAAGCAGGACCAACACCAACTAAATCATCCCAGCCAGGGCTTTGTCAAGCCGGGCCTTAAAAACCTCTAAGGATGGAGATTCCACCACCTCCCTAGGTAACCCATTCCAGTGCTTCACCACCCTTCTAGTGAAATAATTTTTCCTAATATCCAACCTAGACTTCCCCCACTGCAACTTGAGACCATTGCTTCTTCTGTCATCACTGAGAACAGTCTAGCTCCATCCTCCTTGGAACCCCCCTTCAGGTAATCGAAGGTTGCTATCAAATTCCCCCCCCCTACTCTTCTCTTCTGCAGACTAAATAACCCCAGTTCCCTCAGCCTCTCCTCATAAGTCATGTGCCCCAGCCCCCTAATCATTTTCGTTGCCCTCCGCTGGACTCTCTCCAATTTGTTCACATCCCTTCTGTAGTGGGGGACCTAAACTGGACGCAGTACTCCAGGTGTGGCCTCACCATTGTCGAATAGAGGGGAATAATCACTTCCCTTGATCTGCTGGAAATGCTCCTACTAATACAGCCCAATATGCATTGGCCTTCTGGGCAACAAGGGCACACTGCTGACTCATATCCAGCTTCTCATCCACTGTAATCCCCAGGTCCTTTTCTGCAGAACTGCTGCTTAGCCAGTCGGTCCCCAGCCTGTAGTGGTGTATGGGATTCTTCCTTCCTAAGTGCAGAACATTACTTTCTTGTGTAGCATTCAGAATCGTTTGAAAGTTGTCTGTCTTGGACCCCAAGAATTGGGATTTGACTTTTTTTTTTTCTGACTTGTTGGTAATTGCATGTATGTTACATATTTTGGTAGAAGTTTCTATGAACTGCAGCATGTACAAACCTAAAGTACAAGTTACCAGTTTTTTTAAAAATGTGTTTATATTGAAATAATCAACCCCAAAAAATTAAATTGAGTATTTTAAATCACCAAGACGCTATTATTTGCAGATGACATTTCCAGCTGATTTGGGCATTGCTAGTGAGGAAAACCACATTTTTAGAACCACTTTGGTCACAGAGACTAGTGAAGTTGCACCCAGTGTTTCAAGTGGACCAACTGGACAGTCATCTAGTTTCAGTTCTCCTGACTTGCCAGCTGCCATTCGGACAGCATTTGTTTTAGGGGTAAGATTAAGTTGCATGCAGTATCTTGTCTCTAAGAAGAATTTACTGTTGTGTGTGTGTATCTGCAGTAGTTCTATTAAGCAAGCCTGTTCCAAACTTTTTTGCCCCCTATCATTTTTATTGCTGCATTTGAATCCACAGTTTACAAGGATATTGATGTTATGAGGTGTTTCTATGAAATCATGCATTTTTAGTAGATATTTTTAGAGCTGACATTAATAGGTTTGACATAAAGGAATGTACTTGATTCGTGAGTCAATCCATGTACGTATCTCGTAATGCAAAAAAGAAGGAAAATTAGGAGGTTAAATAAAATCTAGCACACATAGAAATTAACTATCACTGCGGCTATCAATAGAAATAAAGATGAATAGAGAGTTTATCATCTGCATTTTATAGTGAACATTCTGAAGACCTTGATGGGACAATTAATTTGGGCCAGATTGTATTGAAAATGAAGTTTTATTTTACGCCAGATAGAATAGCAATTTGTGAATTAATGCAGGTATTCATGAATGGCAGTACTACTTAAAAATGAGAAATGGGGGGTGATGGGAGGCAGTAAAAGACCAGTATCTGTCATTTCAGGAAGCGACACCAGTGGAGCACCCCTTTAGTGCCATGAAACAAGAACAACAGAAGAAGTGGCTTCTAGATCTGGACAAACAGAAGGAAGAGGCTAAACTACGAAAAATAGAGGAAAAACATAATTATTCAAAGGTAGCTGTAATTTAGAAGGATGATTTGGAATAAGAAAAGGTCTGTTTTTTAGCTTTCTCGTTCAATTCTGCTCAAGTGGAAGTCTATCAACAAATTGTAGATCACACAACTCTGAAAGCCTGACAATAAGCATCCACAACTCCTATTGATTTTAGTGGGAGTTGTGGGCACCAAGTACCTCTGAAAAATAAAAGCTGAAATCCTGGCTCATTCAAACTCAGTGGTAAAATTCCCATTTACTTCACTAGGAACAGGAGTTTACCCCAAGTCTTTGACATTCAGTGAGCTCTAGCTAAACAACCAGCCAGTAATGACAGAAGTAGCATTATAGCACTTTGACAGCAAAGGGACCAGAGAGTCCATTCTAAGTCAGCTCATGTGTGTTATGTCCATAGTCCTTCTGTACATTACATCAAAAGACTTACAGAAGAAAAATTCTTTCCCCAAATACCCTACTGTAGCTCTTCATATGAGTCAGACAGCTTACCTCCCTTAGGGGACAAGGAACAGTGGGAGGATTGATAAAAAAATTTCAAATTTCCTTTTTTTTCCCTGGACGTCTCGCTTCTCTTGGCTCTCTAATATAGGACTAAAGCTTTTTCTGCTTATGGGAAGTGACCCTGTGCAAGATTTTATATGGGATGTGCTATTTTCTTTAGAAGGCAAATACTAGGGAACATTTCCCCAATCCTTCCAAAAAGGCAATTCCTTCTGGAAGTTAGGAGAGTCAAATGCAAAAACTGTGTAATACACCCATGGTAGAGAGGACCCACAGTGGAAACCCTGGTTCCTTTGGCTTGTGTGGAATGCCCTTTGACAGACTAGGGCCAAAAAAAAAAAAAATCTCTAGGTGGTGGTGGGGGAAGGAAACAAGATACCTCTTCCTCAAAAACCTTAGACAGCACAATGAACAATGTACCAATGCCTGTGGCAAAGATCTTTGTGATTTGTTAAAATTCATGTTTGTGCACCTAGCATGCCGACTGCTGTCCCAGAATGAAAGTGCAGGGAGGATGGGTGTGGGCTGGTGAGAAAGAATATGAATACTTGTTCTGATATGTGCCCACAAAATATGTTTAAGAAAAGCTTTCTGTCACCCAAAAGAACTTGCTGCTACTCCTCGTTCATGCGGCTAGAGAATATCTGGGGAGCGAGACAAAGCTGCGTGGATGAGTGACTAGGATGGTAACCAATAAGCTGAGCAGCTTGTAGGACTAATGGAGGCAGTATGAAAAATAATATACATCAAGATAAGGTTGCAGAGAAAGTGATATGGAAAACCCTGTATTAGTATTAACTTATTTTATACAAGACTGAAAGATTCTTGACGAATTTAACTTTTTTACTTCCTAGTTTTTGAGTCTTGCTATTGCAAATAGCAATGCATTGTAAGTGATTTTTCACCAAAAAGATCTGGTTTCAATTTTGATCAGGGTCAGGTCAGGTCACTTTCATATGAACCAGTTTTCCTATTTGTAGAACTAACTACTCTATGTGGCACAGCACCATAATAGAGCTTTAAAAATGCAAATCCTGCTGTTTAGCTTTTATCAAAACAGAAATAAACTTTCAAAATATTTAGTTAAAAGTACTTTATATGACAATGTAACTGAGCGTATTTCCATTTTCTTTTTTGCTTCATATCTGTTTAGGCTGAGGAGCATGAGAGATGGGCAGTGCATTTTGATTCTTTAAAAAACTACCCTCGTGCTAATCCACAACACCTCATAAATGGAACATACACCAAGCAGCCTGAAAATCTTTGCCTGTCCCCTGAAACTCAGGCCCTGACTGCTGTTATTCATCCTTTTACACCTGCAGCTTTAAGCCACCTCAGACATTCAAAGGTGGAGAATGTAGAAAAAAACGTTGAGAACACTACTTCGGAACAAAGTCAAAAAGCCAGGTGAGTGCATGCCTCAATTACAGTAGTCTTCCCAATCAATTCATTTCTGGAATGTCTTTAGAAGTTAGTAAGTCTCTGAAGTAGTATTAATTTGGTATTTACTCCTCTCTTGAGGAATTTGTATGGTTCCCTACTGAAAAAGATATGTATTTCAATTATTCACTAGTAAAGTTTACCGTAAATAGCATTCTTATGTTCAATTTCATTACAGTAACTTCTTGCTTAATGTTGTAGATATGTTCCTGAAAAATGCTACTTTAAGTGAAATGATGTGAAGCAAATCCAGTTTCCCCATAAGAATTGTAAATAGTGGGGTGGGGAGAATTAGGTTCCAGGGAAATTTTTTTCACCAGACAAAAGACTTACACACAGTATAAGTGTTAAACAATTTAATTCCGTACACAGCAATGATGATTGTGATGCTTGGTTGAGGTGGTGGAGTCAGACGGTGGAAGAGAGTGGGGTATTTCTCAGGGAATGCCTTGCTGCTAAATGATGAACTAACACTTGGCTGAGCCCTGAAGTGTTAACATGTTGTTAATGTAGCCTCACGCTCTACAAGGCAGCATGAATGGAGGGAGGAGACCCCATAGACGCATGGCAGTGGCTGCAAACATTCCCTGCGGAAACTGAATGTGATGATGACCCCATGCTATCCCACTGGAGTGCACCACTCCCTCCAATTTTCGAAGTACCTGGGGGTGCGTGTGTATGTGAGACAGAGATACATTGTGTGTGTGTGTGTGTGTGTGAGAGAGAGAGAGAGAGACACAGACAGACAGACATACTGTGTGTGAGAGAGACACGTATTGCCCCCTTAAGTACGCTGACCCCACTCTAAGTACACTGCCTTTTTAAGTAGATCAGCAAGTTGAGACAGCAGCTGCTGCCAGCAAGCTGCCTCCCTAGCCCTGTGGCATCCTCCCTTGCTCTGTGGAGATGGGGTACAGGGGAAGGGGGGCACCCTGACATCAGCACCCCGCTTCCCACCCCCTGCACAGCAAGCAGGAGGCTCCCGGGAGCAGCTCCAAGGCAGAGGGCAGAAGCAGCACACGGCAGTGGGGGGAGGGACAGCTGAACTGACTGGCATTTGATAGCCTGCTGGGCAGCTGCCGCACAGGAAACTTAGGGGGGCTGCCGGCCCACGCTGGTTCCAGGCCCCCACCAACTGGCTCCTACGGGCTGTTCTTCCTGCAAGCAGGCAGCTGCCAAACAACGCTGTAAGAGAGCATTGTGCAGCTTTAAATGAGCATGTTCCCTAATAGATCAGCAACGTAACAACAAAACAACATTAACCGGGACAAAGTTAAGTGAGGAGTTGCTGTATTTATTATAGTGCAAACCTATGACAATGAATGAAAGGTACTTATTTTGATACAAAAGTCTTACATTTAAATCTTGCTGATATTTCAGAATAAAACAAAACTCTGGAATTTTTTTTTTAATTGAAAAATATTTAAATGATTCTCTTCATAGTTTTCTCCGGTCAATGACAGCTCTCTTGGATCCTGCACAAATTGAGGAAAGAGACAGGAGGCGGCAGAAACAGTTAGAACATCAGGTACAATCATGTTTTAATCTGACACAGCCTAAATGGGAAGAATGAATGAGGGTAGGTGTGGTGATGTGACTAAAGAAGGAGCCAGGGTGCCAGTACACATTGCTCAGGGGAATAGAAATTGTGACTTCTCCTTCACCAGATTACCCTGGTTAACCAGATGTGTCTCACTTACAGCAGTAGTGGGTAAGGCATAATTAATGTTTGTAAAGTGCTTTATGAGCCTCTATTATAAAACTGATGCCTCAGAAAAATAACCCACAGCATATCTTAGCTGGACTGATATTGTAGTTCCTAGTCAGCAGATGTTTAAAACAGTATGGTCCTTATTCTCATTTACACTAAGCCCCCTAATTATATTTACATCCACTGCCAGAGCAATATGGTTTATTGTGGCTGACTGGAGTCATAATATACTGTATAATACCATTATAACACCTTCCAGGCCAAACAGATGGATCAAAGTACACCAGTTGTGTTATTTCCCCCCAGGGAAACTGAAGCCTATAAAAAGTAATGAATGTGATACAATTCAGGGGCATGTGTGTACACCCTCCCATACCCTGTGAGACTTTTTAAAAATTGTATTTTTCTTCGGCATACTTTCTGCTGAATAGGTTTGCCTGCCAGAGAGCTAAGTTTCATTTATTTTGTGTGGCACAGAAAATAATATCTTTCTTATTGAACTGGATTTTTATGGAATTAGAATACAAATTACATATTTTGTAATGTATATAGGAGACATGAAATACATTTTATATTATGCACACTACTAAGTGTTAATTTTACTAAATTTTATTATGATTTTGACATCACTAGAAAGCTATAATGGCTCAAGTAGAGGAAAAGCGAAGGAAGAAGCAGCTGGAGGAAGAGCAAAGAAAATGGGAAGAACAAGAAGAAGAACACCGCTTAGCACGAGAACGAGAACTGATGCAAAAACAGTTTGAAGAGGATATGCTCAAACAGAAACAAAAGGAAGTGGGTGTTAAACCTTTACTTCGTGCACGTAAATGACAGTGTTTAATAGAACTGCCAATGCCTAATAGACTTAGAAATAAATAGTAAATACTACTATTATCTAATGCATGAGGCAAGAGTAGTGTTGAAATTCCATTTGTGACTATAGTTAAGGTTGAAAATCTTGAGATTTTTGAAGCAGTGTAGGGGATTTTGCCACACGTCTGTTAACATAAATTAATATTTAATATTTGAATGAAAGAAGTAACAGAACCCATGGGATTGATTCAAAAATGTTACCCACCGTTTTTGATTAAACTAGAAAGCCTAGAAAATTAAGTCAGCACTAATACCACCCTATTGTGAGGGGAAAAGTATTGCCTTACTCCCCCCAGCACCACCTCAAGCTTTTTTCACTTTAGAAAGGACATTGTCCACCTATTTTTCCATAATTAAAAAAGATGAATTTACTAATGTCACATGCATTAAACTGAAATCTCTCTCCTCACCAATATAATTCATTTTGTGTACTCACTAGTTTGAGGGGTTGGTTGTGGGTTTTTTTGGTGGGTGGGGGTGGTTTGAGGTCCAGGCAGTTTTCACAAAAAGACACCAAGATGGACAAAAACCTCAAATAGTTTTAAATAAAGCTGAGGAAGATAAAGTCTTAGGCAATGTTTTGTACTCAAAATAGCATTTTTAAAATTTTTAGTTAAAACAGCAAAAATTGCTTTGAACTCCAATACCGTCTGAGAATACCTAACCTGGAGTATTGGTCTGTAGCTTGATGCTTCTGAGAGACCTCACAAATGTCATGTAATGTGCTTGACTAGATGTGTCCTGTCAGGGCTGAAGTTTATTTCCCCCCAGAATAAATTTTAGTAATGTCATGTCAAAAAATCAATGACACGTTTTGGAGGTACTAGAATACTTTTTGTGAACACCACCCAACACTCCATATAAATTTTATTTCAATCTTCCGGTGGCAGAAGCCTTCTGACCGCTTGGTGGATTCAAACTTTGTGTTCTAGGGGCCCCATCCTTATCTCCTATGGACAAATGTGTGGAAGGAATAAAATTAAGATAAATGATTTAGCTGATGTTTTGAGCCACATAACTTGAGTTATTCTCCTCTTTGGAAGAGATGTTGTGGGGTTCAAGGAAGGCATTGTGCAGGTATATCTCAAGCCACATAAGGCTCCAGATTCTGTACGGAAATCAGAGGCATCCCTATAGGTCTTGGGGAGTGAGATCCTGTACAGAAGACCTGCTTCACTGCATTGCGTTACTGGACTCACCTCCCTCAAGCAGCACAGCTCCTTCGGGAAACTTATTGCCATCAGATGCTCCCCTCCGTTTACCAACATGCACTAAGAGCCACAGAGGAGACCAGACTCTGGCACTTCTTTCCACTCTGAAGTATGTAATGTGTTGAAAGGAGCTGTTACTTGGCTTCATTTCCTGCACCTTTAACCCACAGAGCCTTAAAAGTGTGAAGAAGCATCTCTGCTTGGGGAGGACTTGCTGTTTCTCTTCCATAAGTATAGGGTGCACAGTTTTCTAATACCTGCTTCTTTGCTTCCCTTCAAGTCACATGATACAGGGGGATCACAACGTAGTCTAGCTCTTTATGCTGCTACAGTGCTGGCGCTACGCTCTCCATTAGCCTCACATAAAGATCTTTGCATCGCTGTTATTTCTTTTACTAACTTAAAAAAATACCCAAATAGAAAAAATCATGAATAGATGTAAACTTATAAGGAGATTATGCAGCCCTGTTTATTTTATTCTCTGACTAAATGATCTCATGCATTTGTCTCCCTTTTTATGATAGGAAATCATGACTCTTAAAACAAATGAGCTCTATCAGACAATGCAGAGAGCACAAGAACAGGCACAGAGATTAAAACAGGAACAACGTATTCGACAGTTGGCTCAAAAAGGACATGACATTTCAAAACTGCAGAAGAATCTTGGTGGTGGTGGTGGCGGCAGCGGCAAGTACCAACTTTAATATATTTCATTTTATTTTTGGAGGGTTTGCATGAGCTGTGGATCCTATTTTTGAGAAAAAACATCCTGTCAGTCTAGACATTGCTCTTTGGCTTCAGAAACTGAACAAAACTTCTATCCTTTTAGTCAAGTATCTCAAAAAGTTAAACATATATAATGTTAATCAAGCCTCAAACACCAAGCAGCATTATCCACCTTTTATAATGGAAGAAAGACACAGATGGAGATTTTCAGGAGTACTGAGGAGCACAAGTACAACTGTTTTGGCTTTCAGAGGGACTTGCACTCCTAAATCCTGTAATTTCTTTAGAAGATCTTCCCCAGAAAGGGTAAGAGATGTGGCCAAGGTGTCACTGTGAGCCAATTGCAGAGTCAGGACGAGAACCCAGAAGGTCTAATTATTAAACTACAGGGATAGGGTCAACTTGATAGTGTGATTTATATAGACATTAATAGAAAATTGTTTAAGTCACTGGTTTCTTACTTTTTAGGTGATAAAATATGTGGCCTTTCAAATGTAAATCATGATCATTGTTCTGATGAAGTGAGCAGTAAGATGCATCAAGATGTAAAAACCGTAACCTCTCCTCGGAAAGATACTGCTGTGCAGACAGGTATACATTCCAAAAAAATAATATGATTTAGTAGGGTATCATATTCTTTAAGAAAAAAAGGTGGAATAGCTCCTTCATTAGCTCAGGCTATCAGTAGAGGCAAATCTTGTTTATACAGCACCGAGTAAAACTAGAAGTGACTGCTTAGACAGATTAGAGTATTAAGAGTAAATAAAATAGGAGCAATAGGGAAACTAAGGCCTTGTCTACATTAGAGAGTTTTGTCAGTGCAAGTTATGACGACGTACAGCCACTGCTGTATTAAACCGCTGTTGCATGTCCACACTATGGTCCTTGTGTCAGTGAAGCATATCCACAACAGCACCTCTTGCATTGACAGAGAGAGCAGTTCACTGTGGGTAGCTATCCCACTGTGCAACTAGCCACAGGGTGCTTTGGAAAGGGTTTGCAATGCTTCGTAGGTAGATCCCTACCAAATTCACAGCCATGAAAAACGTGTCCCAAACTGTGGAATCTGGTCTTGTGTGTGCTTTTACCCTATACTATACAGATTTCACGGGCGGGGGAAGACTAGCATTTCTCAAATTGGGGGTCCTGGCCCAAAAGGGAGTTGGGAGGGTGTCACAAGGTTATTTGAAGGGGGGTAGTGGTATTGCCACTCTTACTTCTGCACTGCCTTCAGAGCTGGGCATCTGGAGAGTGGCAGCTGTTAGCTGGGCACCCGGGTCTGAAGGCAGTGTCCCGCCAGCAGCAGTGCAGAAGTAAGGGTGGCAATACCATACCATGCCACTCTTACTTCTGCGCTGCTGCCTTCAGAGCTGGGTGGCTGGAGAGTGGCAGCTGCCGACAGAGGGCCCACCTCTGCAGGCAGCAGCACAGAAGTAAGGGTGGCAATACCATGCCATGCCATCCTTCTGCACTGCTGCTGGTGGTGGCTGTGCCTTCAGAGCTTGGCTCCTAGCCAACAGCCGCCGTTCTCCAGCTGCCCAGCTCTGAAGGCAGTGCCGTCACTAGCAGCAGCACAGAAGTAAGGGTAGCAGTACTGCAACCTCCCTTACAAGTCTAAGCATGCCTTCCTTTCTTAGGACTATCACATCTCGTCCAGTGTTAGGTCTTGTCTACACTACACAGTTTCGTCAGCAAAAGGCGGCTTTTGTCGACAAAACAGTGGAGGTGCAAGCACTATAATGCTCCTTCTGTCAGCAAACTCTCCTATTTGTTCATAATCTGGAGGAAAAAAAACGAGCTTTCCTGCTTTTTCAGGTCCCAAATGATTTCTCAATTTGGAATGAATTAATCCAAAGAAAGAAAATATTCTTTCTACACCAACAGAAGAAGCTATTGCTGTTAAAAGTGAGATTATCACTTCAACAGTCTCTAAATTCAAGTGCTTTAAGTGACTTCTACCAGTTCACTGGTGTGACTTTCTTTAAAACATCATCAGCAAACATATTTCTTGAATGGTTCACCCTAAGCCCTGACGTTTATTATAGTTGGCATTATGGAGGGATGATTCCTGGATGTCCATGTCATAGCCAACTCCTCTTCTTCAGCAGTTAAGGTTTGACCCTGGTACCGAGTTTTGAGAATATTTGGAAGAAAATAAGCTGGAGATAGTGCTTGTCCCATTCTTTTTTTTTTTAATGGTTGTAATTTAACTCTGTCATTACATATTTCTCTTTTTAAGATCTCACTCAGTTCCTTCCACATTTCAACAGAGTCAGCAATAAAACAGATATTTCCCTGCATTTTGTTCAGGGCTACAGAAATAGGCTTTAGGGTACTCAGCATGTGTTCAACATTTCTCTTAAGCCCAATGTTGAGAACTTTGGCTGTGACAGTGCCATCTTTTTTTCATGATTTTGTTCACAAACAGTCGTCAGATTAGGCCAGTTCTTGATTATAGTGGGGGCGGAGTATTGTTCCGCCCCCAACAATCTTCTATTCATTGAACTTTTTGAAACTTTGCACTTTTAGAGAGATGTAAGGGATTGACTCTGTGTAGACAAATTTTCAGAGGTACGATAGGGTTGAGGTCTGTTATTTCTCACCTGTCTATATTTATTTATTTAAAATAAGCTTGTTAACAGCAAAAATTATCTCTGGAGACACAAATCCACAGTTTGGGAACTGCAAAACTAAGTATTTGATGGTATATTCTAGACTGAGCACGGCATCCCATTGGGTAGATTAACCTAAATCATCTATACAGAAGCCCCTGTAACCCCATAAAATTGGGTCTCTAATCTGGGGTGGGCAAACTTTTTGGGCCGAGGGGCACATCTGGGTGGGGAAATTGTATGCGGGGTTGGGGTGCTGGAGGGAGTGCGGGGTGTTGGGGAGGTGCAGGAACGGGCTCAGGGCAAGGGATTGGGGCAGAGGAGGGGGTGCAGACTGTGGGAGGGAGCTCAGGGCAGGGAGTTGAGGTGCAGGAGGGGTTCGAGGTGCAGGCAGGGGGTTGGGGTACACAGGGGTGCAGGGTACAGCAGGGGGCTCAGGGTTGGGGGGCAGGCAGGGTGCACGAGGGGTTCGGGCTCTGGGCTGGCGCCGCTTACCTAAAGCAGCTCCGGGGTAGCAGCAGCGCCCACCGTGGCCAGAGCAGGCTCCCTGCCTGTCTTGGCCCTGCACTGCGAAGCGGCCCTTGCCACGCCTCTAGGTACCTCCCCCAAAGCTCCTATTGGCTGCGGTTCCCCGTTCCCAGCCAGTGGGAACTGCGGGGGGCGGTGCCTGGAGCCAAGGGCAACACACGAAGCAGTCTGCTCCCTCCCCCCCTCCCCAAGGCCACAGGGATGTGGTGCCAGCCTCTTCTGAGAGTGGAGCAGGGCCTGTGGAACCTGGGGGGGGCAGTCCTGTGGGCTGGATCCAAAGCCCTGAGGAGCTCACTTCATCCAAGGCATGCTTAGACTTTTGAAACATGAAGGCACATAAGTACGGCATAAGAGTATTCTCAGCCTTTTGCCCAAATTAACTGTATTAATTAATTAATAAATTAACTGGGTTTGAATACATAGGGTGCTTGGCATAGTCCATTAGCTATCTTATAACAAATTCATATGGGTCTGACTGCAGTGTCAGGCACTAACTTAGGGTCATGAGAGTAAACAAAATAGGACACAGTTCAGCAAGGTACTTAAACATATACCTCACTTTAAATACATGAGTATCTCCATTAACTTCAGTGGAATTATTCTCATGCTTAAGTACGTGCCTAGTATCTTATGAATTGGGGCCCTAAAGAGGTAGTGAAGATACTAGAAAATTTCTGCTAGTGATTTTGGAGTTAGGGTACAAAAGCATTTTGTTTAACAATTGGCAAAGCCTTCCACAATTTCTCCTTGCAAAACATGCATAAAAGTAGTTGGTATATCCAAATCTCACACTGTGAGGGTGCTTGGGTAGTCAGATACTTCATCACTACATGCCCTTAGTGTGGAGTTAGTCTTGTCTGTCCCTGCTATGTTTCAGTTCCCTGAAACAAACAGCCTTTGGCTCCACAAGCACTTACTTCCAGGTCTCTGCAGACCTCCTCTTTGTGCAGGTTAGTGCTAAGAATACACCAACCCCTTAGTCCTCAGAATGTTCCCTATAGTGTCCAGCCCCTGTCACTGGACATTCACTGTAATTACTAAGTTCACTATCCCCAAAGGAGACTTATACACACAGCTTGACTGATAAAACTCAAAATCAGGTCCTTTATAACACCACAGCAGTGAAATGTATTTATAATGAAAAATCATAAACTTATGATCAAATAGAGAGAGAGATACTGAGTAAGGCTAATGGGTGGAAACAGAACTAGGAGCACTTATTAATCTACTTTATAAAATAGGAACTATAACCATTTTCTCCCAGGGATTCAGTCTTAGACAGAGCTGCTGGTTTTCAGACAAAAACCAGGATCCAGATTTTCATGAATACACCCCACCCCCTTCAAGGGGTTTCCTCAGTCAGTGGATAACTAAATGGCTTTTTGCTTCTCCTTATATTAACCAACACTCACTGTGTTGACCCCAGAGTCAAGATGTCTTGAAATGCAAGTGTAGCTCCCATTGTGTTTTGCTTACAATGCTTAAACTACGTATGAAGCCTACGTAGCCACGTGCCTATACATCCCTTTGTCTGACAAAACTGGTTTTTCACCTCTGCTGGGGAGTAACACCTTGAAACAAACTATAGGGACATACTTTTAATATACATAACTTTAAATATAAATCAGTACATACATTTCACAATGATATTAAGGACTAGTATGATCCTGGCTTTCATTTAAGAGCTCTCATGGTATTCTTTATAGATAAATACTATAACAGCAACATGTTAGGTGTAGTGAGTTTGTTCCTGACAGGAACCTTTGCCAGTTGATATTGAGAGGTCCTTAGGCTAACACATGCCTAGACCTTCCAATTTGTTCCCAGATGTCAAACATTATTACTTGAAATGAAGATCAAGGATGCTTTACATTTCTTAGCACTATAGTTGAGGCAAAAATTATATTTAGTAAAACTATACAGCCATTGTGTGCCTTTTAGTTTAAATAGATGTTGCTTTATTGCAACAAATACCTAATCTCCAGCCCTCAAATGGGTTGGGAAATTCCATTGAAATATTTTTTGTTTCTTTAACTAGAAATTTATATTTTGGGCTTGGCAGCAAGTGTAGAAAGATCAATAGAGATTTGCAAATGCTAAGGAATTAAGTAGTATTTGGGGTGTGCCTAATGTATTGTATGAAGGGGACTGATAGGGTGGGAAGGTGGTTTATTTATTTGTTTTAAAGACTGAAACAAAGTTTTCCCTTTTAGAAGGAGAGGGTGTCATGGGGCGGTCCCCTGTGAGTCTCTTTTCTTCGGTACAGACCACTCTCACTCAGGCCACCATCACCTTTAGTACTATTTACATATATATGCGTCCCAGTCAGCTCCCCTCTTACTTTTGGGGGAAAAAGATCAGCTCTTTCTTTCCTTCAGGTTCTGCATTCCCCGCCCCTCTTTCCAGATTTTCCTTCCTCTCTATTTATCTCCTCCCAGCTGCTGGGGTTGCTTCTCTCCTCTGAGTAGCCTTTCAGCTGTGGCCCTACTTGTTAATAGGTCTTCCACTTAGATCCCAATTGACCTATATTGGTGGGGATTTGAGTGACAGGTTACTGAGTCAGCTCCTGACTCAAATCCCCTGTCACATGCCTCCCCACCTTCTTCCAAATGCTCTCTTTTCTTTTGGGCTGAGCTTGCCTTTATCACCATTCTCTGATTTTTTTGGGACCCCATCTTTGGGGTTATTCCCAGCTCCTCAGTGGCTGTCTTCTGTTTTCCACCCACCCACAAAAAACCCAACTGTGGGTGGGGATTGTCCCCACAATTCAGTCTCTGCCTGTCAGTAGAGTGCTTTTGGCATGAAGACAATCTGACCTTCCCTCTAATTTGTTGCGACTCTACCTCTAATTCTAGGTTTTCACCACTCTCCATGACACTCTGTTCTGCCCCGACATCTCATTCTTGCTCTGGTCCATTCCTGGGACTCCCTGGTAAACCGTTGTTTTATCAGCTATATCCCTACGGGTCTCAGTCATCAGCCTCTGTTATACCTCTGTTTTCCTTCCTCCTCTACCAGACTCTTCTCTCTTGTTGACCTTCCTGACTTGTATCTTCCTGTCTGGGTTTTTTTTAATTTCTATCTGACAGCCCCCTTCTTCTAGCTCCTTTTCTACATTCCATAACTGACCCTGTGATCTCCTTGGAGTTCTCTCTCTCTCTCTGGGAAGGGTTTCCAGTTCAGACCCAACACAACTGGATGGGGTAAAGCCTCCACCACCCCCACCTTCCATATAAACACTCTCTTGACCTCCAAGAGGAATGTCTCCTTTCCCCATGTATACATTCTAACCTTACTGCCCTCTCTGCTAACATCTGCTGGAGTTTCATCATGTCTCACAGAACAAAACCTCACCAACTTGCAGTCCATATGCGAACACTCTCTATGGGTCCTGGCCACCGACATTGGTAACACACCATCCCTCTCTGGCAGAGTATGAGGGCCCTTTGGACTTCTCTCAGTCCCTTTTCCTGGCTGAGCATCTACCAACTTCTCTCTCATCTCCTGTCCCAGCAAGAGATGGACTGTCTTTCTGGGTAGCTCAGCCTCTAAGAATTTTTCAGTCAGCTTCCCCACACTGTCTGATGTCAAGGATTGGTGCCAGTGCAACCATATACTCCCCACTGCAGGAAGACCTTGCAAGAACTATTCTACGATCAGACATCCATCACTTCCTCCACCCCCTGGCTCTCTGGGGGTAACAACCAGCTAGTAGCTCAGTCTTGACAGCCTCTTTGCTTTTTGCCATCCTAAATTTCTGTTCGGATCTTTCTGACAACAGAATCATCCTATATGCAATGGCATGTTCTTCACTTAGGGATGCTTGGGCTTTGCAAGGAGCCACTTGCAAACTTAAAGAACCAGAACTTAAAGCCACCCTCTCAAAAATTTGGTGAAAGGCCTCAAAGTCATTTTTTGGAGCCACTTCACAATGTCCAGTTCCCTGGGCTCTATTGTTAACCCCGGTCACAGGACTCACCAGATTCTGCAGTATCCCATGCTGTACGGCCATCTGTTCCTTGATAAAGTCCTGGAGAACTTTCTGTTGGTCTGCCTGCCACACCATCTGGGCCTGCTGCTCTGGTTGCTAGGACTGTTGAAAAAACTGTATGGATTACTGCAGTTCCTTTTACTATTCTATGATCCATTTCAGGATTTCTTCTATTTCCCAGACCATTGACCCTTGTGCCGGCTCGCTCTTTGGCTTCCTGCACAGATGAGGGATATGGGTCCTGGAGAAGCCCCCAAGTATGTTGCAGGGTGGTCCCCTGGGAGTCTCTCTTGCCTTAGGTACAGTCCAGACTCACTCCAGCCACCTTCCTCCCCACCACTGTTCTTTATTATAGCATTCTATCAGGCCACTATCTGTAGTACTATTTACATATGTACAAGTCCTAGTCAGCTCCCCTCTTATTGCTAAGGGAAAAGGAAGCAGTGCTAAGAACAACCAGCTCTGTCTTCCTGCAAGTTCTGCACCTCCACCTTTTCCAGGGTTTCCTTCCTCTCTATGTATCTGCTCCCAGCTGCTAGGATTGCTTTTCCCTCTAATTAGCCCTTCAGCTGTGACTCTATTTGTTAATTGGTCTTCCACTTAGATCCCAATTAACCTATATTGGTGGGGATCCAAGTGACAGGTTACTGAGTCAGCTCCTAATTCAGAACCTCTGTTGGAGAAGAGAAAAAAGATAGGGAATGCCTGTTACACTCAGTAGCACTTAAAATGGTGAATAAGATCTGACAAACTATGAACAAGATGCACCTTAAATATTCATATAAAAGCTTCATGTTGTTGTTCATCATTGGTCTATCACAATACAAGATGAATCTATATATCAAGACAATGTAGTTTCATTTCATTTATATTTTAAGTTTTCTTACATTTTGTTCCCCATGTTTTTAAACATGGACTGAGTTTATCTGGTCACTATATTGGTTCTCCCCTGTGCGGTTTACTCTGAAACATCAGAAGGAATAAAAAAGTATGCCAATATTGTAGCAATCGATGTTTTGAATGAAGTGAGTAGTAATGCATTTATAGTCTAAATACTGAAATATAAATCAAAGAAGTCACGTGGCCTGCTTAGAAAAATATAAAAGCGATACTTTTGTTTTTAGATTACTTTGACACCAGAGCGTACATCAGAACTGAAACGTGCACTGAGCCAGTTGTAGAAAGAAGAACTGTGGACTGTACATCTCCAGATATTTCCATAGAATATAAAGAGAAATTTAACATCAAAAAATGCAAGAAAGAAATGCAGTATCCAGATAAAAAGAAAATATCAGAAAAAGAGAATAATGGCAGTTACACTGATTTATATAATCAATTTGCAAGAAAGGAGAAACAAACAAATCCTATGGAAAAATATGGAAAGAGACCTGACTGGAACATAAACAAACCTGGGAAAAGGTATATTCCAGCATCAGAAAGATACCCTAGACGGCTACAGAAGCAAAGGGAGGAAAAGAAAGTAAGACGACAGATAGAGCTGCTTCAATTGGTAGAAAGAAATACTCCTGGTAAACTCTGTCAAAAGAAAGAAGTCTCTCCAGAAAGGTCTCCTTCATCTCACCAGGAAACAAATACAAAGAGTAAGGGACATGCAGTAACAAAGGTAATGATTTGGTGTATAACAGCAAAAATTTTTCATCATAACCTTGGCTCACTTAATATCTCATTTGTGTCTGGGCTAGATCATTGGTGAAACTCCAGAACTTAGTTCAGTAATGTAGGTATTCTAGTGACATAATACATTCAGATTTCACTCACCTGGATTTTGATGTCACCATAACCCTCTTCTGTGTATTTATTCCCTGTTATTTAGTTGTCATTTATTCTTTGTGTAAAGAGGGAATCTGATTGGCAGCAAGATACAAGCCTGTGTATCCTACTCTTGGAGTTTGAAATTATGAAACTGACTTGACCCTCTTTGTCCATCAAAGGCAGGAAAACATATAGGAGAACAATGTTAATTTTCACAAACAACCAAAAAAGCCATTGTTGACTTGTGAGAGAATTTATGACAGCAAAGTACATACTTTATAATTGCACCTTTTCTTCCTTCTTCCATTCCACTAAACACACATCATCAGTAGTCCATGGCTGAAAAAAATCGTATCTTTCCACGCTTTAAAGAAAATACTGCTGATACCGCTCACCTCCCAGCACTGACATTGTGCCTCATTTCTTCCCTTCACACCAGGTCTACTTTCCAGTGAAAAATGTATCCAGAGATAAAGTGACCTCTGTAATTCTGTGTAGCCAGCCAAGAAGCCATTTATTTGTTTGGCTGAAAATGAATGCTAGAAATGCACTACTTCAAAGGCTGTGGGCACAATAAGTAATCTGTGAATTCCATAGGTATTCATGTATGTGTCTTAAATGAATGTGGAGGATAGAATTGCGAAACTGAAGACAGTTTTTCACGTACGTTAGTCAACGACAATGGCAGTTATTACAACTGAGTTTTGCAGTTGATTTTCAGGAAAGTTGGCCTTTGAGTGAAAATACAAGATAAATTAAAGTAAGGTATAAATTGCTTGTTCAAAAGTCTAATAAACTGTATATAAATTAATATTTTTCATTTATAAGAAAAAAAACAGTTTTCCCTTGTGTCTGGAAAAAGGGACCTACATTTAATAATAGTGCTCAGCCTGAAGCTTTGGGTAGTATGGATCCAGCCATAAAAGGTACTGCATCAAGTCCTATACCCTGGTGTTTCTGATTGTTCCAATAACCTGTAGGTACTTTTCCACCTATATATATATAAAATGTGTGGGGTGTGTGTGTGTGTGTATTTCCATAATCCTGTTTTATACCATGGAGAATTGTTCATTTTTACACCCTTTTCCTCCCCTAGAGATTTTATTTTTGTGTTTCCCTGTTAGGATGCCAGCCTTTTTTCTGAGTTGCTGATTAGGTGTTATGTCTCACTTGCTTTGATGCAACAGTGTTAGCAGAGATCTCAGCTGCTTCCTTGGCGTCACAAGAGTTGAGGAAGGAATTCTTGCCTAATCACTCTTCCAGGTTACCACTCCTATGGACACCCTATTAGACTCAAACTGATTCTGAGGCTTGAAATTTTAACCCTTAATTTCTCTAGGAGTAGCTATCAGTGGTACCTGTAGTGCTGTGGTGGGCAACCTGTGGGTCGCACGTGGCCCATCAGGGTAATCTGATTACGGGCCTCGAAACATTTTGCTGATGTTGACTGTCCGCTGGCATGGCCCCCCGCAGCTCCCACTGGCCATGGTTTGCCGTTCCTGGCCAATGGTAGCTGTGGGAAGCGGCAGCCAGCACATCCCTGTGGCCCACCCCTTCCTGCAGATCCCATTGGCTAGGAATGGCAAACTGCTGCCACAGGGAGCAGTGCGGGGCAGAGGGGCGTGTTTGCAGCTGGTCAATGTCTAGTGGCCAGAACATGTCCTTTTCTGGGTTAGTAAGGTTTCCCCTAATGGCAGAACTTGGTCAGGGAGTGTCATGATCTCAAGGGTGTCCCCCTAAGTCACAAAAAACCTGTACACACCCTGCCTCCGAATCATTACTAGCATTACAAACCTTAATGTTCCTGGTTCTTCTTACCTTTTGCATCAGCTCTGGAAATCCAAAACTTACTCTGCACATTTAACTTCATGGAGGTGTAAGTTGTCTTCAGAGAATTACATCAGCAATGAGTTTGGTCTGCAATGTTTATAATAGTATCTCTTTGAGTAAAGGCTTAGATAAGTATATTTCACCTGAATTCAGGTCTAACACTGCTTTAGGAACTTTAGAAGGAAAAAAATCATTTTGTCTTACAAAATAAAATATATATTATAAAAAATTCAGATTTTTTTTTTTTTTTACTTTTGATCTTATTCTAGGGAGAACAATCTCAGTGGAGTCATTTGAATGAAGAAAGGTAGGTCTGTATTCTGTATCAGTTATTACAAGGAAATTAAGAATGAGAAATTAGATATGTTTTAGTGCAATTTTTACTTTTTACTAAAAATATACAATTTTTTAAATAAAAGTTTATATATATTTCATTCTCAAGTGAAAAACATTTCAGAGAGTACTGTACTTGGGAAAACTGTGCTGGACATTTAAGGCATATATTAGACAGAAGAATGTGTCCCAAAATGAGGGCAACTTTAGTTATTTAAGAACAGGACTTACTGTTTTCCTTTCTGTCACTTGGACAGGGAACATAACCTTTTGTAATATATATATTTTTGCCTAGCACATTCATTTGCATTTGCCTTCATAAAAAAGTGTGTAGAATGCATTTTATCCTTAAAAGAACTAGCACAGATTTAAATAATATGTATTGCTTATATAAATTGCATAGAGCTTGTTTTCAGGTACAGAGAGAATGACGAGCAAATGGCTAATTCTAGAAAAGATATTTTTGTTAAATGTTTAAAATAAGTGTCAAATACTATAGAAGGAAAATTATAGGATGCTAGTCAGTCTAGGAAAGAAGAGCCCACAATTGTCTGCAAGCTAATAGAAATAGAATATTCATGGCCTGATTCTCAGGTCTGGCCATGCCTTCAGACTGCTCTTTGGTCCCAAGTGACCATTTTGGCAGGTGGGAATAACCAGAGCTGTGCAGATTCTCCCTTTCATCAACCCATGCAGCCTATCCTGTAGTGACAAGAGAAGTAGCACAGAGTCGTCATGCTGATTCTTTGTCATCTGGGAATTCCTAATTAGCAAAATCCATTGAGTTTCTGGCCACTTTGCGCAAAAAGAGTGAATTAGAGGGCCCACTAAATGTTTCTAGTGCACATTAAGCACATAGGGGAGGGAAAACATAATTTTAGATTTTCTTAAAAGATATATTAAACAATATTTCATTAGGTTTTAGGAGTATTAATAAAATGAAGCATATTGCTTGAAAATTTTGGTCTAACTAAAATTATTTTGCACAGATCTGAATCACCACCTGTTCCAGCAGTTAAAAACAGATTACACCAAGGACAACAAAGGCAGATAAATACTTCTAATTTCCCAATTCAGAATGGCAATAGTGGAAGAGGGAAGAATATCAACACAGACATGCAACAGAGGAAATCATCTTCTCCAGTTATTGAACCTGAACGGCCACCCTCTTCTCATTTCATTCCCTATGTGCGAACAAATGAAATTTATTACCTTGATCCAGATGCACCAATGACTAGACCTTCAACACATGATCCACAATATCGACAGTTTAATGGTACTGAAACATATAGTAAACTGATATTAAGATGGCAGGAGGGAGGGGTTTTAGTGATTTATAGTTGTTTGAATACCTGATGTAAATAGTACACTGAAGTCTCTGACATTTGTCCTTATAAATGCCTGAGACTTATCAGTTGAGGCGCAGTATTACACAGAGAGCTTGTACTTAGTAGGCCACTAGTCAATAGTGTTTAAGAAAATAAAGTTAACTTGTTCTTTTTATTAGCAATACATTGTGATGAGGCATCACTGTACTTTATTAGGTAATACATATGTATATAAATATATTCGAATTTTTTTAGGAACTGAAATACGGTTTCACTTGTGAAATAGTTTTAGTGATAAAAAATCTGGCAGGGAAGGAAAACTGGCTCTCTACAAGCTATAAAGATAGGCTTGGAAGGATTAGATTTTTGGTAAATATCCATTAACATCAGTTTCACCACACACACAAACCAGTGAAAAAGTATTTCCATCAGTAGTAACTAGGGCTGTCAATTAATCGCAGTTAACTCATGCAATTCACTCAAAAAATTAACTGTGATTAAAAAAAATTAATCGTGATTAATTGCACTCTGAAACAATAGAGTACCAATTGTAATTTATTAAATATTTTTGGGTGTTTTTCTACATTTTCAAATATATTTATTTCTATTACAACACAGATTACAAAGTTTACGGTGCTCACTTATTTTTTTTTTAAATATTTGCACTGTAAAAATGATAAAAAAAATCATATTTTTCAGTTCACTGCCTACAAGTACTGTAGTGCAATCTCTTTATCATGAAAGTGCAATTTATAAAGGTAGATTTTTGTTATTGTTACATAACTGCACTCAAAAACAAAACAAAAACTTTAGAGCCTACAAGTCTGCTCAGGCCTACTTCTTGTTCAGCCAATTGCTAAGACAAACAAATTTGTTTACTTTTACGGGAGATACTGCTGCCTGCTTCTTATTTACGTCATCTGAAAGTGAGAATAGGCATTAGCATGGCACTTTTGTAGCCGGCATTGCAAGGTATTTGCGTGCCAGATATGCTCAACATTCATATGCCCCTTCATGCTTCCATGCTGCTGATGTTCATTAAAAAAATAGTGCGTTAATTAAATTTGTGACTGAACTCCTTGGGGGAGAATTGTATGACCCCTGCTCTGTTTTACCTGCATTCTGCCATATATTTCATGTTATAGCAGTCTCGGATGATGACCCAGCACATGTTGTTAGATTTACGAACACTGCAGATTTGACAAAAGGCAAAGAAAGTTCCAATGTGAGATTTCTAAAAATAGCTACAGCACTCGACCCAAGGTTTAAGAATCTAAAGTGCCGTCCAAAATCTGAGAGGGACAAGGTGTGGAGCATGCTGTCAGAACTCTTAAAAGAGCAACACTCAGATGCGGAAACTACAGAACCCAAACCACCAACACAGAAAATCAACCTTCTGCTGGTGGCATCTGACTCAGATGGTGAAAATGAATATGCATCGGTCCACTCTGCTTTGAATTGTTATCGAGCAGAACCGGTTATCAGCATGGATGCATGTCCTCTGGAATGGTGTTTGAAGCATGAAGGGACATATGAATCTTTAGCGCATCTGGCATGTAAATATCTTGCAACACCAGTTACAACAGTGCCATGCGAACGCCTGTTCTCACTTTCAGGTGATGTAAACAAGAAGCGGCAGCTTTATCTCCTGCAAATGTAAGCAAAATAGTACTGAGTGGACTTGTAAGCTCTAAAGTTTTACATTGTTTTATTTTTGAATGCGGGTTTTTTTTGTACATAATTTGACATTTGTAAGTTCAACTTTCATGATAAAGAGATTGCACTACAGTATTTAGTTTAGGTGAATTGAAAATGCTATTTCTTTTGTTTTTTACAGTGCAAGTATTTGTAAATCAAAAATAAATATAAAGTGAGCACCGTACACTTTGTATTCTGTGTTGTAATTGAAATCAATATATTTGAAAATGTAGAAAACATCCAAAAATATTTAAAGAAATGGTATTCTATTATTGTATAACAATGTGATTAATCGCACGATTAATTGTGATTAATTTTTTTAATCACTTGACAGCTCTAATGGTAACCAAAATTTACAGATAGGCAAAGTCTAAAAAAAAAAAAATGCTTCTTAAGGACTCAGTTTGTTTTAAGGATATTTACTTTGTATATTTTGACATGTAATATTGACAATTTGTGTTTTAATGGTTATGCAGCTTTAACTTTTTTGAATCTCAGCGTCTATTGGCATTAACAATTATTGTCTAACCCCTAGTTGTCTGATCTCCCCATAATTTCCTGCCACTGTGAAGAGTTAAATCTACAGAAATAGAAAAAACATGCTTAAAAATAAACATGGATATTTTCTGTTAATTATTTTTAAAAAAATCTGCAAAGCCTATATAAAGACTACTTGGAAGAAATTAAAGTAAAACTGAAACAATTACTTAGTATAATTAATTTGATTTATACTTATCTTTAGATTCTTGCCATACACCACGACAGATTTTTAGCTCTGATCATGTGAGAGATCCACTTCTTAATCCTAATGTAGTGAAAAACAGAGACCGACAACAGGCAATCCTCAAAGGACTATCAGACTTACGCCAGGTACAGTATGAGCTAAATCTGTAATGAACATTTTAAAGTTTTGTATTTTCATAATCATTTCCCATCTTTTAGCCCTATTCTCGATTCTATCCCTTTCTTTCATCCTACTTTTTTGCCCTGGTGTTTCTTTAGCCTCTTTCTTTTCCTAGCGTTGAGATAGTTGAGGACCTAAGAAAGTGGTCTTCCTGGGGAAGGGAGATGATTCAGCTCTGGGATAAAAGTGGAATAATTTTTTCACAGCGCATCAGGACCCTATCTTAAGGGAATAACATTCCCACAACTGGTGGGTGAGGCTGTGAAGGTGTAGCTATCCACTCACAGCAAAAGACTTAACAGGGCTGGCAATCATATAGCAGCTATGAAAAATATTTTACTTCATTAATTTGAAGTATGAATTGTTATAAAACACCTTCCCTAAATTAGGTTTTCTTTTGTCAACACTGAAGTCTGTTTTTGGATTCCCGGTGTATGTATAAAAATAAGAAGTGGCTTAACAGAATATTATATAAGTTAATTTGTTCAAAAGAAAAGCATGTGCACATTTGTATAAGGTATGTAGTGTTTGCTCTGTTACCTCTAGTAAATTAATGGTAATGACATATCTCCACAAGGTTTAATAAAAACAATTTGAATGAGATCTGTTTCTTTTTTGTGAAAAGTTAAAAATATTTGATAGTACTGACACTACACATAAAATATCAACTGATGACTCTGAAGGCTCTCATACTTTTTTTGGATAGGGATCAAGATACTACTGAGATGATGTTGCTGTGCATCTAGTTAGTAAAACAGAAATGATTTAGTGGATAATAGAATGTGATTCAAAGCAAATATGCTCACTGCAGCTGGAAGCAGTGAGACCTTGTCTGGCTACAGAAAGAAAGACATTTTGGGGTTCTTTAAGGAGCAGTCAAAGGAATTGTGAGGAAAGGGGAACTCATCGGAACAGAGACCAGTAGGAAAGGGAAGCAGCAAGACCAGGTATTGGTAACACTGGCACATGTGCCCAGGAGGTGGGGGTATTTGTGCATCTCAGTGAGAACACTCTCTCTACTTCGTCTTTCTGCGTGGCCAGGCCAATTGAGGTAGTAGACTTGGATGACCAGCACAAATGCTTCACGGTTTTTCTCTGCTAAATGACCTGGCATGTGTAGGTGGGAGTGCAAAGTGCATACTATAACAAAACTCCTAAAATAGCTCACATTTTAATACCCTACACATTTGCATATCTTTCACACAGAACATTTTTGGTGTGACAGTATGGAGCCATTCATAGGCATAGCATTAAAGCCTTTCATTCTGAACTTTAAACATCAGTTTGAACTACTAAACTACAGAAAACTGGCCTTTGCAAACAGTGTTGGTGTCACTTTATTTCATTCAGTATCAGGTTGTTTTCAGATTGCACTCCCATTCTGCCATTAAAAATTAATTCATGCTATGAAAGCAGGAACAATTGCTAGTGGAACTTCAACTGTCTGACCTGGTTTGCATTATTTTCCTAATGAGAATATTTCCTAATGTAGTGTCATATTATTTGGTGCAGCAGTGGTCTAACCAAAAGATAAGCAGGTTCTACCAGTAATTTATTGGCAGAAGTAATTAATTTGCAGTTTTGACTAGTGCCACTTCTTTCACCAAAGCATTACAGCTATAGAAGCAAGACAGATACCTTGGGTAAAGCAGCTAGAGGGAGAAAGTCTGCAAGCATTCCAGCAGAACTATAAACAGTTACAATATCTTTATAATAATTACTGTGCTTCTAGAGAGACCTGCTTCTGTCCCTGCACATTGGTATACCAGTACCAGATATACCCCCTTCCCCACACAATGCCCCTGCAAAATATGAGGAAGACAAACGTGGCAGTCGTCCTTATTGTCCAATTCTGAATGAGCTAGCTGGGATTCCAAAATCACCAGTCCTTAGGTGGCATGTACACTTCGGAGATTGTAATTAGGAACGGTCTATATAGCTGGATCCATTACATCATCCAATTCCATTTGGCTGGGCTTCTCTGAGCTCATGGAAATGCTTGCCAAAGATCCACCACTTTTGAATATTCCTCTAGCTACACCATATTTGCAAAATGGTGTTCAAGTTTGGAGACTGAAGCTGAGCATTCCTACAGTTTGTTCTAGGTGAGCTTAGCAAAGAAGTTTGGTGTTAGTGCTTTACGGTGGTGATATCAGTGATTTCAGGTTTAGCATAGAGGGGTGAAATAGGGAAGTTTTCCTACCTGCTGAATATCATCTGTCTCTGTTGTGAAAGACAAAAGATTGATTAAAAGGTTTTTCTTTCAATAAACCTTAGTTCAAGCAAAGAATGGACTTTTGGAGTCTTTTGGTGAGTCATCCCGAAAGGGGGTGGGAGCTGAGTGGTTTGAGCATTGGCCTGCTAAACCCAGGGTTGTGAGTTCAATCCTTGAGGGGGCCATTTAGGGATCTGGGGCAAAAATTGGGGATTGGTCCTGCTTTGAGCAGGGGGTTGGACTAGATGACCACTGAGGTCCCTTCCAACCCTGATATTCTATGATTCTATGATCCCAGCAGCCACTTACTGCATTTAGGACATTTAACTGTTGGATAATCTCTACTATCCTCCTGCCCAGAGCAGTTGTTTGCATCTGTCTTTTATATGCACCATTCAGATCTGAGAAACTCCTTGTTTAACTACTTTTGGCTCTAATCGTATTTCTGTAGTTCAGAGGATAATTTAGGCTCTGTCTACACTAGAGAGCTTATAGCAGCACAGATGTACCAGAGCAACTGCGCCGCTGTAAGATCTCTTGTGTAGCTGCTCTATGCTGATGGGAGAGCGCTCTCCCATCGACACAATTAAACCACCCCCAATGAGCAGTGGTAGCTATGTGGACAGAAGACGCTCTCCTGCCAACATAAAGCTGTCCACACAGGTGGTTATGTGAGTGTAACTTACGTCACTCAGGGGTGTGTTTTTTTCCCACACCCCTGAGCGACGTAAGTTATACTGACATAAGTGGTAGTATAGACATAGCCTTATTTTTGTCACCAAGAAAAAAAATTATTTAAACTAAACTAAAATTTTCTAGTACTTTAAAGAATCTTTAAAACTGAGGATTTGGCTGAGGGTCAGACAGGTGCTTTTTGCTGTCCATGAAAATCCAACCCAATTTCGCTGAATGTTTAGCTTCTGAAAACTGCAATTTGCCCATGGGCAGTAGAACTCACGAGATGCTTGCTGCTAAATTTGCTTTATGTGCCGTCTGCAACAAGCATACTGGAGTTCCACAAAACACCCACCAAACATGCTCCCAGACCCAGAGTTAGAGATCCTGACGGCAGGGAATAATACAGGAGCAGTGGTATCCTTGGCCTAGGAAAGGCAGGAATTTTTTTAAAAAATGGGAGAGGGGTGAATAGGGGAATGAGTACAGCCTCCTCCCCAAAAGCAGAGATATCTTCCCCTCCTCTTCCAACTATGATGAAGCAGTGCTCCATTTTCTCCATCACAGGTGTAGCAAGATCTGACACCCATGTTTCACTCAAACTTAATTACCAGGGAAAGGTGTTGTAGGCAGGCAGCAAAACAAACAAAAAAACCCTCACTGAATTCTGGTCACCTCCTTTCCAGTCCAGTGACTGATAGTAAGTCTGTACCTTAGCTCCTGTTTCTGAGCAAGATCTCAAAAAATATGTTTTAGGAAGACTGCAAGTATCTTTCTTTCCCTCTTACTGAGAGGTTGCACAGGGTCATTTCTTACAAATATAAGAACAGAACTGAGGGACCAGCTGTTGTGCAAAGTCTCAATGGTCACAGCATTCAAGGTGCAGCCCTGGTGTAGGAAGTGAGGGGCAAAAGAGCCATTAGGCCACCTTTCCACTTTCTGAGCTCCTTCCAGGGTCTGTGCAGCCTCTAATGTAAGTTCTGGCAACCCTGAGGCTACTGCAACACTATCAATGTTTATTATTAATCTTTTCTAATCTACTAAAATTTTCACAGTAGTGCAAATTTGTGGGTTTTAAGCATTTTTAAAATCACAGTTGTGGGATATTGGGGGGGCAGGACTTGTACAATTAATGATAGACAGTGAGCTTCAAAAAGTTAAAGCTTTTTAACTTAACACACTAATTGTCAACATTATATGTCAAAACATGCAAAATAAACATCTTTAAATCAAACTAAGTCCTTAAGCGGCATTTTTCTTTGTCTGTAAATGTGTTACTGCTGATGGAAATATTTTTTCATCAGTTTGTGCGTGTATGGCAAAACCAACATTGTACCAATAAAAATCTAATCTTGCCATGCCTAAATATATGACAGTCTAACATCATACCTATGGGCCTTGCTGCACCTTGGAATTGCCAAGCACAGACAAGTTTTGCCACTTCCATTCCTGCCTCCAGCCTACCTCTATGTTAGGGCTTATGGTGAGGGTGTACAGGAGCAAAAGACTTACATAAGCTCTTTGAGCACAGGGACCATCTTTTTGTTCAGCAGCTAGTCCCGTGGGGTCCTGGTCTTGCCACTTGCACTTGCCACTACAGTACTACAAAATGTTGGCAGTACACTGCCCTTCCCCTGGGGAGTAGCTCCGGGACCACACCAGCCGCAAGTGCAGCTGGAGCCATATAAAGGAGCCGTAGCAAGGGCTAGAATCTCCACATTTTTAGTGTTACTGCCTCAACTTGTGCTGCTTTACCCACACCACTCTTCAGAATCAGCATTTAAAATCTTTAACTGTGCTCACTTTTTAGCTATTAGAGCTCAGATGCCCCTCCAGAGGCAGGAATAGATCCCAAGAGTCTTGATTTCCAATTCTTCCTGTTGCCTTGCACATCGAAGCCAAGGATAACATATGTATGTGTGCCTCATCTTCTTCCAAGGAATGATGCACAGAGAAAAAAATAGCCTATTATTCCTACCAATTATTGGTAGAGTTCAAATGTTCTGGGATCCAACTTTACTTAAAACCTATGCTAAAATGTGCTTTTTCTGTTTTTTAAAGCCAGAGGAAATTACAAACCAAAAACTTGTTAGAACAGCTGCAGTATTTAATAACATAATCATGTACTGTTTGTACTGTAGGATTCCTACCTCATTCAGATAGACTGTGAAGTTGAGCTCAAAGAACAGAGGACATTTCTTTTGTTTGAGGCACTGTTCTGGGAGTCAGAGCTAGGGTCCACTCCTTGCTCTGCCACAGACTTCCTGCGAAGGCAAGACTCCCACGTTCCATGTGCAAAACGAAACTGAAGTAAAACAGCACCTGCAGTCTTAGTGGGGCATTTTTCCTTCTTTGAGTGCTTGACTTATCATGTCTTTTTTATAATTACATATTTTAAAATGGTTAAAGAGCCTTAGAAGTATGAATAAGAAATAAAATAGAGGCTTGCCACTGTTCCTATTTTGTGGAGAAGGAAGAGCATTTACTTTGTACTCATTATTTCAGGGTCTCCTCCAGAAGCAGAAGGAATTGGAGACTGGTCTAGTTCCAACCATAAATCAAGAAGAAAACTTTATTTCACCATTTTAAAAAAGGTACACAAGTATACAAAAAACTTCAGCTTTAAAAATGTAAGGCACAGCACTTTATATTTGCTACTGTAATTTACTAACCGCATCTAAATCTTTTTTAACCAAGGTCTAATCTCCTACATGAAATGTGACAGGTTATGTGGTTTCGTTCCTTTTCCCCTTCCCCCCATGTGGTTGTTTGAAGATGCTTGATTCTAATATATAATGCATTTATTTGCTATTAGAGTGGTCTTCTGCTTTGAAGATTTCTTAAGATTATGTAGTAAGGAAACAGCGGTATAGAAAGTTTGTTTACATTAACTTTTTGTAGAATTTAAAATATATGTATTTTTGATATAAATAAATGTATTAAATATTTAATGACATACCAATTTTTGCCTCTCACTAAAAGAGAAAAAAAGTGCCAAATCTCTTCCCCTTTCAGTGTTGCCATGCCCAAAAAGCTGTCTGATCACTTAGATAAACAATTTGTGTTCTAGTGAGCAACCTAGCACTCAAAAAACCAGTGTATGTATTGAATAAGCTAGCTAAAACTGAATGGCAGTGCTTATTGTCCAGCTACGCCAAAAAGAGGACAAGAGACACGCAGCATGGTTTAGTTAGGCCACAGCTTCTTTCTTAAAAATCTGGGAGTACCTGGCCGATAGAAGTGTACAGTGCGGATAATTCCATAATCATTTCAATATATAGCTGGGGGCTTCTGTCAGCTCTCCCCTTTACCTACCCTGGTCCCCAGCCAACCCACAGCAGGGACCTCACCCTCCCCCCTCCTCAAATGAGGGTTAAGGGAGACTACAGAGAAGGGTGAGGGCTGGCTCCCTGCTATACCAGTCATAGGAGCCTCAAACCCCCCCTCATCCCCCGCTCCTTTAAATCCTTTACCAATGCATTTTATCTGATCACTGTAGCCCTTTCCCATGGAATACCTACAGTGGGCATCTGCTAGGAGAGGCACCAGCAATTAGCTTGGCTGCCCCCCCACACTTAACCAGGTGCCCAGACATCTCCTAATGCCCCCTTTAATATCGGCCAAAAACTTCTCAGCTCCCAAGTCTGACAGGTGGACCCCATCCTCCCTGAATAATTCTGGTGCCCCATATATTATGCCTGGATGCAAAAAGACTGACCCTCCTATGACATCCATGAATTTGGCCACCTGCCTTTCAGGGTCTTGGCGGCTCCCTCCCACACCCTGCGTTGCAGCATATCTGACCATACAATTTTTACTCCTGGTAAAAGTTCCAGGATCAACCCCCAAGTCCCTCTGAACTCTGACCATTAAGTATACCTGTTTACACAGTCCCACATTATCTTCCTCAAGGTGAGCCACAATTATATCTGATGCCTGCTCACAGGACACCATAGTGTACAGAAGCGGCATCAGCTGGTCCTATAACATGCCCCTCCTCCCGTGCCAGCTCAGGACTGCTTCACCACTGAGGCCTAGCTGCAAACCTCCAGCCAACCTCAAAGCCCACCTCTGCACCCAGTAAATAATACTGTGCCTGCAGAGCCACATCACTGTCTGCCAGCATCTGGAATGAAAATACAGAGGAAGATTAACACTGATTTTTCCCCTATTCTGCATGCTTCAGAATAGCAATGCCCAATTGCCTGAATTGTCCTAACCCCCATTCCCCGCTGGGCCACTGCTGTTGCCGTCTAGATCCTGGATGAGTGGGAACCAAATTCATAAGCTGGGCATCCCAACTTTGTCAGGCCCTACCTTGAAACTGTAGCAAACTGGTATGATGTGAGGGAATTTCTAGAACAGTGAATAAAGAGGGGCCCATCCCTACCTGGTCTTATAGTCTTGTATGCCCTCACAGTCTCCACAGGGAAGATCCCAGGCTTGCCAACCTCCTGTAGAATAGTGGATTCACCTCAGCCTCCTTCATCTGTCTTTCACTTCCTCCTGGTTAATATAACTAATTGCCCCTCCCACTCTATATCCCTCGGTTCAAAGCTCTTTCTGGAAGAATCCCTACAGGATCCAGGTACTAGCACACTGATCCTAAAAGCTTTTTAAAAAAAAGCAGCTACCAGAAATGCTGCCTTGACCAAGTCCACCTTGTCTCAGGTAAAACAGGGCTTTTCTTCCAGTAGCATGGACCTACAGTGCTCCCTCTCTTCCAGTCACCTGGGGTGTGGGTGGGAAATGGATCAGCAGCCCCACACTGACCTGGTCTGCAACTGCAGCATCAAGTTGGTCCCTGACTCTCTAGCCCTTAAAGGGGCACATGTCTTTTCCAACAAGCCAGACAACAGCCCCCCACTGCTTAATGTGCAATGAGCTGAGTCAAATAAAAGTAAAATGAGTTAGTTTCTGTTCTCAGACAGCAGACTCTTGTTTAAAAAAAATAAAGTTCTAGGTTTGTATATTTGATTAACCCAAAACCGTATTCAAAATTGGTTTGAACTTCTGTTTCTGAAGTTAAGAGTCAAAATAGCATCTGGGCTTAGCTCTCTAACTGCATTTAAGCCAATTCAGGGCAAAACTGTTTCAGCCAGAAGGGATACCTGGAGAGAGGAATTACAGCTTTAACTCATGCCAGCGGGTCTTGCCCAATGTTTTTTCAAAATTGCCTCAGGAGGCTATATTATTTATAGATCAAATGAGATGTCCCTCCTGAGACAGTTTGTTGTAAGAAGCTTGAATTTGAAGATAACTGCCTTAAATCCACATCAAAGAGCATTTGTTTAATTTACAGGTGATAAACATTTGGCCAGTTGTTAGGCAAGTTTGGATAAATTCTTTCATAGAATATCAGGGTTGGAAGGGACCTCAGGAGGTCATCTAGTCCAACCCCCTGCTCAAAGCAGGACCAATCCCCAAGTAAATCATCCCAGCCAGGGCTTTGTCAAGCCTGACCTTAAAAATATCTAAGGAAGGAGATTCCACCACCTCCCTAGGTAACGCATTCCAGTGTTTCACCACCCTCCTAGTGAAAAAGTGTTTCCTAATATCCAACCTAAACCTCCCCCACTGCAACTTGAGACCATTACTCTTTGTTCTGTCATCAGCTACCACTGAGAACAGTCTAGATCCAGCCTCTTTGGAACCCCCTTTCAGGTAGTTGAAAGCAGCTGTCAAATCCCCCCTCATTCTTCTCTTCTGCAGACTAAACAATCCCAGTTCCCTCAACCCCTCCTCATAAGTCCTGTGTTCCAGTCCCCTAATCATTTTTTGTTGCCCTCTGCTGGATGTTTTCCAATTTTTCCACATCCTTCTTATAGTGTGGGGCCCAAAACTGGACACAGTGCTCCAGATGAGGCCTCACCAATGTTGAATAGAGGGGAATGATCATGTCCCTCAATCTGCTGGCAATGCCCCTACCTATACATCCCAAAATGCCATTGGCCTTCTTGGCAAGGGCACACTGTTTACTCACATCCAGTTTCTCGTCCACGGTAACCCCTAGGTCCTTTTCTGCAGAACTGCTGCCGAGCCATTCGGTCCCTAGTCTCTAGCGGTGCCTGGGGTTCTTCCGTCCTAAGTGCAGGACTCTGCACTTGTCCTTGTTGAACCTCATCAGATTTCTTTTGGCCCAATCCTCTAATTTGTCTAGGTCCCTCTGTATCCTATCCCTTTCATTATATACACATGAGAAAAACCACATCTGAATGTGTGCATTGTCATACAGTTGTTTCTATATGCCAATCTCACTGTCTAAAGTTTAATGAAGAAAGGAAATTGAGTATTTTTCTTCAGAAGCATTGCCCCTGCATGACGACTTGACACGTGCCATACAGTAGCTTAGTTCTTCACTAATATATTAAATAGTTTGATATTCTGGCAGGAAAAGCTTTTTGTAACTATACTAGATACAGTAAAACAAAGTGAAGGAACTTTTCTTCTATTTTTAGAAGTCTTTTTTTATATAGAAGTGTTTTACTTACTTAAGATGCATTAAAAGAGTATTGTAAAAATGAACAGCAGCTTGAAATTAGTTTTTTTTTTTTTTTTTTTTAGAAATAGTTTTAGCTACTTGTCATTTGTGGCTTAATCACATTTTGCCTTTAAAAATTTGTCCCTTGGCTGTACTAAAAACCTAAACTGGCTGCAACAGAAATAAACTGTCTTGAAGGAGAACCCCCCCCCAACCAAGTTTTCTTGTATTACTCTTAGGTGGTAGTGGACTTCAACACTAAAACACAACACATGGTAGTATGCCAGAGTTTGTTTTACCGTCCATATAGTATTTTCTGGAAATCTTCACAAGACTGTGCACAAGGAAAGTTGATGCATTTGTGCTTCAATAATTGAGTTACTGAACATAACTCATACAGAAAAATGTTCTGGGGTGGGGAGAAGACAAAATCTAGCACAATACCTATAATTGTCTGGCTATGCCAAAAGAATGACAGGAGACATTAGCTAGGGGTTTAATCAGGCTACAATTTTATTATTAGATGTCTAGGACTAACCTGGTGGATAAAATGTGCAGTGCAGGTGAAACCCCCAGAATTAAGGGGGGCGGGGGGAGAGAGAGCACTTTTACCAGCCCCTCCACCTTTCCATTCATGGCCCTCCAACAGATCCACTGCTAGTAACCTCCAATTCCAGCCATTTGGGGGGGGGGGGGGGGGGGGGAATCTTCCACCAGCTCTCCCCACATTTTATCCAGGTCCCTCCAGTAATTCCCTTGCCCAGACCTTACTGACCCTGACCCCCACCCCCTATAGGAGGGGTTAAGGTGGAGTATAAGGATGGGGGGTGGGCTCCCTGCTGTGTCAAGCACAGGAGTCCCCAACTTGCTCAATTACCAAGGACCTCTCCTTGATTCCTTTTCCAAGCCATTTATCTGTTCTTTTGTGCCTTAATTTATGGGGTACCTGCACTGAACATCCACTGTACATTTAAAAAGTTGTGACATATGGCCTACCGCCTGTCATACTATGCGGGAACAGAGCTGACCTGAACCTGCTGGGAGGAAGGAAAAAAAAAAACCCCCACTGCACCTGGCCAATATGATGGTAAGGGAAAAATTCCTTACCAGGCCCCTCAAGGAGGCAGCTACAGTAATGCCCACAGCAGATACAGCAAATCACCTAGCAGATTTCTGACCTAAATAGGGAGGGTGGGTACTGCCTAACCTGCCTCCAGTGAGGAGGGGAGGGTCCAGGCCCAGGCTGACCTTTTTAAACCCCTCATTTCTAGGTGGTGAGTCATCCACCACACTGACTACTTTTCTAGCAGTTTTACATCTCCTCTCCTTCCCCAAGCCTGAAAGCATTGCCCTCTCCTCCTGCCCCCTCCTCAAAGTGCAGGGTGGTGATTGGCTGGCTATTGCAAAAGAAAGACAGGAGACATTAGATATGGGTTTAATCAGGCTGCAACTTTATTAGGTGTTTAGGACTAACCCAGCAGATAAAATGTGCAGTGCAGGTGAAGCCCCCATAATTGGGCAGGGGGAAGTGCTTTTACCATTCATGTCCCTCCAGCAGATTCACTGCCAGGAACCGCCAATTCTGGAGGGGCTTCCACCAGCTCCACCCCCTTTTCCTCCAGGTCTCTCCAGCAATTCCCTTGCCAGGACCTTACTAACCACCACCCCCTGTAGGAGTGGTTAAGGTGGACTATAATGATGGGGGGACAGTGTTGGCTGCTTGCCATACCAATCAGAGGAGTCCCTAATTGCCCCCAGCTTGCTCAATTACCAAGCCCCTCTCCTTAATTCCTTTTCCAAGCCATTTATCTATTCTTTTGTGCCTTAATTTATGGAGTACCTGCACTGAACATCCACCACAAGGAGGCACCAGCCATTAGTTTGGCTGCCTCCTCCCCACATTCAGCTAGGTTCCCAAACATGTCCCAATGCCCTCTTTTATATCAGCCAAAAATATGTCAACACCTGAGCCTGACAGGTGCACCCCATCCTCCCAAAATAACTCGGGTGCCCCACAGAGTATGCCAGGATGTGAAATTACTGTCCCCCTCAAGAGCAGTAAGAATTTGGCCACTTCCCTGTTCACATACTTCCTGGTTTTGTCCACCCTGGCAGGGTTCATGGCTCCCGGCCAGACCCTTTGCTGAAGCATATTCGACCAGATAACGTTAACGCCTAGAAAAATTTCCAGGATCTGCACCAGGTCCCTCCTTGTTCGAAGCATTAACTCCACCCCTTTAAGTGTTTCCAGATCATTTTCTCCCAGGTGTATCACCAATATATCCAGTGGCTGCTGATGTGCCCACACAGCATACAACAGCGGTATCAGTTGATCCCATAACATGCCCCTCCGTGCGTGCCAACTGAGTAATGCTTCACCACCGAATCCCAGCTGGGAGCCCTCGGGCAACCTGGATGCGTGCCTATGCACCCAAAACAATACTGTGCCCACAGATCCACACCCGTGTGTGTATAGCCGGCTGTCCCATATCTGAAATGAGAACACAACTGATTAATGTTGATTTTCCATCTGCAGTCTTACATACGTTCGGTTTGCATTAGACTGCCAGCACCCGATTGCCTGAATAGCCTCTGCTTCCATATGTATCTGTGCTGCTGCCCTATTCTGAATGAGCAGGAGCTTTTCTTCTATTTGTAGAAGTGTTTACTTAAGATGCATTAAATGAGTATTTTAAAAATGAGTACCAGCTTGAAATTCGCTTTAAAAAAAAATAGTTTTAGCTAATAAAAGTAGTGAGTGCACTTATCATTTGTGGCTTAATCACCACATTTTGCCTTTAAAAAAAATTGGCCCTTGGCTGTACTAAAACTTAAACTGACTGCAACAAAATAAACTGTCTTGAAGAAAAAAAAACCCAAAACCTTAGTTTTCTTATACTACCCTTTAGTGTTAAAGTCCACTACCATGTAATTAAAACAAAAACAGAATGGTAGTACGCCAGTTTGTGTTTTACCATCCATATAGTATTTTCTGGAAATCTTCTCTATAGTATTCACAAGACTGTGCACAAGAAAAGCAGATACTACAGAAAAATGTTCCGGGGAGGAAGGAGACAAAAATCTAGTACAATACATATAATTTTAAAGGAAAGGGTGAGAACAGTAATAAACAAACTTTCATGAGGATATTCATTTTAGTGGCATTGCCACATTTAGCAGAACATTACGTTCAGGGCCTAAAAGTACTAACAGTGTCTACCTTTTAACACTACAAATCAGCTGTCTGCCATCTGTACATTTATAAGAAGATACAGAACTTTAAAACTGTAGGGCTATTTCTATGCAGTTGTGATAAGCAAAAAAGGTACTAACAGATTAATTAGATGCACACAAAAATGGTACTGAAATAAATTTTGCAGCATCAGTTTTCTGTATTTTAGAAACAGGATATAAAACAAATCAAGTTGCTACTAAGTCCCATGTGCATGAAAAGTTTATTTTTTTTTTTTTAAATGGAACTGCACCATTGGTTACTCTAATTGAGGTATTTAGCCAAAATCCAGTATTATATATATTTTTTCATTAAAATAACTACACTGCCTTATCGCTATGTAAAAACATTTTGTACAAAATTTGTGTCCAATGTCAATCAAATACATACATAACAGTTTTTATATTCATTTAAAGACAAGTGGCTTGGATACTCTATTACAGTTTACTTAAAAATTAAGCTTTGCTATTTCACATGCTTTAGGCAAACATTCAGTTTTACATTAAAACAGACTTCAAACTGAAGTCTACGTACAGGTCAAATACAAATGTAAAAACTTAAAAGTGCCAACAAAACAAGATAATTCAAATACAATAAATGTTAAAAAATATATATTTATTTCAATTTTCAGATGCTTCAACTAGTACAGGCCATCATGATTTAAATAAGACAGGGAAACATTTGAGTTAAACGACAAACATTTTGTTCAGAGAATAAAATAGAAACTGTTAATTCACTTTTTTAGAAACAGAAAAGTCCACAACAAACCTATAAAAAGTTTTAGTTTTGTATTTATTTCTATTTTGAATATGGCCTGGAAGATTCACAATTTACATCCCAATTACTAGGAGAAGATGACTTGTCTGTATCCATGCTCTGACTGTAAGCAGACAGAAAATAATTCCCACCTTCTTGGTTTTGACTTGTGGAAATTGGGTATGTTGTTCCCAGAAAAGTCTGATGAGTGAGAACATTAAAATGACTGAACTGATGGGACATACTTAATTGTCTACTGTAAACTTGAAAGTTGTTGAAAGGAACTTGTTCTACTGAATTGTTTTTGTCTCCTTCAGCAGAGCATGTGGTAGAAACAGGAGTTATTGGCTGTCTCTCCTCCAAATCAAGTTTAGAAGTTTTTTCCATCAACCCAATTTGTCCTTCAGAAGACAGCTGCATATCGGTTAGAGAGTTTTCTTTTGAATCTGTTCCATGTGAGCCTTTGGTCTCTGTCTGCAAAGCTTCTGAATGAGAATCATACTTTGAGGCATCACTGCAGATTTCTATTTGTGATGTTTCATCCCCTGAATCCAAAGACATGTCTTCCTCGTCCTTTTCATCGCTTTCTACAAAAACTATATTAAGAAAGAGAAGTCCTACTCTATTGAAATATACGATTTTTAAAAAAGCTATACACTACTCACAGAGTGTTATGCTTCGGGTCTGTAAATCCAATATCACTTAAGGCTTGGTCTTCTGCCACTCTTGTTCACTTACTCAACACACACACTTAACCCTTTGTGTGAATGTCCAGATATTCCGATGCTAAAAGCTTCTGCGCATTGTGGTCATGTTTAGTGTTGGGAAATCCCAACTCCCAGCTCCAAAGGGGTTAATGTCAAAACAGCATCTAAAGTTATACAGTAGGTCAGTATTTGATCAGACAATTACAGAATACAATTACTGACATCCAAGTTCATTTTGTTACCATTTCTAAGTCTGTCATTAAGCTTATACTTCCCTCAGAACAGAAGGGAAATGCCATTTGGCTTACTCATTACCTTACCCTCTTCATCATCATCAGGCTTTCTTGGATACTGAATTAGTCAGTAATTCTGTATTTAAGATACCTTAATGTATTCAATCCCAGCTTCCCTTTCTCATTGCTTAAAATACAGAGTACTTGAGAGTTGGGATTTCCTCACAAATCTACAGAGTTTGTTTTGTAAGAGTAAAGACACACTACACTTAAAGGACCTCCACCCCACTCCTCTGATTAGTTGGAAAGAGTATAAAATATGCTGAATATTACCTGATTGTCTTTCAGGAACACCAGGTGAAGGAAGGTTGTTTTCTTCCGTAATTGAATTGTGGTAGCCAACGAGGTTTTTGAAGTTTTGCATAAAGTCATCAACTGTAGCAACTACTATTCCATTATCAGCATAATTTGAAAATGTTTTGACATTCTTTTCTAAATTTACAAAAAAAGAGAAAGAGGAGTGACCTAGTAACATAATAATATCAAACTTAAGAAAAAGACAGCTGCAAGTTCTGGTTTTACCTGTTAAGAAGACAACATGTCTTTGTTGTATATTCTGAGCCTGAAGTCTGATAAGACAGTCCAATTCTGGAGCATTTCGTGTTTGAGAGTCACAGTTATGATATGACAGAATCTCAACCATGTGTTTCTTCTGATAGGTATTCAGAAGTGTCAGCAGACTCAAGGCTTTAGCATTCATTCTATTTAAAAGAGGATTGGAGGTTTACATTTAGATCAATATTCAAATTACATGATGTATCACATGATGAAAACTCCCTTCAAATATATTTTCTTGATTTAAGATTTTATATCTTTGAGAGCACTATTTTTCTAACACAGAAGTGGGCAAACTACGGGCTGCATCCAGCCGATGGGATCCTCCTGCCCAGCCCCTCAGTTCCTGGCCCAGCAGGCTAGTCCCCAGCCCCTCCCCTGATGTTCCCCCTCCCCTGCAACCTCAGCACAACGCTCTGGGCAGCGCAGTTGCAGAGCTGCGGCCTGACCCAGTGCTCTAAGCAGTGCTGCCAGCCACCGGTGCTCCAGGTAGCGCGGTAAGGGGGCACGGGGGGTTGGATAGAGGACAAGGGAGTTGGGGGAGGGGGGAGATGGTCAAGGGTATGGATAGGGGTTGGGGCGGTCAGAAGGTGGGGAACAGGGGCATTGGATGGGGCAGGGGGCAGTCTGGGGTGGCAGGTCTGGGGATGGGGCAGGAGTCCTAGGGGAGCTGTCAGGGGGCAAGAAGCAAGGGGGTCGGATAGGAGGTGGGGGCTGGGCCATACCTGGCTGTTTGGGGAGACCCAAAATTTCCTCCATACAAATTTTAGAAACCCGACGTGGCCCTCAGGCCAAAAAAAAAAAAAAGTTTGCCTACCCCTGTTCTAACATGTCATTTCAAACACTTTATATTTAGAGTACACTGCTTACCTCCCAAGCTCCTTGAGTTTTTTTTGTATTTTACAGTGGACTTTCCACTGCCATTTCCCATCAGGTGTATTGAGGTCCTCAAGGAACTTCAGGAAATTTTTAAGTTTATCTATTTTTGAGACAAATAATTTGTGTTATATAGCTTTAAAACAACAACAATTTAAAATCTAAGCTAAACCCAAACACTATTGGGTCTTCCATTTTACAGATCTTTGATTAACAGCTGAAAACATAACTCCAGTACTGAGCTTTGTAAGAACTTAAAAAAAAAAAAAATTACTCAGTTTCTAATGGATTACAGTTTGCAGTCAGTGGCTCAGGTCCACTAAAGTTGTGTAAGCTTACACATGGGCTAAAATTTGACCTTAAGTGACTTACTGCCATTGAGAGAGATCCATTAAAAACTAATTCACTTAAGTTTTGTTTCTGGGGGTTTTTTGGGGAGAGAGAGAGAGAGAGAGAATGGAGAGACGTATGTGGTCTTAAATAAAGGCTACAATTATAAAAACTGTGTATATTTCTTTGGGGACTGTTAATGGTTTGGTGGCATCATACAAAATTTTTCATGTCGAGGTAGCTATTCAGTCTAGTCTCGTCTCTCAGTTTGGGTCAGACTTCTACATCAGCAGCCTATGAAATTTTGGTTGGTGGCCCCAATCCAGCTGGTTGTAGACAGCTAATCTCCAAAAAGGCTATAATAAAGTGCATGAGAATGAATTGCTTTAACTCTCTTTGGTAACAAGCTTGATACATATGACTGCAAGAAGTTTGCATTGCCTCTCTTCTGTAGTTAAATGGAGGATTTCATTCTCAAGTGCTGTCAATAAGACATCTTTCTCCTGTACTAAAAATTCATGATTTTTAACAAAAATTCTTACCAACTGTGACAGACTCTGGATTAAGAACAGATTCATCAGATACAACAAAACCACCAGACACAAACAATTCATTGTAAGTGTGGTTTTTCACATCATCCAAGCTATCAACACCAGCAAAGCTGACACATGAAAGCCTCTTCAGAGTTACTAAACCAGGTATCTGTTTAGAAAAGAAAACCAAGGATTACTTTCCACTTCTATCCACAATGCTAGCTTGTGGGTTCCGAGACAAAACTTTTCCAGAAGTGACTAATGTACTTATTTCTGTAGGATGTGATCTCACAATGAAGTCATTACAGACATTTAGGCAGAATGAAGGTGGGGAGGTTGGAAGTGATGACAGTACAAAAAGGTGAATATTCCACAAAATACCTCTGATTGCTGCCCCGTCCCAATTAAGTTTTTATACATGGCCGTCAACATAATTCAAGTGCACACAGTGAACTGAAAGTTCCCTTCACCCTTCCCTAGTGGATCATGAAACTATACATAGAACAGCATTAATGAAACCTCCATGGAGTTGAATATATATTAAAAATGATGAGCATTGACAAAACTGTATGGGGAATCTTGCAGTCTGTTCACAGCATGTTCAGGACTAAAGACCAAATGGTATTATTACATCTATATTTCCAAACAAAAATTACATTAAAATTGAATTAAGGTTGACAGGACTTCCAAACAACCTTAACTCTGCCCTATATGAGGCCATGACACACGATTAAAGCATCAGAAGAAATTATAAAAATATATTACATTTCTCTCTTCTGCCCCCTCACTGAGTCAATACAGTGAGGAGGTGTCTTACCTTTGTATTTCCCTATCTTAACATTTTGGATTTCTTTTGCATTTTTGTATTGGAGGAAAGGACAAACTACACTTCCTTATTCACTTTTTTCATACCAATCATGATTTTTAGACTTCTATCATATTGCCCCTTAGTCTCCTCTTTTTGAAGATAAACATTCCCAAGTCTTTAATCTATCCTCATATGGAAACCACTCCACACTCTATCATCTTTGTTGCCCTTCTCTGAACCTTTTCTAGTTCCACTATGGTCTTTTTTGAGATAGGGTAACCAGAACTGCTTGCAGTATTCAAGGTGTGGGAACACCATGTATTTATATAGTAGCATTATGATATTTGTTGTATTACTTATCCCTTTTCTAAGGGTTCCTAACATAGTGTGCATTGAGCTGAAGTTTTCAGAGAACTGCCCACAGTTACCTCTCAAGAAAGAGATCTTGGAGTAACAACTAATTTAGACCCCATTACAACATATGTACAGGTGGGATTACTTTTTCCAAATTGCATAACTTTGCACTTATTAACATTCAATTTCATCTGCCATTTCATTACCCAGTCACCCTGTTGTGCGAGATCCCTCTGTAAATCTTTGTGGTCAGCTTTTGACTTAAAATTATTTTGACTAACCTTGTTTCATCTGCAAACTCTGCCATTTCACTGTTCACTCCTCCTTCTAGATCATTAGTGAATATGTTGAACAGCAAAGGTTTTCCTCAGGGGACCCTCCTGCTCACCTCTCTCCATTGTGAAAACTGACCCATTTATTCAGATCTTTTGTTTACTATATTTCAACCAGTTACTGATGCAGGAGAGGACCTTCACTGTTCTCCCATGACTTAGTTTCCTTAAGAGCCTTTGGTGAGGTACCTTGTTAAAGGTTTTCTGAAAATCCAAGTACTTTATCAACTGGATCACCATTATCCACATGCTTGTTGACATATTCAAAGAATTCAAATATATTGGTGAAGCACAATTTCCTTTTTATAAAAGCTGTGCTGACCCTTCCCCAACATACTGTGTTTCTCTACATGTCTGATAACTCTGTTCTTTATTGTAGTTTCATCCTATTAGCACACTACTGAATTAAAGCACACCACCCTGTAACTTACACAATTGCCTCTGGAGCCCTTTTCAAAGATTGGTGTTACATTAGCTACCTTCTGACATCAGTGTGGGACAGTATTTCAAATTTGTTTCCAAAAAAGAATATCTACATCAGAGCTATCTCCCGCACAGCCCTCTGCAATAAAGACTGAGCAAAGAATTCATTTAGCTTCTCTGCAATGGCCTTATCTTCCCTGACTGCTCCTTTAAGAGCTTTGTCACCGGGTGGTCCTAATGCCTATTTGGCAGGTTTCCTGCATCCGATATACTTACATTCCTTACTGTTAGTTTGTGTGTCTTTATCAAGTTGCTTCTTAGATTCTCTCTTGGCCAGCCTTATTATACTTTTACACATGACTTGCCAGAGTTTGTGCTCCTTCCTATTATCCTCACTAAAATAGGACTTCCAAATTTAAATTAAAAAAAAAAAAAGTATTTTTTGCCTTTGCCTTCATTACTCTGCTGTTTAGCCATGGTGGCATTCTCTTATTGTCTTTTCTGATATGGGGTATACATTTAGTCTCCGCCTCTGTTATGGTTTATCTGTCAGTAGAGGCTGGTGCATAATATTCTCTCCAAATAAATGCCTCTTTCAAAAGAGCTGCCATCTCCCTCTCTTTTCAGTGGGACAGAGGCCAAAGCTGCTCTCAGTTAAGGTGTCCCTTTTCAATACAGCTACTGACTCACATTGTTTCCAATTAAAGTAAAGCCAACAGTCCTGTGTTAACAGTGCCCTGGGTGGCCTCAGTTTCCTTGACAATTGGAGATAGGTGGCCATTTTTCAGAAAGGCCTCTAACATTAGGTAAGTTTATCTTAGTTCCATTTTGAAAGAATGTTTATATATGCAATTCTTTCAAACAATAGTCAGTCAGTCCCTGCTGAAAGAGGAACTTTCACTGTTGAAAAATAATGGAAAACAATCCTTTAAAAAAATCTAAAAGCTTTAGGTATACAGTGCCCAAGATGTCAGTGAGTTTTAGTTAAAGACTTTTTGTCCAGAATAATCTTAACTGAGCAAATTGCTTCAAAATTCCCTAACACTTGGTGTTAAATTTCTTAATTTTAAATTCAGACTAACCAATTTACTTCCAAGATCAGAATATTACTCAACAAATACTACAACAAAATGATTAAATCCCTGCTTTAGGAGCAAACTCAACTCAACCTTGGCTATTGAATTATAAGCAGTGCTTCCATTTTATCTAATATAAATTAAAAAGGAAAAAAGTTATGTGGTCATAAGTAGTAGTGCAAGAGAATTACAAGATTATATATGTCAAAACAAGTTTAATCCATTCTAGTCAAGATGCACATTACAATGAAACATTTTAAATGCAAGTGACTAACTTAAGCTTTGAGTCAACTTTCTATATTTCACAGTTAAAATTAAACTAGTACTATTAAATGTATTTAATGTACCTTATGGATGAGGCTGGCAATATCTTCATTTTGAATAATTATCAATAGTTTGTCTAAAGTAGCTCTTCTTTTCAAGAATTGTTCTGGGTGGCATTCTGTATTACCCAATTTTGTAAGGTATTCCTACCCCACAAAAGAGAGAGAGAGAGAAACATATTTAATTAGTTAAACCAATGCAATTCCAAAGCTCACCATATAGAGTTTTTACTATTCAAGCAAGCACATAGGCATTTTTAAATCAAATATTTGTAGGATTTTTTTACTTGTACTCAAGAGCACTAGCTAAAAAGAAACACACGGACTAGATTAATTTTGTAAAGCTATTTCTGCAATTATTTTTACGGAACTCTATCTAAGTGGCTGACCACCTTAGTCCCTGCTGAAAAATGCACTTTTCACTAAAAGCCAAAAACATTTTACTTTCAACTCCATGATATTTAATATTAAACACAGAAGTGTAATTTCTCAACATTATCTGGAATTTCAAGAAGCAAAAAAGTTATAGGAATTTTATAGGAATTTTTCATTCCCTGACCATCCCTTAATATATTCTCCATTCTACTTGAAGTGGAAAATGTGCTTTTGATCATGTTTCTCTTTTTATTCCTGAAACCTCACAGAAGCTGCCCTACAATGCTACTTTCAAAAACCACAAAACAAGGTCTTCTCCAACTAATCCCATCGTCCAGCTGGAAAGAGGTTTATACCTTTCCTAGACAAGAGGAAGACTTAAATTGAGTGCAAATATGCCACAGGCGAGCCTTCACTGACTTATGAAAAAGTAACACCAAATTTCAAAGCTCAAATGCATCTATACCTTACTGATGTGTTTGCAAGTCAGGTTTATTTATCCCAGACTGAATGGCTCCAATTAACACCATTTTTAAAATGTAGAAATATTTGGACAAGCTTTCAAGGCCTTACACTCAACTTGATGGCATCTCTGTTTGGATGTAGTGGAATTTTTGACCACCACTATTTCAGGGAATGTTCCAAGCATCAATGAGCAAAATCCTGGTGATTTTGGGGAATAACTGAAAGACAGGGAGGAGGAAAATGGGGGATACAGCCTGTGCCAGCTGATTAACAGAGCCACAGCTTTGAGCAGCTCTGCAACTGTTTATAAATCAAAAGAACTGGTTGATGGAGTTCCTGAAACAGAAGGGGATGGGAGCATGGCACAAAGTGAGCTTCTGCAGTCTTGGAGTGGGGGGAAAAAGGGAAATGAAGGAATGCAAGAAACCCCTGATGTGTGCAATTTGTTCAGCCTACAGAAGCTATGAAGCGTGAGACACCCTAGCTCTATGCTAAGGATAGGTCCCAAAAGAAAAACCTATTTACCTGTATTTCTTTGCAGAGAGTACTTTCCTCCTCTTCATGAATGTAAAATTTCACAGTGTTTTTCTGTACATCTTTAATGATTTTGACCAAGCTGTTGAATACTTCAGGTTTTAACTGGCTTATAAAATCAGAGAGTGCTGGTTGGGTTGAAATGTTTAAGTTATCTGGTGATTTCTGAGTCTTTTCTGGTGGCTCCAGTGGATCATCACTGGAAGTGTTCTTATCAGATGTCAGTAAAACCTCTGTGGTGGCACTAACATGGTCCATTTCCTCTTTCACTATGGTTAAGTTCATTGATGAATGCTGCTCATTACAGTTTGGCTCCTCCACAATACTGTTACACAGTGGTTCTGATAACAGTGCAGTGTCAAAGTCACTTGAAACAGATACACCTTGTTCTGGTAGAGGATTCAATTGAGCCTCAGTTACAGCATCTCCTGCTGGATCAGGACTAGAATTAAGAGGTGGAGTATGCCTACCACAAGAAGATGACAGAGCAACATTATTCAGCTTTTCACTCAGCCTCTCTATATACTCTTGGACAGAGATTTCCGATGCCTGTAAATGTATGTATTGAGAAAGTCTCATTACCCTCTCCTGGGCTGAAAAGACAGGAGTGGACATTCCACTCACATATGCAATATTCTTCTGCTGCAAAATCTCCTGAACCTTTCTTGCAAAGAGATTGTATTCTTCCAGTAATGTAGACTCTATTATTCCACTTATGGAGTGCTTAGATGCAAGAGGGTGCTCTGTTAGTGCACACTGATCTTCATTTTTCTCCACGTGACTTGTATACAATCCATCTTCTTTTGTCCCCTTTTGTATGTCTGAAAATGGAGAGTATGGAAACTGGTAATCAGAACTTCTTTGTCTATTTATTACCCGGGGGTCATTAGGAAGGGCATCCTTTGGTGGTAAATACACCAGTTGTTCTTCTGGTGATTTCAGACCTATACAGGAAGAGTTAATTATTATAAATCTAAAGTTTGAAAATTCAACAAAAATACACACTTGAAGTTTGTAATAATTTTAAAACAGCATCAAAACTTCTACCTAACAAATTAACTCTGCATTTGAGGCATTAATGCCAAAGTGCTAGTACAGAAGCACTCAGAGTTTAACCTTTCTTAGGTTCGGGGGAGGGAAGAAATAACAGAATATTTTAGGATTTCATTACTCTCACTTAGGAATGAAAAATCATAAGCAAGTCATTTTGTCCGACAATAATATCCAATGAGCACTATTGAACAGGAAGCAACAAAACCTTCACAAGATTTAAGCAGACTGAAGTGGGTAGGTGACCAATTAAATCATTGACATTTTCTTCCTATCTAGCTTTTAAGTAGAAGTCACATATTATGGTGTAGAGCAGTGGTTCTCAAAGCCAGTCCACAGCTTGTTCAGGGAAAGCCCCTGGTGGGCTGGGCCGGTTTACCTGCAGCATCCGCAGGTTCGGCTGATTGCGGCTCCCACTGGCCGCGGTTTGCTGCTCCAGGCCAATAGGGGCTACAGAAAGCGACGCGGGCCGAGGGATGTGCTGGCTGCCCTTCCCACAGCCCCCATTACCCTGGAGCGGCCAGCGGGAGCCGCGATTGGCCAAACCTCTGGACGCGGCAGTAAACAAACTGGTCTGGCCTGCCCAGGGTTTTCCTGGAACAAAGTGGCGGACTAGCTTTGAGAACCACTGGTTTAGAGTTTAAATTGTGTGCATGTAAAATGAGGAGTTGGATGGTGAGCCATTTTTGCAAGCATTGTTAGCATGCAATTGTGAAAAATCTGAGTTCAGCTAGTGACTCCCTCACAACCCCAGGTCTCTCTACAACCTTGCTGTTAAGCAAGTTTCTTTCAATACTCATAAAATAATACAAGATTAACAGCAGTAACAGAAGCCCTCCATTTATTTACAGACCAGGTAACACTACACAGATGTGGAAAAGTTTCACTGCATTATTCCAAGCCTGACAAAGATCATTTCTAGATATGGTTAGTTCCGTCCCCAAGCACATTCAATCCATTGCCTCTTTGCCAAATCTGCAAACAAAGGTTTTTACTTTGTGCTTTTGACAGCACTTTGTGTAGTAGTACCTGGGAAAAGCTGAAATTGCTATCAGTTTCCTCTTCGGTTTGTGTGGGACTTTCTAACAGCACCATGAGAGAAAAACCATTAAAAAAAGGGGGGGGGGTAGAAAATGAGATTGTAAAATCACTAAATCTGGTTTGGGGATAAGGGAAGAGACGTGTCATCTCTGGAGTAGAAATGGTATCCAAAATTATGTAAAAAGAAAAGGAGTACTTGTGGCACCTTAGAGACTAACCAATTTATTTGAGCATAAGCTTTCGTGAGCTACAGCTCACTTGCATCCGATGAAGTGAGCTGTAGCTCACAAAAGCTTATGCTCAAATAAACTGGTTAGTCTCTAAGGTGCCACAAGTACTCCTTTTCTTTTTGTGAATACAGACTAACACAGCTGTTACTCTGAAACCTAAAATTATGTAAGAATGTCTTAAATTCATATCCCTTTAAAGTGCAATTATACTTTTACTAGTAAGTACAAAAACAAAAGACACCCGTTTGTGTGCTTAACAGGATACCAATCTAATTTAGTGACAAAAATAAGATTTGTTTCAGGATTTTAAAATCCTGTTATCTATGCAAAGCCAAGCAGAAGTGAACAGATTCTATTCCTTTGTACCAGACTCTTATTTCTTCTCTTCTCAAATTAAGTTCCAAGCAATTACAACTGAAGGCAACTGGGTTGCCTAGGTGCAACTGAGGGTCTAAAGATGACCTGTAGAATCTTTATTTTGGGGATTATGCAAGAAGAAGAGAACAGAGCTTGACTCTCAGAACCAATACACAGGTATTCAGAGTGCATCTGAATCTAGAAGTCACTGCTACATGAATATTTTTAAGAGTCATTTTAAAAATATACTCCCTTCCCCTCCTCCCCCTGAAGACTTTTCCAGCAGCAAAAAAGTTACCAGAATGTAGCAGCACTGTAGCCACCATAGCCTACACAATGTTAGGATTTTAAACCTAGTTTGCCCTAGTGTGAATTGCAGGCAATATGTTCTCAGTTGTGCATTTCATTTGTGTCAAGCTGCTTATCAAAAATGGCACTTTCACAAAACTATTTTATCTTTGTACCCAGAAATATATGGAACTATAATCTTTTCATATACTTCTGAATCACATTAAACTAACAATACTATAAATTTTACCACTTTCTAAATTTTCAATAGGACATATTACTATTCAGTTACATCCTTAAATACAGATTATTAGGAACGAAATTTTTATTATGGACCCCCCCGCCATACTTCACTATGTAGAACATGGTGAAGTTTCCAAAACCAAAATATGAAAATCATTGAGAGAGATGCTACAAGATTTATCACTAATTTGAGACATCACAACCACCTGAAAGATCAACTTAGTTGTTTTGCAAGAGAAAAGTTCAGTGCATTTAAAAAACAAAAACCCACACTTGACAGATCCTGCCTTTCAACATAAGGCTATCTGAACATGTAGAACTTTAAGTTGCTATTCAAGTTTGTTGACAAGAGAAACTATTTACAAAAAACCCCAAAACCTGATAGTATTCCTTATGTAACAAAGAAAAGCGTCATTGCTTGCAAAGGCTCGTTAACAACTACAGCAGAAATGCAAACTACAATGCAAAGGTAACCTTTGGGGTCAGAATTTTAAACTCAAAGCATTTTCAGCCACTTTACGGGGGGGAGGGAGGGGGGCAAGACATTACTTTTAATGAGCACTCTCTGAAGGTGGCATCCTTCACATATCTACACCATTGGGTCACAAATACTCAGGAGAAACTAACTGTGTAGGCACAACAGAAATTGTCAAACAGGTATACTGAGCAAATAACTTCCAGCGTTTGTTCCTGTTCAAATATCTGACTTCCTTCTTTAATTTGGTCTGTCCAGTTAGTTTGTAGAAAAATACCAGCTTTTTTTAAAAAAAAGATCTAGCTATTCTTGTTGCTTTACAGCAAGATTCTGCAATGCTGCAGAAAGATGTCATTCTAGAACGACAAAAGGAAGAGACACTGTTTTGATGAGTTTATTTTAAAAATATCAGTAGTTCAAGTAGTGCATGCCAAAGGAAAATATCCCAGAACATTTAATAGCTTAGGGTGCAAGATGAATAGCATTAAAAGCTATCATTTTTAAGATCTACTATCCCACTAGCCTTCTTGTACAAGGTAACAGGGAAAAGCAAGCAAGAACCAAGTTGGATTGAATTTCTGGAGATTCAAGATGAACTTTTAATTTAAGGAATAAAACTAGGTTCTGGTTAGGACAAAGTGATCATAAGCAAGAAAGCGGATTGCTAAAACTGAAACCCAGGTTTATTTCCAGCCTATTGTGAAGTTTGGATTATGTAGCAATTAAGACATGGAAGATTACCCAGTGCTCAGCAACACAAAATATCCATGTAAGTTAGGTAACTAAAAGGCAATAGTAAGTTTTTTCAGTGACAAGGACTGGAAAGCATCATGCAACAAAAAGCAAAGAATTTACTACTTTAAAAAATCAGGACTTTCTGTCATTCCTCACAACCATGATAGAGGACCGAAAATGAAAAGTAGCAATTTTCAATTTTGATTTTTTTTTTACCTTACTATTTATAAACTGATAGCAAGAGATCAATCACTAATTTATCTCCTTACAATTGAGAAAATAGCGAAAAACTGAAGTTGCTTTCCCTGGGGCCTATGCTTTCCTTCCACAACCATCTCTCCACCACAAAAATAAAGAAACCCACAAACCATCAGATGCAGTCTATTATATAGAGGCAGAGAAGCTTATTGTACGTGATGCTATTTAAAAGATCTTAAATCCCTAAAAGGAAATTCAAAGGCTCCTTGACGCTATTACATTTTCAGGAAGGTATGCTTGATAGAATCAAATAACTGACAGAAAAGCCTGAAATCTTAAGACTGTTCTAATTCTCCTTTAACATTCTTGGGTCACTCTAGTGAATCAATTCCATTAATTCAATGGCAATACCAGAAGAAACTATAAATTGGGAAGTAGTGGCATATGGGGGAAAAAAAAGCGCAGCCATCCTTCTCACCTGTTTGGTTATCTCCATGTTTTTCCAGTTGATCCTCTGGATCTCTTCCTGCCCCTCCTGAGGGAGAGCAGCAGTTAGCATTTGTAGAGTTTCTCGATAGATACTTTCTAGCACCTCTCAAACTAATTGTGTTATAGAACTAATCAGTATATAAATACAGTAAGAGTTAACTTGAAAGTTAACCCCCTAGAGTTTGTAACACTGGTGACGTCTATTAATTTAAACACACACCACCTCCTTCGTCTCTGGTGATCAGGGATGTTCCTTCTCTTTTTAGAGAAGAGAATACTTCACAGAGAATTGCATGGTTCAGATAAAAAAAACACTTGGCATAATACTGAAACCTAGTAGACTACTATACACTGTGTAACAGCCAACTGGCAAATCCTCATAAGAATGCCCACATCCAGCATTTATGATAAACTATAGTTTGAGCTGCCTAATCACATTCCTTGCCATTGCTACTTCCACAACCATGTGGTGTCAGCACACATAGTAATTGTTTCCAGGCAAAGCACTGAATGGGTACTGATGTCCTTCGGGGCTTAAACTGTGAAAGGTCAGATATCCAAGCTATACTACCTAATTCAAAAGCTTACAAAGAAGTTTGTGGAAATAAAAACCAAGAAGATGGGTATTAAAATGGTCTCAGTGCCCTTTGGTAAGGCCAATCCAGTTTCACCTACAGCTACCACTGCAGGATTCTTAGAAGATGAGCAGGAACCAATAGTTTTTACTTGTGGGGTATGGCAGTTAATACATCATATTTGGGACAGTCACAAGGGAAGGGGGGAGGGGGCAATGCACACGCGCAGAGAAGGGGCTCAGTGCCCAGCCTCAGATGCATGTATGGCTCTTGACTTCTCACCTCTTCTATCCCATCACCCACACCCCTCAAGCCAACACTCTTAAGTTTCTCAGGGACTTAATACTGTCGACTCAGTCATCAAGAGGTAGGATGAGAAGGTTCTTTAAAGAAGATTCTCTGAGAAAAATGGGTTTCATTCTTATGGTCAAAGATGAAAAAAGACTCTGAAGTACTTTTAGTAGAATAGTTTGATTTGGTGAAAAAGGGACTCTTCTTCAAGTAAGGTCAACTGTAACCTTAAAGGATTTCTGTGTTGAACCCCATAGTATCAGCCTGTTTAATTTTGCAAGTAAAAAGTGTGCCATCATTACCAAAGTGACAACTTCAACTTTGTTTTTAGTCTGATACATCTTGTGAGATACAAATTCAAGCAAATGACTGGATATGAAGACCACAATTCTAGACAGCTACACTATGCGTCAGTATATTACCAAAGCTATTCCTATTTATTCATCACATCCAAGAGGTTAAAAATCTGGTCTCTGTTACAGCTAAGCATGCCCAGTAAAGAGAATGGGATGTTTCATGGGTATAAACACAGCAGAATTTGATCCCTGGGGTCTTATAGTTCAGCCTTTTTCTGTAATAATCAAATATTAAAAACAAAACACTCTACATATAGTGACCCAAGAGTGGGATCTATGAAAGATGAGACCTTTAGAAAACTGGTTCTTTTACATTTTAGGGCAGCATAAAAGTTAGTAGTATGTCTTACCTGTAATTGGAATCAGCTTCCAGTGTATTCCAACCTCTCCTATATTATTTGAACTAGAATGTTGCCTGCGATAAGCATGTTCAATAGGAGTGCTAGGACACGGGCTATAGTCATCAAAGCTACTAACACTTCCAGTACTTGGTTCCTTTAAAAAAAAAAAAAAAAAATCTCAGTTCAAGACTATGATGTATCCTTAACATAGGTATTAACCTTTGCCATCTCAACAATAGTAGGAATGTAGATATCAATCTAATGGAATTTTTGCATTTAAGTTAGTTAATCAAATCTGAACACAGGCAGAAATATTCACCGTAAGCATTTCTATCCTTGATGACAGATCAAAGTTTCTGAAGTGACAAAAACAGTGTCTTTCCCATAGGAATTCAAAACGCCGTTTTAGGTGCATTTGCTAGATGGCGTTTTCCCCTGCTCTTGTTTCAAGCATTTGGAACTATCTGTAAGTGGATTTCTCTCTTCCTTTCCTTAACCAGGCAGCTTCAGTCAGCTGACAGCCAAGGCAGAAGAGGCACACCTCCCTCAACCAGTTGATAACTTTCAGAATTTAACTCCAAATTTATAGAATCAGTAGGATTCCTAGCTAGATTCCAGGTTGAGACAAGCTGGGTGAATTCGTTCAAGAGAGTAGTGATTATTTGGTTTCACCAACACAGTTGTTGTTCGGGCATTTGATGTACTGAATGATACACACCACATGTTGCGATAGGCATATGCATCGGACAAATGAATCTGGAAAGGCGTGTTCTGTGGGGTTCACTCTTAATGAGCCCTACACAGAAAAATGATTTAAAAGAGACAAAACCACACAATCTTATCGCCTGTGACCAACATTTTTCACAAAGCTATCCCACCCTATCAATACACATCCTCAAAAGAAATCTGCACAACACCTTCAAAAGACAAGCCTGCAAACTAAAATTCATAACTCTGCTAGACATGAAGACTATGTCTACACTACACAGTTTTTAGCTACACAGCTGTGTTGCCTCAGCTGTGCTGTTAAAAGGCACACAGTGTAGCCCGTTTGTGGGCTCTCCTGCCAATAAAAAAAACTTCCACCCCACAATGAGCAGAGTTAGCTGTGCAAAGCGTTCACACCGGTGCTAGTCGTCTGCAAAACTGTCTTTTGGTTTGTGTGTGGGTAATACCCCTGAAAGACAAAAAGTTGTGTAGTTCAGTTGCTAATGTAGATGTCGCCTAAAAATCATGGTCTCTATGGAGACCATTTTTGTGCTCATTACACAAATTTGTAACCCACTAACCCTCCTTTGTCCTACAGCTTCAGAGGTTTTAACTGCCCACTTGATTTTAAGTAGTTTCTTGCACAGCTTTAAACCCTTATGCTTAACGTTTCCCACCTTGCATTTAACTAACACTCTGGTTTCCTTTTGCAGACCTGAAGTTGAGCTCTATGAAGCTCGAAAGCTTATTGTCTCTTCCACCAACTGAAGTTGGTCTAGAAGAACATATTACCTCACCCACGTGTCTCTTATATCCTGGGACCCACACAGCTACAATACCATTGCAAACAGATTCCAGATTGTCAGAACTGCTTACATAAAAGTGTTATTTACAAATAGGACCAAAATTCCTTTTTCTACTCAGGGAGCTCCAATAACCTAGGAGCTGGGTAATACCTAATTACTTAGACCAGGGGTTCTCAAACTGGGGGTCAGGACCCCTCAAGTGGTCATGAGGTTATTACATGGGGGGGTCCATGAGTTGTCAACCTCCACCCCAAACCCTGCTTTGCCTCCAGCATTTATAATGGTGTTAAATATATTTTAAAAAAGTGTTTTTAATTTATAAGGAGGTGGTCGCACTCAGAGACTTGCTATGTGAAAGGGGTCACCAGTACAAAAGTTTGAGAGCCACTGACCTAGACCATGGAAGAATTTATCTGGGAAACCTAACTAGAAGATCCTTGGACTGGAGCTCTCAGGACTCTACAGTCAAAAGCTGTACTGAGAGGAAATTCCAACATTCACACAATAATGGTGTAGGGAAGTATGTATGGGCCACTTACAGGCTGCTCAGATTCTCTCCCCCAAAATATGACCACCTGGGCCTAGAGAGAGTTCTAGGGTGAGATTTTAAAGAGCTTAGCACTGGCCTAACTCTGCCCCACTGAAATCAATGGCAGTTTTTCCCCACACTGACTTCAATGGGGGCAGAGCCAGACCAATGCCGAACCATTTTGAAAAATGCCATGCTTAATCGCATTAAGACATGGAAATCCATCCACTATACATGCTTCCTTAATATATACTTGAATCCCTCTAGCACAGTGGTTCTCAAACTTTTGTACTGGTGACCCCTTTCCTATAAAAAGCCTCTGAGTGTGGACCCCCCCCTTATAAATATATTTAAGAGTGTTTTTAATTTAACACCATTATAAACGCAGGAGGCAAAGCGGGATTTGGGGTGGAGGCTGACAGTTCGCAATCCCCCATGTAATAACCTCGTGACCCCGAGTGGGCTCAACCCCCAGTCTGAGAACCCATGCTCTAGCAATAACTGAATAGGAAATGGATGACTCTTTCCACGGGTCAGAACATAAAACAGATGAGAAAACTGAGGGAAGGTCCACCCTTGAAGCAGTGCAACGCTGCTGCAGTGTTTTAGAAGAGATGACACTACGCCAACAGGAGAGCTTCTCCCATCAGCATAGTTAATTCACCTCCATGAGAGGTGGCAACTATGTTGACAGGAGAAGCCCTCCTACTAACACAATGCGGTCTGTACCAAGGATCTGGTCAGTATAACTGTCGCTAACACCCCTGAGCGATGTAATTACCCAGATGTAAGTTTATAGCGTAGATCTGGCCTCAGATCCTGAATTTCTCATGTCCCTGAAGTCTTATCTCCATACATCTTATTTTGAATGTGTCCAACTTCAACTTCCAGCCATTGGATAGTGTTATTCCTGTCTCTGCTAGACTGAAGAGCCCATTATCAAATATTTATTCCCCATGTAGGTACTTAGAGACTAATCAAGTCAACCTTTCATGTTCTCTTTGTTAAGATAACTAGACTGAGCTCCTTGAGTCTATCACTACAAGGCATGTTTTCTAATCCTTTAATCAATTTCATGGCTCTTCTCTGAACCCTCCTCAATTTATGAACCTTCTTATTGAACTGTGGACACTAGAACTGGATACATCTGACTGGGGAGCACATTAACCTGCCCACAGAAAACTGACTGCAGGAGTAAACCAGGAGAAGAAAGATCCTTTGTGTTTAGCATTTTGGAAGGCAGCGGTTAAGGACTGCACAATACCCTTCCCAGCTGGATCTAGGAACTTGGGCTCCCAGCCTCTCCTTACTGTGCTTCCAAGTGTAGCAGGCCTCATCCCAGCAGGATCCAATGCCATCCCAAGGGGATGGTAGTAGAGGGTTGACCACAGTGGATCTCTCCATTCTCTGGAGAGAAAAGAGGTGACTAAGCAGGAGGGGCACATGGGGCCCATTATATAATCATTACCATGCCTGCTCCCATAAAATACAACCCCTGATACTCCACAGAGAAGCCACACCACCATGAATCATCTAAGAGGCTGAATAAAAATGTCTGATCCCTGCAAGAGGTAGAAAGGAGGATTGTTAGTGATGGTGGGTTCCTACGTAGGGTGAAAAAGATACCAAAAAGACAAGTCTATAACAGGCAGCTACCTGCTTAAGCAAAGGAACAGCAGCAGTTTTATTGTATATTATTGGAGCTTCCCTACAAGCACGTTGAAAAACTCAACCAGAACAGATTGAGACTACAGCTATGTCTCATCTTCAAGGTTCTCTTTAGTTATTTTTTGAAAGGAGAGGAATGGGCCTAATAGCCGGGAGCAAGTATCCCAAAAAAAAAAAAAGGGTAAGTTAGCATACAGAAAACTTGACTTTTCAGTATAGCTCCTGGGAAATATAAAAGCTCCAAGATGTGGAGAAACAAATGCCTAAGAACAGAAGTCTTGCATACAATTTATAGGAACTAAATGATTAAGAAATTTTCACAACTGTATTAATCAGCATCCTAGTAACACTGGATTTTTCCCTTGAAGATACTTACTTTTATACGCAGCGTGTGGTCAATGCCTACTTCGCTAGCAGAAAGCCTTAGGTCAACATCCGTAGGATAGGCTAAGCATGTTGCTTCAGTTTCCAACATCACTGGGCTATGTGGATCCTTAAAGTTTACATTTTCAGTTTGTGCAATATTAGGAAGCACATGTTCTTCCTTATCCTGTGCTGGAATTGATTCATATTCATGTTTTTGCCTTAAATTCTCCATTTCATCAGTGTCCAATCCTAAAGCTTGGTTAACAGACCGTGCCAATGATGAATCCAAGTGTCCTGCACTAGCTAGTGTTTCTAAGAGCAACTTAATGAGACCATGTGTGTCTGTAACTGCAGGGTCTGATACATCTTGTTGTCTCAAGTCAGTATCATGTCCACCAAGACCAGTAATTATTGAGAAAACAGACTGTGGAGATTCTGAGGTTCTTCCTCCTTTAGAGGGAAAGGGAGGGGGAAAAAAAGCCATTTAATACCAATTCATCTTTCTAAACATCCTCCCAGGCTCTAAAGTAAATTTGCATAGTTCACATGCAGAGAAAATTTGGACTAATCTGGGGGGATAAGGGAAGCGAGAGGACAGCAAGTCTACCCCCAGATCTTATCAGCCCTATTTCAGTGAGCTACTTCAATCGCTGTAGAAAGTGCATGTGCGCACAGCAGGCCAAGAGGTGTGCTTTTTTTTTTTTTTTTTTAGAAAAAGGTAAAAATAAGACATTGCAGCACTCTCCAGGAATCAAAGCCTTTTTAGCAGAACTGTAATCTATTATCTTGTGCCGAGGCGGTAAAAGGTGAAGAGAAAAGTGCCCTATGCTCATTTTTTGTTTTAGGTGTGTGGGGACAATAAAAACAGAACCCATGAATGTAATAATTAATTTCAAGCTTATTTCTAGTTAACATTCTTTCAAGAAATGCAACCTTCACCAACACTGGATAAGAGCATTAGTTACGCTTCTGCCAAGATAAATTAAATAGTTAGCAGTGCTGGTGACAGTTATATTGAATTCCAGTGTTTTAAACACCATCAAGAGGCATGACAGCAGTGCTTGCCTCTCCAAGCTATTGTTTCAGTTTGTCTGCACATTCAGGGAGACTACTACACCACACTAGAACCATAAAGGGCTACACACAATTATTTAAAATATTAAATTCTACAGAAAAATATTAGGATACCAAAAATCTGTATCAAGACCCTAAATGCACAGAATGTGTGGGTATCTACAGCCTCCAAAATATATCCATTTATAAGCAAGCCACTGGTCTTATTTCTAGACCTGCAGAGCAGCAGCAGCTTCTGTGGAAATCAATGGGAGTTGCTTGTGCTCTTGGCTGCTAGAAGTAGGTTATATATATTTATAAAGGTGTCCAATGACAATCATCCCTTTATTTATGAATCTTTCACACTAACATTTATGAATGAAGGAACTGTGCATAAACAGAACAGCACTAAGCAACAAAGTTATTCCAATGGTCTTAAGCACTGAAGGCCTAAAGCACTTCCATTTCAAGTTTTCAATATAATTTTACTATTTAAAAAGTGAGTTCTAGATTAATTATGTTTCTTACCTTCATACTGGCAACTAATTTCTGAAGATTCACTCATTTTTAAGTGCTTCCTCAGATTTTCAGAGTGACTGTGTAGTCTTCGTTTCAGTCCACTTTTGTTTCTAGTGTCTTCTGTATCAGATTCTCCACCTACATTTTTTTTCTTGCACTGAATTAAATTAATTAGCTCTTTGAGTCTATCAGGATCATAGTCCCCAGGATGAGGGGTTTTTTGCTTGGCAGCAGCACCATCACATTTAGAACCATTTCTTTTCCCAGTTTTTGCATTTGCGAAGTCAGTTTCTTCTTCTGGGGCTTCATAATCTGAAATGGGACTGAACTGCTGAACTTTCTGATTTCCCTCCATCAATTCTTTTGCTTTAGAAACAGGCAGTTGATAGGCTTCAGCACCAAAGATGTAATTACGCAAGCAACTGTCAATATGGGATTTGTTTTTTGGAGCAGGATACAGAAATTTTCTGTCATCCAGCCGTGATTCATAAGGGTATAATACAAACTCCCTATATTTGCTAGACCCACTAATGCTTCGCTTCAAATATTCGTTTATATGCTTTTCCACAACAGTATTGAAGTCTGCAGTAGTGTCTTTACGAGACTGAATTAAAGCGAAGTGTAGTGACTGAATAAACTTCATGAGCTTTGGCATAATCTCATGGTTTTCCTGCAGTACGGATGTAGCTGAACTTTTCTGTGCTGTGAAGGGAACATTTTTTTGTGCTGTGATGGAAGGAAAGAGAGCCCATGATTAAAACAAGTCATCATTAAGAAAGCTGTGACAAAAATATATGGCTTCTCAAAAACTATTACACTTTCAATTTTTCTGGCAATTATACCTATGGCGAGATTATCTAAATCCAGTCTTTAGATTACCTCAGGAAAAATCAAGTTACTTACAAAAAAAGCTATAGACATTTATCAAACATGACTAGATCATCCTGTTCACTACAAAAAGACAGCAAAGACTTCCCCCCACCTCCCCTATTTTTCACTCCTGAAAATAAAAAAAAATAATAATAAAAAAAAAGATGGACAGTCTGATTGACATGATCAGACTATAGGCCTTCACCACCACTTGTTGCCTTTCTATGTATACTTTTATACTGCTCTCATCACCCTGGAAATTAAGGCGTTCCTCCCTCTTCCAACTATTCAAGCAATGCCCCAATCCTTTGGAAGTTAAAATCCATAAGGTCAGTCAGCTGTTAGTTTTGTGCTTGGTTTGTTCTCAAAGCAAGTCTTAGAAATGTTCAAAGAAGCCAGGACACAAATGAAGAGGGGAATAAAAGAAAAAAGTGACAGGTTTTCACAGTACATGGCACAAAGTTTGGATGCCAGCACCTGCTGTACCAACTTCTTCCAGCCTGTCTGCCACTGATGAATCACTTCACCAGAAAACTTTTTCCAACGCTCTTGATTTAGTATCTCATACTCTTACAGCTTCCCACACCCATAGCTCCTGTGCTCACAAGTTCCTTTTTGAGAGTAAAAGTTGCCAGACCATCACTTAAGACTAGTCCTAATTAAGATTTCTAAATTAGAAACAAAGTGGAGACTTCACCCATCAGGTCAAACTCTTTGACAAGTCAAAGACGACAAAAAACTAAGGCACGAGAGTAGAGATGGACACAAAATCTAAACCCTGGATTCAAACATTCCCTAGCTCTGTTTGAAATCCAGCCCTTTCTTAGTCCATTATCATGGAATTGATGAAGTCAGCCATCACAGGGTGAAACTCTTCTTTGTCAGTTTAATTTTCAACCACACCTAACTTCTGTAAAGAGATCTGATCTTCCTTAGGTTTCTGGAAAGAGCCCTGACAGGTAAATTTTTCCTCTCCGGAAAGAGATGAACAATTCCAAGTTATTATTCTGGGAAATTGTCTGCAATTCACTTACTGAAAAATATTCTACTGCTTTTTGGAACTAATCCATCTCTAATATAGCTTTATCTATTGTGTGGTGTGCAGCAATTATTGCTTATTACTTTAATTACAGTAGGCTCAGTTACAAAAAAGGTAGAAGGGAGGTCAATATCTACCTGTTGTGTCTCAACATTTATTGTATTTATACTCTGTCTTAATCATATATACACATGCACAGTGCCTAGCCCAATGGAGCTTTAGTCCCCAGCTGGTAATGGGATAGTACAAAATAAATATTAATAGGTGATGGGTCCTGGGGAGGGAGGGAAAGTCAGAGAGCCTACAAGTTTCAACATGGGGGAAAATTTTCCCCCTTAAACAGTAATAAATCACTAGGACCAGATGGTATTTACTCAAGAGTTCTGAAGGAACTCAGACATGAAATTGAAGAACTACTAGCTGTGGTATGTAATTTATCACTTAAAGTCAGCTATACCAGATGACTGGAGGATAGCTAATTTGACACCATTTAAAAAAAAAAAAAAAAAAGCAGCCTCCAGCAGTGATACTGGCATTATAGGCTGGTAAGCTTAACTTCAGTACTAGGCAAACTGGTTGAAACTATAATCAAGAACAGAATTATCAGACACATAGATGAACAGAGTTTATTGGGCAAGAGTCAACACTGCTTTTGTTAAGGGAAAAGCTGCTTCACCAATTTATTAGAATTCTTTGAGGGGGGTCAAACAAACATGTGGACAGGAGTAATCCAGTGGATACAGTACACTTAAAATTTCAAAAATACTTTGAGAATGTCCCTCACCAAATTGAACAGTCATGGGATAAGAGGAAGATCCTCTCATGGATCAGTAACTGGTTAAAAGACAGGAAACAAGAGATAGGAATAAATGGTCCATTTTCAGAATGGAGAGGGGTAAACAGCAGGGTCCCCCAAAGATCTGTACGGGGACCTGTACTGTTCAACATAATCATAAACAGCGAGATGGCAAAGTTTGCAAAGGATAAAAAATTTCCTCAAGATATGCAAGTTCAAAGCAGACTGCTAAAAGTTACAATGGGAACTCACTAAACTGGGTGACTCACCAACAAAATGACAGATGAAATTCAATGTTGATAAATGCAAAACAGAAACCAATCCCAGCTACACATGCAAAATGATGGGGTCTAAATTAGCTTTACAACTCAAGAAAGATCTTGGGAATAACTGTGGATAGTTCTCTGAAAACATCCGCTCAACGTGTAAGCAGCAGTCAAAAGAGCTAACAATGTTGGGAACCATTAGGAAAGGGATAGATATTTACTGTCTTATAATGCCACTATGGAAATCCATGGTACGTCCACACCTGGACTACTGCATGCAGTTCTGGCCACCCCATCTCAAAAGATATATCAGAAATGGAAAAAGGTAAAGAGAAGGGCAACAAAAAATGATTAAGGCTATAGAACTGCTTCCATACAAGGGGTTGGGGGGGGGGGTAGAGTTGACTAAGGGGGAATATGATCAAGGTCTATAAAAATCATGGTGTGGAGCAAGTGTTATTTACCCATTCATAATAATACAAGAACTAGGGGTCACCCAATGAAATTAATAGTCAACAGGTTTAAAACAAACAAAAAACCACACAAACAAAAAGGAAGTACTGCTTCACACAACATATAGGTTGACTGTGGAACTCGCTGCAAAGGGATGTTGTGAAGGCCAAAACTATAACTGGGTTCAAGAAATAACTATACAAGTTCACAGAGGACAGGTTCTTCAATGGCTATTTACCATAATGGTCAGGGATGCAACCCCACGACATGGGTGTCCCTGAGCCTCTTCACTGCCAGATGCAGGACTGAATGACAGGGGATGGATCACTTGGCAATTGTCCTGTTCTGTTCATTCCCTTTGAAGCATCTGGCATTGGCCAGAAGACAGGATACTGAGCTAGATGGACCACTGGTCTAACCCAGTATGGCCATTTTTATGTTGGGTTATGAAATACCACTTTTTATTAAAGGATCCATTTCTATTAGTTATTTTGACGCACATGTATGTTTTTGGAGGCAATATAAAATCAATTTGAATAACGATGAAAAATATTATATGGTAGTGGAGAACTAACTAGATCCCTTAGTGCAGCAGGCTGATAGCATTCTCCTGTGAAACCCACTGTGTTTAGCTGTGGTATTTTCTTAGCTGAAAGATAGAAGCAAGTCATTCATCTCCCTGATATTTATATAGGCTACTCTAGAATGTGAAGGGATTTAAGGTGTAGGATGAGGTAGGAACCGTGGTCTGAGATGAACCATGTTATTGGATTATTAATTCCTTTGTTAAAGTAAAATCAAGGGAAAGGCTGGATTTTGACTACATTAATGTGTGGACTGTTTCAAATCAAGTTGTGAAGTAATACTAGAAGCAGAAAAGTTTCAACTCTGAATGGTGGATTCAAGTTACATTCCAGATGTATCCATTAAAGTTCTATTAAGTTCAGTTCCTTTTAGTGGTATTAGTGATAACTGATTATCCTAGGCTCATCTCACTGCACATTTTGTTTGCTCAGTTATTGAATTGAGAACATGGATTTGTCCTAGTGCATAACTTCAAGAAACCAAATTAATGACGTTACATAAAGGACAAAATATAGCTGTAGGGCATTCTGTGTCAAAACTAATTGATGATTTAAGTGTGTAGCTGTAATGATACATTGCAATAAAAGGTACTCTTCAAGGACAGATAGATAGCTAGTTCTACTGGAACTTAGTGGAAATAAATATTGCTCCCTTTCATAGAAGTAAAACAGAACAAACTGAACTATTGTACTAAGTAACAAAAGAGTAAAAAGGCTTTTTAATAGTGCTAGCCCTGCAACCACCGATATCTAAATCGATCTATGATCATTCATGCTCATGCATTATGAACAGCAACCATGACCTAAAACTAAGCTCTGTAGATGAGCACCTCAACTGCATATTAACTATATCTAACCGAAGAAGGCAATCAGAAGTCAATGGACTTACTTGAAGTCACTATACCTCTAGGTTCCTGAAATAGAAACAATGCCTGTAGAATGCGGGACCTTCCAGTTTGGTGCTCTACAAAAAAAAAAAGTAACAGAATTATGTAATTTATTAAGAGGAAGCCAGTTATATTTCAAAAGACCATTAAGTATTTTAAAAAATTACATACCATATGGGGAAGTCATTTGCCAAGGAGAAAGAAGAAAGAGATATCCTCTGTCCCCAAGTGGTTTAACAAGAACCTGTGTTTTCAAGCAAAAAAGTATATCTAGTATGAAGTATGCACCAGAGATCAGGAGATTCGTTCGCTAAACAGTAACAAGCTCCAATGTATCACTGGCACTGAAAAACAATCCTCTTACGTCTGATGTGTTGCCAGCAAGGAGAGAGATTCTCTCCGTTTTCTTGAAATATTACAGAATTTGTTTTTTGTCCCAAAAAGAGTCAAAACATGTTCTACTTACTAATTTCTCTTTCTCCAGTTTTTGAAGTAAGCCTTCCAAGTTACTTCCAGACCTGGTCTTTTCCACAACCTCATAAAGGCTACAGTACATTCCACTCTTACACACTAAATTAGAGGGGACAAAAAAAAAAGTCTTAAAAATTCAGGTTTATATACAGATGTTATTTTTAGTTCAAAAAGACAAAGTGTTTACCTTCTTTTGCCCCTAGATAAGTTTCTTTATAGAACAATGCTGGTGCAATTTTCTTCTTTAGGTGATCAATGCTCATAACAGTCTCAACGTTAAGCTTCTCAGGACTGAAATCAAAGAGAAAAGGAAAAATCAACTTCTCTTTAACCCCATGGTCCTAGTCTCATTGATGAAATAAAAACTGAAGGGTGTTTGGTTTTGTTTTTAAATACACTCATTTAAAAATTAATTCCTTGAAACAAAAAGGAGTCAGGGAAGTTTTCTACCAGTGGAACAGGAATTGCAGAGAAAAGCCTGTTGTGTCATTTAAAAAAAAAAGTGTTTGTTTAAACCAAATGCATGTGTCAATTGACAAATATTTTCCAGAGTGCTTAAGTAACTTAGAAACTCAAGTTGGACTTGTGTTCCTAAGTAACTTGAAAATATTATCTAGTAAATTTGATTAAATTTAAAAAAAACAAACTGGCCAGAGTTCACCAGTTTCTGCTAAAGAAAGTTTTTAAACACCAATATTTTTCAACCTTGTTTTCAAATCAATACTTACAGTTTACATGGAAGGAAAGGACGCGTTGCAGATTTCAAAGCAGCGTGGCATAAAAGCTTCCCTTTATTCAAAAGCTGACCTCTCCATAAGGTGTAATTAGTCTTATCTAAGAGAAGAGTGGGGGGGGGGGGAGAGGGAGGAGAAAAACAAAAAAAGTAAAGCAGTTGTCTCAAGTGAAGGTACACTAGTAAGAGACTGAAGGGAGAGAGGGTCAAAAGAGAAAGTATAGAGGCACCCTGCCTAAGTGTTGGGAAGTTTTCTACTGCTGTTGGCAATGAAAAGAGCACCAGTAGCCAGGGCACAGGCAATTTTTACCACCACATTGTCTTACTTGCTCAGACTAGATCTAGACAATATGATGGGAAAAGTTAGCTTTGTCCTGTCTACACAGTGCTTGCACTAGCAGAGATGCAAGCAACCAACCAACCATCAGTGTTGACAAGACTGAAGAGAAAAAGGCAAAGACAGGAGAGCATGAAGTCTCTGCACAGGAGTAGCAGAGAAATAAAAAGTTGTCACTCGGGCAGAACAGCAAGGAGAAATCCCTGGATATTGTTCCAGTTGTTCCTTAGTGAAAGAAGATACAACCTTCTACAATGTCCAGAAAATACATAACTGCTGGAGTTTAGGGGGGCATTATCCTTTTTCGCCTAGGAATGATGGCATTTAGCCACACAGACCTGACTCCAATCAACAGTTAAACTCTGACTTTGTTAAAGCTGTCTATTGCATTGAGGATAGAGGGATGGGAGTGCCAAGGGATACAGACAGTACCTCACAAACCTACTAGATCTTCTCCGCCCTTCCCTATTTTCACTCCTAGATTTTTTTTGCTGAACTGGATAGCAGAGAAACTACTAGGTACAGTGACACATACTTCATGGTTACGCATCAGAGTGGACTCCCCCATTAAAATAAATGGGGACTGTTCAGACTTCAAAGCGGTTTCCTGTTCTCTACAAACTGCAGAAAGCAGCACTGCTCCAGATCACAGACCCAAAAGTTTCTTTCTAAAACCATAAAGGGCTACATTTTTTAAAAATGAAAACTGAAATTCTGCTGTAATTGAGGTGCTACTGGATAGTCACTGCAGTATTAGAATATTGTAGCTCTTTGTCTACTTACATATATTTTAAGGATACTGTAAAACAAATGTGCTTTGTCAAGTGACAGAAAAATCAATTGCTAGTTATGGAAGTCAGGAGGCTGTATTTCATTAGTATGACAAAAGAACTTTTTGTATCAATTGTCAAAGAACTTTAGCTAATAAGAGCAGGAAAATTGCCTCAGACAACACAATCCCATCACAGGTATGGTTAGTGATCTTTTTCAGTTTTTATACAATTGTGCAAAATATGCAGGAAGGCAGCATGTTTTCTTGTATTACTATTTTGAGCCTCAAGTGTAATATGAAATAGGAAAAACTACCCCTTGGGTTCCAACTGCTTCCCAAACCACTTTAACTGGCCACATCATGTCATCAACACTGATCAGTTTGTATTTTACCCTTAGAGATCAATTACACCAAAGGTAATATCTACTCTTTAACTACAATGACCCAAAACAGGTTATCCAAATAGAGCACAGGTAAAGCTAATAGAGCGAGTGACAAAAAGTATGCCATGCATTTATTATAAAGCCAAGCATTATAGTACAACTGATCCTTACCTGTGCTCCTGTCTGTATTAAAGCTGTTTGACCTAACATAAAACAAGACAAAGTTAAACAGAAGCTTCTCTCAATATACAATTAACCCTGCCACACCCCCACCAAAAAAAAAAAAAACACCATTCAGATTTAGGATGTTTTATTAGTTGGCAAGTCTCTCAGGACAGCAACACTGCAATCATGTATCCTCTGATCCTAGGTTATCAGAGTTCCTGGGGCAGCACCCACATCCATGGGGGGGCGGCGGGGGGGGAGGAGGAGAGTGAAGCAAGGGTTTTGCCTACACACATGGTATTTGTACTGCTTTATCCATATCAGTTTTTTTATGCCAGTATCATTAAAACAGTACAAACAACCCCCCAGCGTGTATGCCGTTATACCAGTATAGCTTCAGTGTGTAACTTATAGAAATAAGCTATCCCAATTAAGCACCTTTTATAACTGTATAACTGCATCCACACTAGTACTGTTTTAACCATATCTGTCAGAGGAGCTTCACAGATACAGTTAAAAGCAATACAGAAGTTACAGTTAGACTAGTCAGAAGAGAATATTTTAGTAGCCACCATATTTCAGGAGCAGTAGAGAAGCTGGATGCTCTCTTCACAACAATTCTAACCCTAAAGTACTGTACTTCTGATAGAGGTTTGGAGGAGCATACAACCAAGTGAGAAAGTGGATATTCCATGACAGAATGGGATTAGATCAGGGTGGGCAAACTTTTTGGCCTGAGGGCAGCATCGGGTTTCTGAAATTGTATGGAGAGCTGGTTAGGGGAGGCTGTGCCTCCCCAAACAGCCAGGCATGGCCTGGCCCCCACCCCCATCCAACCTCCCTGCTTCTCACCCCTTGACAGCCCTCCCCCCTCCCAGGGACCCCTGCCCCATCCAACCCCCCCATTCCCTGACAGCCCCCCAGGGACCCCTGCCCCATCCATCCCCGGATTCCCCACCCCTAACTGCCCCCTGCCGCCCCATCTACACCCCCCCCCCCCACTTCTTGACTGCCCCCCTGAACCACCCCTTCCCGTGGGCCGTAGTTTGCCCACCCCTGGATTAGACAAACCCTTTCTCCGTACCAGGTTGGGAGACAGGGAGTTCTAGTTTGACTAATGCTCTATGACAACTATTTTAATCACCCAACAGCAATCTTCCATTACGAAAAAAATGCACCCCATTTCATCTCACTGGATAAGTTACTATAAAACAGATTTTATAGGTGGAAAAATGAAATTAAAGCTGGGATTTTTGGAAGCATCTGAAAACCACGTCCTATGCAAATCTTTTAAGTTGCGGGCAGCAATTTCAAACTTTGGCAGATCTAGTACAGAAATGTCTTCGCTGGGAATAAGTCAATCTTTCTGCCTCCTGTCTTCACAGAATTACCAAATTCTTAAGTAATTTGCACAAATATACATACAGTACTTTAAAAAGGGACACCACTACTTCTGTTACAAAAGCCACAAAAAAGTTACTATAATTGAAAGGGATCCATTTTTCAATTTACTTTGTACACATTTTGTCTATAGTCTGTTTCCTCTGTAGAATAAGAGGTTTTCCCCGTTTGTGTGGCTCATTCAGACAAGATTTTTCATTATTACAAGAGTGGAACAACATATTGTAAGACCACAAACATTGGTGTGGGATTTGCTGTCAGACAGAATACATGAAACTACTTTTAAATTTATTTTTATACAAAGACTAGATTTCAAATTGATTTTAATATTTTGTAAAATTTAGAAGGAGTTTTTACAGAAACGAAACACCCCTCTGGTAGGACAGCATGGTTTTGAGGAGGGGAACAAAAGCAACAGAATTATGTTCTGCACAGGTCACCGTGCTGCACAAACCAAAACTCACCACTTCTCATAGTGGGCTTGAAGGCTCTGAACAGTGAGCCCTCAATTTCCCCAGTTTTAAATATGCACGCAGCACCACTGTTTGGGGATAGTAATGCTAAACTGAGTATGTTAGGGATTACAAGTGTCATGTTCAACACTGACATTTTTTATAAACGTGCATCCTACTTTACCTTGATGGGGGCAAAAACTTTGGTACTTGTACCATTTCATCCTTATAAGCAAATGAAACAACAGCATATGGACACACATGTCTTGGTCTTCGTCTTATTTCATCAAAGCCATATTCATAAAAGTAGTACTAATAAAAGAAGCAAAAGCACAAATGTTAACTAAATTAGAAATCGGTTCAACTTGTATTTTGCAAGTTTACCAATAGCTGATAGTTTCCAGTTTTTAGAAAGCGTGCCACTAGTTTCACAGCCATCCCTCAGAAGTCCTGTATCTTTATTATTAGCCAAAACACTTTTAAATAATCCAGAAATGAATGCTTTTAAAGTATTAAATTATGTCAAAAATGAACAGCACAGTACATTAGATTTTAAAAAGCATAAGCTAATTTTACTAACTGGAAGAAATATTTTCTATGAAGCCTAGAGTCTACAGTACAGACAAAAATGCAAATTCATACACATTTTTCAATCAAAGTTATATTATACATTAAAAACACCTACATTAAACAGAATATTAAGGTTTCAAAGTCAAGCCTCAAACGTTTCCTATGCAACCTTAATTCAGCCGCCACATGCATATCTATTATATCACTCTTCAATTACATCATTATATACTATTTTTCCTACAGGCACAAAGCTTTATTCAGTGCACAGAATGGACCTGCTGTAGGGATCAACCAAAGTTGTGTACTACAGGAGACTTATCTGCAGGAATCCAGCTTCCTTTGTTGCAGAAATTTGAAGGTGTGTACTGAATGAGGCAAGGCACTACAAGAAGAGAAAGTATTGTGTTTAAGGGAGTTGACTACTGGCCAGAGAATTGGATTCCATCCCTTCCTCTGTCAGAGTTCCTACCTAAGACTACACAAGTCACTTACAGGAAAGGTTACTCATCCTGTGCAATAACTGTAGTTCAAGATGTGTGTCCCCTCCCCCCATGGGCTCAAATGCCCACGTGCCTTCAACTGGCGATTTCATTAGCAGTGCTTGTTTAATCTATGCATCTGCCCTACGCCCCACACCTAGACTATATAGGGCTGTATGAGTGAACCACCCCTTAGCTCCTGCTCTGCTGCAAAGTCCCACAAGAAAACTCCAAAGCAGAGAGGGGAGGAGGACAGGTAATGGAGCACCTATGGGGGGGGGGGGGCACATATACTGAAGAATTACAGTCACTACACAGGGTAAAAAGTTTCCTTCTCTGAAAAGCGTCCTAAGGGTGCTACAATTCAGGTAACTGAGCAGTATCCCTAGGAGGAGAGTGCTTCGGATAAGAATCTAGTACAGAAGACAGAATTACACTGCCACATCAGTTCTAGAGGCATGGACCAAGAGGCACAGTGTTTGGAGAAAGCATGTATTGAAGACCACATACCAGTCCTACAGAGTTTAAGTACCAGAACATCCTTAAGGAAGGCCATAGATGTTGATTGAGACCTAGTGGGAGTAGGCTAGAACCGTAGCAGGAGGCTGGACATTAGCAACCTCATAGCACACAATAATAGATCCCCAAATCCACCTTGACAGTCTCTGGGTGGAAACAGTGGAACCTTTAGATCTGTTGGCAATGGAGACAAATGGTTGAGGAGACTTCTGAAACGGTTTGGTCCTATTGAGATAAAAAGCCAGTGCTCTTCTGGACATCAGAAGTATGGAGAAAAGCTTCCTGACCAGAGAGTTTGGGAGGAGTGGGGGGTGGAGGGTGTAAAATGTATGGTTTGGTTCAGATGAAACTCCGATAATACCTCAGGAAGGAATCTGAGCTGTACAAGTTCAGAAACTCCTTGAAAATACTGTAAAGGGAGGATGCAGTATGAAGGCCTCAAATTTCCCCAATTCTTCAAGCCAATATAATGGCTATTAAAAAGGCTGTCTTTATGGATAGGTATAATAATGAGCAGGTCACTATAGGTTCAAAAGGAGGTCATGGGAAACCGAAGAATTAGATTAAGATCTTAGACCGTAGCAGGGTCTTTTACTTGAGGAAAGAGGTTCCCCAGTCCTTCAATAAGCCTTACAGTTGTGGGGAAGAGACTACTAAGAACCCTCACATTGGAGAATGGAAGGTTGATACTGCAGTCAGATGAACCTTAACTGAGCTACCTGATAAATCTGTTTTCTTCCGTTGTAGCAGGTAATTCAGGATAAATGCAAGTAAGGAAAATTCAAGTGCAATTTGCGGATATTCACAACAGCTAAAATCTTTTTCAGTTCTGAAAGTACGAATCATGCTTAAATTCCTTCCTGCTGTTTAACACTTGCTATACCTCTACCAAAATAGTGGACAAGTCTGCCAGCGAACCATTGAAGAACCAGGCCTTGAGCTAGAGAATCTTTAGGTTGGGATACAATTTGCATCTTAAGATAAGTAAAGCATGGAAGATTACTGAACAAGGAGACAATTAAAACAGGTAATGTTTTATACCATGCGTGTCTTGGCCACAGTTATCCTAATAGTCTATCATTTGTCCTGCCTGATCTTGTTCTTCACCTTTAGAATCTGAAGTGTTGAGAAAAATATGTAATTACATGCCCCTTTGTCTAAGGAAGGAGAAAGGCATCTGCCAAAGGCCACCTCCCCCGAACAGAACAGACAACACTTCCTATTTGTGGAAGAGGTAAAGAAAGCCACCTCCAGACAGCTCCACGTTCAGAATATAGCGTCTAGGATCAGTGGTCTCGCTCTCTTTCAGAGTCCTCGAAGAGGCCTCTGCTGAGACCATGGGCCGTGATGTTTTGTATTCCAGGAAGTTGCACTGTTGAAATGTGAATATGATGGGCAATACCCCAATTCCATAAGTTTATTTCAGTACAGATATGCATCTCGCTCTGCTCCATGGGTTAATAGGAAACATGCAAGCCTCACTGTCCATCAAGATTTTGATGACTTCTCTCAGAGGTAGAAGGTGGAGACAGTCATTTCTGACTGCCTGTAGTTCCACCAGGTTGATGTGGAGACGGTCTCCTGAGGTGACCATGTCCCTTGGACTGTATGGACACAGATATTCACTCCATCCGAGTAGCAATGCATCCCATAGTATGGTGGCCATCAATACTGGCCGAAGAAATGTCGGTCCTGACATTGTGGTGATTCTGCTACCAGTCTAGGGAATCTTTCACCTGTTATGGAACAGAAATTTGTTTAAATCAAAACTAGGTCTCATAAGCAGACTATCCTGAGACATGTTGAAAGCTGCAAAGATATAACATTGCATGATGAAGGTGCAGGCTGCCATATGACCCAGAAGCTGCAAACAGAATCCTACTGAGGTTTCAGTGTTCACTTGATTACTCTTAACATTTGATAAAGTTATGAATCTGGACATCTGTGCACAGGAAGACAGGTCCTTTAAGTCAGCAAATCCAAAGATGTTCCTTATGTACTGTATTTTCCACACAGGGGTCAATGCAGACTTTGACACTGAGCTAAAGGCCTAACTGCAGGAATAGCAATAGGGCCCTGTGGGTGGCTGACAGCACTTTCCCATAAGACTGACCCTTGAACAGCCAGCTTTTGAGGTATGGGAATACCACAGCTGCCACTAGACGAAGGTGAGCAACCACCACCACTAGAACCTTTGTGACAACGATTGGAGTTGGGACTGAAAAGATTTGCATGGTACCGAAAGTGCTTCTGGCCTATCACAAAATGTAAGTATGTTCTGTGAGCCAGGTGTACCACAATTTGGAAATTTGTGTCTTGTAGGCCAAGGGCTGAAAACCAATCCCCTGAGCCTAAGAATTATCACTGCCAGAGTTACCAGTCTGAATTTTTGGGACTTCACAAATTTGTTTAGGAATCTTAGATCTAAAATATCAGTCTCCATCCTCCATTTCTCTTTAGTGGGAGTAATTAACTCACATAGAAACCATTCCTCATGTAGAGCCAGGACAGACAACTGCTCCTAAGCAAAGGAGGAATTTTATTTCCTTTCTTAGTAGGAGCTCATGAAAGGGGTCCCTGAAGAGGAATGGGGGATGTGAAGTGGATGGCACAGACCAACGTAACCATCTCCAAAACCCATTTGTCTGTGGTAATGCAGTCCCATGCATGTTAGAAATGGGAGAGCTGGCTTCCAAATGGGGGGAGGCAGGCAGGCAGGCAAACTGTTGTAGCTGGCAGGCTAGAGTGAGGAGGCTTCACACCCTCAGCCAGCCAATCAATCAAAACTGGTGCTTTGATGATGAAGCTAGTTGTGTACCTGAACCAGGTAAGTTTATGGTTCTCTTCCTTTGGAACCTGAGCTTCTTTCTTGGTGGTTCAGTGGGTCTTTAGAACCTGAAGAAATGTATCTGGTGGGATCTCTAGGCAGTGTGTGATCTACTACTAAACTCTCTCTCTTGATTGCAGGGGTATAAATTCCCAGCAACTGCAGACTAGCTCTGGAGTCTCTCTCTGAAAACAAATTAAGCCCACCTAGGGGAAAGTTTTTCCACCATACTTTTGGCCTCCTTGGGAAACCAGACAGCTGAAGCCACGATGCCCTGTGCATGACTGCTATCAGAAAGAATGGGTCAGTGTCTGCAGCAGCCAAGGACACTTGGAGAGATGCCTGGGCTGATAATTGTCCTTCGGCAGTGACAGCTTAAAATTACTCTTTGTTCCAGAGGGAGGTTCTCAATAAGTGCTTACACTTTGTGTAGTTCATGTGATTGGCCTGGTAATTAGTGATCTGAAGTCAGTGTTGCCAATAAATAAGACTTTCGCTCAAAAAGACTGAGACGCTTCTGGTCCTTGGCATGATGCAGTTTTCCCTGGTCATTTACTGCCTCCACTACCAGCAAATTAGGAGAGGGATGAAAAACAAAAATTCTGAGTCCTTTATCAGACCTTTTGCAAGTTGATGGCACTGTTGCTGGAGTCTGTCAAACTGTCCTCATGGGATCCAGTATCTCCTCATTGATCAGAAGGTCAGTGTTGTCAGTTGGAAGATACAAAAGTTATTGTGAGACTCCTTGACCTCTGTGAATGGCATCTGAAAAAATGAGTCTGCCATGCGCCTAATGATGTCTTCGAATTGCTTAAAGTCAGCCATTGATAGTGGAGGGGCATTACAGCTTTATCAGCTAAAAATGAGGAGACAGTGGTTTGAGGAGTAGCCTCCTCATCTGCTCTAGCTTCTTGTTCCTCAAATGTCTCCCCTGCTGAGGAAATGCTCTGAGGTAGTAGAGAGATTGTCTCCCCCTCATCCCAGCACCCTAGGCTCAGAGCCCTAGAAACTGCTGACTGTAAGCATCCCAGAAATCCTAGCAGGACCCTGGGGAGTGGGGGGATTAGAGAGAGTGTCCATACAGGAAAGCAGGGTGGCATCCAGTGTTTCTTCCACCGCTTATCATGTCTTGTCCTAGATTCCTCCCTATTTCTGTGGCTTGCAGAGAAAGGGTTCCTGTGAGGGTGGGTAGGAGACCCTGAACTGAGATTGAAGAGGCTGAATAGACAGAATTAAAGTCCCCTTCATCCTCCTCCTTATAGAGCAGTGGAGGAGCCACAAATGAAAATGGTGATTAATCATGTAGGCTATAAATGGGTGTCCAGTCAGAGACTGACCTCGTCTCGGTACCAAGGGATCCACTGTGCCCATGATTAACAGAGACTGTAGTTTCTCCACTACAGTTAAGTCCTTTGAATACCTAAATTCTTGCAGTACCAAATAGGACATCGGTAATGATGTGATGGTCTCCCTGGAAGTAGATTGTAGTGAGGGTTTAGAACATGCCGATGGGGTGCCAAGGTATAAGCTTCTATCTATATGGTACTAATGGATCTGTCAAGGAGTCACAGCAGCTCCTCTCAGTGCCAGACTAACACCGGGGATCCTGGTACCAGCTTCAATATTGAGGTCTGCTTTAGTGTAAGGACATCAGAGCCATATCGACACCTGGTCTTTTCTTGGTGCAGTCTTCTCCACAATGGTCTTTGTCATCACTTGTCTGTTCAATGTGGCACTGACTTATCAAGCAGAACTCTGGAGCTTGTCTCTTAGTGGTCTGAGGAGACCTTTGTAGACTGTTCAAGACAACGCAAATCACAAAGCTGAAGAAGTTCACTCTAGCAGACAGTGACAAGCATACGAAATATGAGATCCTGACTCCACCCTCCTAAAAAAAAAGGGGGGGGGAATACACACACACACACACCCCCTCCTGTGTCCAATTCAGGGGGATTAGTCCATCACAGGATGGATAAGACTTGAAGTCAGCAGATTTGGTGTCTACCACATTATGGAGCCCTGTACAGGGTGCTTGGGGGAGGGTGGGCTGGTCTCACTAGTAGAGAGTTTGAATCAGTCCTTGGAAGTCAAAATATAGGAAAATGAGAAGTAGCAGAAGACTTTGAAAAGTTTTAGCCTGAGCCAACAAGCAGCAGTGGGGTCAGACACTCACCAAATTCCGTCTCACTGCTATGGGAGGTTACAGGAAATTGAGGGAGGAGGCGGGCATGCCCTGTACAGGAGTATGAGGAGACAGGGTACGTACACTGATCCAGGCACTATTTTTAAAAAAACCACTGTTCTTATAGATGTAAGGTGTATGCTCACCTACAGTGGGATCCACACTGACATATACTCAAAGATAATATTTTGGAAAGAGGGAGAAACTTATTGTGAGCTTAGCGAAGTGATACAGGACCACTTACAATGTTTTCATTACAACAGAATGAAAAACTATGAGGTATATGTAAGGTTTTAGAACAGGTGAATATCTTACTTGTACAGTAAGGTATCAGGTAATCCACATGTGACTCCCTGTCTGAAGCGTTTAAATCTAACGCTACTACACCATGCTCTCTTTTCACAGATACAAATATACAATATATAAATGAAGCTGCTCTCCTACCTGAGTAAGCTCATATGCTCTATAAGCCAACAAGGAATTTACTTTATTAGCATTCTTTGAAACATGGCACTCATGCTTTGGTGTTGGATCTAATGCACTTTTAACGGTTGATTCCATTGTTTTCACACCCATGTGGTCATATATGCTTTTCATTTTTCCCTATAGAGCAAAAAAAGAATTGCAGGGTTAAATTCTTAACTATATCATTTATTGGAGCAGCTACAAATTAAGAACAGCAGCACTGTAAGAATGAGGTAACTGACAATTAGTTACAAGTATTTATAAAAGTCATTCTCATTCCATCTTTTTGGAGAAAAAGCAAAAAGTTGAACAACAAAAACAAACCAATTAAATCTGCAGGGAAAAAGCTATGTTGTGGTTTACTAAAGTCAATGTATGCTTTTAAATAAAAATGGTTACATATTTTCTTCCGACTACAAAGCCTTGTATACTCGGATTCTTTCCAAAAAGAAAAAACAAGTAGCAGAATTCTGTAACAAGACACCAAAAGAAAGCAAGCTTCAGTAGTAAGAAACACAGCCTTTGAAGTTAAAAAGCTAAGAGTAGAAGTTACCTTTATTATTTTAAAAATAATCACATCACCACTTGCTCCAGCTTCCAGAGGATTAGCCTGTAATAAATCAGCATATCTGGAGAGATATACACCTGATGAGGAAGGTAAAGTACAAAGTTAAGAAAACAAAGTTTCTGAACATTAAAATGTTACACTTAGGAGATTAATTAGCAAGACAAGAGTTATAGCCATTTCTATAATAAGACAAATATCAGTTTAGTAAAATTGTAGCAATACTGTAGCTACATGGATGGGCAAACAGACTAAATGCTTGATGAGAAGCATAGCAGTGTGTTCAGCCACCTTTCATGCTACTTTCATTCCACAGTTAGGCTTGGCAGAATTAGATTTTTCTTCTTTGAACCAATTTTTATTTTTTACAGTTGTAGGGTTGGAATTAGGGCAGAGCTGACAGTGGTGCTGCAGGGGGCTCCCTGTGCTGCCAAGAAGCTCAAAACATCAGGGCACAAGGTGTGCCAGTAGCTGCAGTCATCCTGGCCCAGCAGAGTAGAGGTCCCCAGCCAGGACTGCAAGGATGACAAGCCCCAGCTGTGGAGCGGCCACCGTACTGCTAAAATATTTCCTGCCCAGGGACGGCTTCCACACACTCTGGCTGGTAAATGACTGAGCAAGGCCATGACAGTGGAACCGTAGAGAATTCCCTGCATGGCCATGGTCCTGGAACACCTGATCCCTGACAAGCTATAGGGAAGGCTGGGTCCTGGTGGGACATAGCACAGACTCCTGGCCAGAGCTGTGTCTGTTAACCCTCTGCAGCTCCTTAACCCTTTCCCCCATTGTTTGCCTCCTTGTAGAGTTTCAGCTGAGTTGGGGGTATAGTTATGCTGGAAGGCATTAAATGGATGCCATCAACCAGTTCTTTGGTCTACAGACAACTGCAGGAGTGCAGAACTACAACTTCAAGCTAAACAGATCACAGGGGCTTCCCCCAATCTGGTTTTCCAATTGTCCCCAAAAATGACTAGAATTCTACCAATGGATGCTTAGAACATTACCTGAAATTTTGTAATTGGGTAATTCATTCTTACTTCTGTGAAAGCCATTTTTAAGACAAGCTTTAATTTTGTCTGTACTGCTCCTGAATCAAAGGTCATTACCTCAAACCAGCTGGGTGGGATTTTTCCTGAAGTGCTAATTTTGGGAAATTCTATGGCAAGGACAATAGGTTTAAAGTAATACACATTATTCAGATTGTAAAAATCTGACTGTCTGATGTAAATATATAGAAAGAAAAGAGACAAAGATATAGTTACCCATGGAAGGACTGCCAAGAATTGTTATTTTGGACTGGCCCGCCTGTAGTCCCTTTTCACATATATTTTGCACCTGAATTGAACAAATATCTCATTTTAGATGCATACATATTTGCAAAGTAAAGTTAGTATATGAGTGGAACAGGCAACAGTTTAATAAACCTCTCCTTTTTAAGACTCCATACTCTAAGTTATATTTCTATGCCAAATACTGAATACAAAATTAGCGTAATCTCAATTATAGTTGTACTTTGTGTTATTATACAACTCTTATGGCAGTAGTTCTCAAATTTTGTACTGGTGACAAAATACATAGCAAGCCTCTGAGTGCGACCCCCCTTAAATATATACTAAAAAAAGTGTTTTTAATTTGTAACACCATTAAAAATGCTGGATGCAAAGCAGGGTTTGGGGTGGTGGCTGACAGCTCACGACCCCCCATGTAATAATCTCGCAACCCCCCGTTTGAGAACCCCTGTCTTAGGGCATAAACTTTAATGCATGCCAAATGTGGATAGTTATGTTTGCTGTAGAGGCAATGTGTTTATTGGTATAGACCTATACCATAGCCATCTAAAAAATTATAGAAAATAAGATGTGCTTGACCAACAGCCACACACTCCAAAAAGTAGTAATTACAAATTCAAGACTTCTCTCTGTATCATAAAGATAAAGAGAATACAGAATCTTTGCCTCCTCCAATCTACATTCATCATAAGGTAGTAACAGAAGGGCCCCATCTAATATGGTGCCTTTCCTATAGCATCCTGGTTGCAAATATGGCAGATTATGTAGGGCTCTTGCGGACGTACGTGTACACACACACCAGTCTGATCACAGAGGACATACATCCCAGAAAGCAGCATGAAGATATCTTATTTTTACTCTCCCTACTTTTACATCCGAAAGAAGGGACTCACTGCAATAGTTTCAACTAGCCAACAAATCACACAATTTTCAGGGGGGGGGGGGGTCTCCCTTGTGTTCATGTCAAGAGAAAAGCAGTACAAGTTACCCGAGGATCCCCCAAAAAAGTCTCAAAATCAAGCAGGCAATACCCCTTTTTGAGGTGTTAGAGCATGTATATTTAAAAAAGCCAAAGATTTAAACACACTATAGGTAAAACTTCAAATGCACATTTTTTTTTGGTAATAAACATAAGCCTAAGAGGTATGATCCCAAAAGGTAAAGAAAACAAAACATTTGTAACTGGGGCCCTATTAATTCCACAGCATAACAAATCAGTTCTGTGACAAGATTCCTCTCTTCTGTAATTACTATGGCTCCCTTGTGCTGAATTCTGCAGATGCAGAACACATATCAGTAGTTAGTGAATCCTAAAGTCATCAACAAACATTTCTGTTTGAAAGACCATCCCAAAGGAGTAACAAGAAAAATGAAAAGTTTTTATAAAACTTGTCTCTTCTCACCTGAGGTCGATCAACCATAAGAAACGCATAGGATTCAACAAGCTCTTTTTCTAGGCGACCATCACATTTCAGTTCTCTGCGTTTTTCTGTGAACTATTATCAAACAAAGTCTTAATACGTGCAATGAAGAAACTAGTATTGGCACGATCAAATGCTACCTGGCTTCCAAGAAGCCTAATTTGGCTGAGTTACAGTCTACATTGGCAGATCCAGGTGCAAATAATCAAAAGGCTGATTTGAATGAGGTTAATGTTTCAGCAATTTCCAATAAACAATTTCAGAAGAGTCTGTATCCTTTCACCTAGGGTATGGGAGGGGGAAGCATTCAGCTTAAGTTCTCATATCATTTTGGACTTACACCTGGAATGCAAGTCTTATGGTTCAGAAGTTGATCATCACTTCTGATCCCCTGATTTCTGTTGCACAAAAACCAAGACCAAATTTCATACTTTGTTAGTCTTGCCTCACTGCTATCAGTTTGTTTTCTTCAGTTACAAAAATCTGATACAGTTACCAGCAAGCTTGCATTGGACCCATGTGTTATTTTAACAGAATAAAAAAGGGAAAAAAAGGTGCCCTTTAACTAGTGCTTCTCCTTTCTTGAAAATGAAAGCACATTAACATTATATTTCTTCTCCCCATGCTTGAAAACTTTGTAGTATTCAGCCAAATTACGTAGCTACAAAAACACTCAAATCATCAACAGTTTGTGAATTGGCTGAAAACAAGACAATACACAAGCCAGTAAAATGTGACTTTATACACCAGACCCTCGCTAGAATGCGCGTCTATATAGCGTGAATTTGCATATAACGCTGTCGTGGCCATGAATCCCAAATTTAATTACTTTAATTGCAATTCATTTTAACATGGTCCCCGCGTTAATGCGGTACCATGCATGGATCCCAATTCCCGTGTTCTAGCGAGGGTCCGATGGCATTGTATGCAGAATGCAGTGAGATTTTTTTGGTGTGGCAGCAAGGAGACAAATCAGTTTTTTCTTCAAGAGGGTTCAGCACAGTATTTTTACGACTGCTTGTTAGTTTTAAACCAAGTCACACTGCTTGGATTTGCCAATTCAGCTCTTGAACTTGTTTTGCCACTGCTTCTGAGAGAACTATAAATCTAGAAGAGATTATATGGATTTAGTGCGAGAGCAATATTTAAAGTTAAATAGACTATTACCGCTCATCCTAAAGGCATTAAAGCTGTATTGGAAGATGCCGCCATTAATTTACAACCATTAATTATGCACTTCAAAATTGAAAGACAAACAGGAAGCACAACTCTCAAAACAGCGGTACTGGCACTAGCTCCTCCTCACATTTTTCCCCTCACTTCATTTCACTCAATTCAGGGTGCAAGAGTTTCATCCACTATAAAACTCTTCGATATTCCTGACATCAAACCAGCAGCATGAAATTTCTAAGCATAGTCAGTAGTAAAACTGCTGGAACAGTAGTAGTCTGGACATTTTGGGCCAGATTCTGCAACTGGATACCAGACCTCTGAGGCAGCACAGTCTTGGTTACCGGCTTGGCTATGACCAAAAGGAGATTTAAATGTTGCAGGCTGTTTTCTACGCTGCAATCTTCTGATCTCTTTTGGAAAGACTTAAAGGATCCAACACTTAAGTATATGAAACCGTTTGGCTTCAAGTAAATGGAGTTGGGCAAAACCACTGAAGTTTATAGCTTACACACTGTTTCATAAAGGGTAAACTCTGGGTACTCACCTCCTTTTCCAACAGCTCGCTATGGATTAAGCTGGCTCTTTTGTAATTGAAATTGGTCACCGAACCTGACTCCAAATAAGATGAATGCAAAATTTTCACAACATCTTCAAATTCTCGAGAGCCCATAGCTACTGGCTGAAAGAGTGCTATTCAGAGAGAAGAAAGTTAGTATTAATACACATTTGACAGCTTCCCAGTACATTTTCGTTTCACTAACAGTTTTATAAAATCAAGACAAAAATCCTATTTAATTAAATGGCTCGATTCATTTTAGATATTTCGTATTAAAAACTGTCTCACAAAAAGGTAGAATTTAGGCTTGTCAGTATCACAGCCAGGCATGTCATTATTTCTCCATCCCCCACCAGCATTTAATTTTGAGCAAGTTGTCACCTTAGTTTACAAAAGCTTTCCAAGGAAAGTATACTAATGTAATTTCAACATACTCCCAAGAAAGTAGCAGACATACAATGCAAAAAGCTGTAACGTACAGTTAGACAGAACAATGTGTTATTGTAAGAATGCAGGAGTTTCAGGTTGTAGCCAGTTTTCTCCACACACAAAAAACCCCCCCGCACACACTGATGTTACAGTGTCTGGTCAATATGTAGGCTACTTACCTTAACACTAAATGGCTATTATAGAGGGGACAATATAGATTCAGCTATGGTTGCTCACACTCTAGTTTAAGAAATCCCCCAAGACAACATGGGTCTGCTGTATAACATAATTATGCATTCAGAGATGGCCAATTCAAAATTTACTTTTTTTGCTAAACTATTGCCTAAATCTGCATAGCAGTCTCCTTGGTTTGGTTTTATCTTTCAGCCCTCATCTCCATTCCCACCCACCATTTTAGCTACACAGCATGAGGGTCAAATGACCAGCTGGGGACTGTAGAGCATGGAGTAGTAAAGAACTGAAGCTCTGACTTAGAGAGAGAAGCCCCAGAGAAATGGAGCTGTATTCCTAAGACATCTTAAGCATTATGTACCAGGTATTTTCCCTACACAGCTTTTTTAAGATGTACAGAAATAGAGATTTATCCTGACAGGGTACAGGAGTTCTAGTTTGTAACAGTTCTGCCACATAAATAGTGCTTTTGCCTTTCTATTACTGCCTGCCTCCTGCTCTAAAAGCGCAGGAAGCACAGAAATTCTAGAAGAATTACAAAAACAAATGTGGATAGAAGTACAGAATATTTACCAAAATAGCAATAAGTGATTTTGCATGCGTTTCAAGGATTACGCAAGACAGGCCACGGTGCATGGTTTTTAAAGGGGTGGGAAACTTATACAGGACCATTATAGAGGCTCCAAGTCACAAGAAGAGCTTGACCAAACACCTAGTAAAAGCTTGTCAGTTACTGCCAATTAGAAAAGGACAGCATCTATTGCTATATTTATTGGTCATTCAATTGGGTCCATCTTAATGGAAAGTGAAAATAGTAAGTGCTGTATGTTTTACTTATCTTGTAAGAATGAGACTTCAAGATATAGAGTGGAAAAAGACTAATGAGCATGCAGTTTGGTTGCCAGTGGCATCCAGTCAGTCATCAGACCCTTCTAGGAAGAAATTACTAGACACAGGAGTCATGATGTGTTTCTTTACGCAGTATTAAGCCATTTCCATGATTATTTAAGAGCAGCTGAGCCATACATTAGCCTTCTTGCAGATATAAAATTTCACATGGACATTAAAAAATAAAAATCAGTAAAAACAGGATCAATTTGTTACTGAAACGAGTCATCTTCCAACAGAGGTAGAAGGCTTAGTTCTTGCGGCTGTATATATATATATATCATACAGTTGTACTTTAAAAGATTTAATGCCATGGTAAGCATGAACACAAAACCTACTTGTTATACATACACACTTAATTATGCATGTGAACCCTATTAATGACAAAGTTTGGCTAGTGTTCATTATAGATATTACAGTAGAGTCTGAAGGCAGCCACCAACTCATGGCCCCATACTGACAAACAATAAAATGGTCTCTAACCCAAACAGCTCACAATCTTAGTTCAAGGGATGGGGGCAGGGATGGGATGGGGGCAGGGAGAGAGAGAGAGGAAAGAGACACCCAACCAAGCACAGGAAAGGAACAGAGAGGAAAGTCAAGATAAAAGTTTTTTTCCTCCATTAATGAAAATAAATTACAGCAGCAGATTTGTGTTTTTGTTTTTGCGCTAAAAATCAGATTATCTTGGCTGCATCTTGATTTTTCCAGATCTAAAGAACATGTGCTTGGTTGTTTACTATATTAGCGCTCTTCTTATAGGATTAAGAAAGGTTACATCTAAGTATTGGAAAACTTCCATATTACCTACAAATAAATCTGTGTCAAAGTTTTTAAGAAGTCACTTGAGTAACAAATCTGATTTAAGACTGCAGTAATTCTGCATTATACAGTATCTACATGCACTCCATTCAATAAATTATGCTGGAAACAGTTTCACATAGATTGTATTGCATTTTGATCACTTAGGGGGATTTCTATTTAGAGCATCTAAAAAGAAATTTTCTTCAAATGTTTTGTAGTAAAAATAGAAGTAGTTTGAAGTGGTTGTCCAGTTATGTTACTACGGCTGTTGCTGAATTCCTGTAAGCCTGATAAACAAAACTGTCCTAGCTGCTCAATATTATGTATACAGTTCACGAGACTTGAAATATTATATACACAAGAGTGGCCACATATTACAGAAGCATATTGTCTACTTCCTCAATGCAAGTCTGTGAAAGGCACATTACTGCCTGTGGGGAGGTCCTGCCCACTGTTAAAATTCTGTTTGGACGTTATTAATCATTTGTTTTCTTAGACCTGGAACTCGGATGAATGATTTTTATGGAGATCAGTAGTCCTCCAAAATGTAGTTTCTTCAAAGCCTTATCTTCATTTTCTTCTATGATGAATAATGTGTTACTGACAACTAGAAATCAAACAGTTTTGCATATGGCAAGTCACATGAACGAGGTGAGTGTATGTAGTCCACAGCTCTGGTAATAACAAAGGTTTTTTAATTTCTTGGGAATGAAGTTTAATATGCAGAGAAAGACATGCATAGCTGTTGCTCAAGAATAGGTTTTGAAAGTGTATTATGTAATTTTTTTACACTAGATGAAATTTTATTAACTTATGTCTATTATAATAACTACATTTAGGCTGAGAATTGATGCCACTTCTGAACTAAATATAGATCCATGAACAATATATCAATTTGAGACCCCTTAAAGCACCTTGGATTTTCAGAAAGTGTTGAACATTCAATCGCTGGAAAAGTCAGGCCCCTTTAAAAAGTCAAACTAGACACCCAAAAGTCACTCTTAATTTTCGAATATCTGGGCCCAAAAAGTTCCGAGTTGAAGGTGCTTTAAGCCTGAAATATGCATTTCACCCGAGGGAAAAAAGGTTTAATGAAGTATCTCATATATTCTATATATGATTTGATTTAATCAAATCAAGTAAGAGGCAAGCCTTTATGATGCATCTTTTGGGGATACAGTCTAAAAAAAATCCACTTTTTATTACAGAGCAAGTTCTGCCTGTTTGCATGTAAAACACAGCAAAAAATAAAAATAATGTAAATTGTTTGTTAATGTTTAAGGTACTGTAAAAATTTAATGATCAGCCTTTCATTTCCATCTTTTTTTAAAAAAGGAAGAAAAAAAAGACTATTTTCTGTTAGAGTTGGTTTATCGAGGCTTAAGAAAATATCACCTGATGGAAAAGCAATCTTCTCAAAGCATACAGCAGGGCTCTTACATCCCTACCGCCTCAACTGGCAAAGTAGTAGTTAGATTGAACTGTTTAGATGGAAATTAGTGGTTTAAAAAAAGAAAGTCTGATTTTATTGGGGCGGAGGATGGGGAAGTCATTCAACCCCGAACTTCAGCCAGCAAAAACCCAGCCAACGAAGTTTTAACACAATCTGGGTTTCGGGGGGGTTGGTTTTGGTTTGTGTGTGTTTTGTTTTTTATTAAAGGAAGGGACCATTTGGGGTAGGTCATGGAACATTTTTCTGTACGTATCACCCGTTACTTAGGACTTTAAATACCTTCTCTAGCTTAGGTTTAATACAGCTCAGGAGGTACATAGCCCCAGTACCACCAGTTGAAGGCATAATCTGTATAGGAACCATACAATATCAAGTTTTTTGTTCCAACCAAGTCCTGATTGTAATTACAGAAGTGCAGTTCCAGATCATATTGTCTACATTACTATGCCTAAAAGATAAACACATAAGTATTAGATCTTTATAACCATCACCACATCCTGTAATATGTGCACATGGTTTAGATTTTAATGGTATTCATTAAGCTTATTTCTGGTCTTACTCTTAGAGGAGTTCAGGAAGGAAAGTATAGTTACTAGAGCCCTACCAAATTCACAGTCGTGAAAAAACACACCATGGACCATGAAATCTGGTCTTTTGTGTACTTTTACCCTATACCCTACAGGCTTCATGAGGGAGACCAGTGTTTCTCAAACTGGGGGGATCCCAACCCAAAAGGGTGTTGGGGGGGGAGGGGGTCAAAGTATTGCCACCCTTACTTCTGAATTGCCTTCAGAGCTGGGTGGCCAGAGTATGGCAGTGGCTGTCCAAGGGCTCAGTTCTGAAGGCAGTGCAGGAGTAGGTGTTGTGGTATTGCCACCCTCCCACAATAACTTTGTGACCCCACACAACCCGCTTTTGGGTCAGGACCCCTACTCTTACAACACCATGAAATTTCAGATTTAAATATCTGAAGTCATGAAATTTACAATTTTTAAAATCCTATGACCATGACATTGACCAAAATGGACTGTGAATTTGGTAGGGTCCTAACAATGACCTGGAAAGATACCTGACCTGTTTATACCGGCCATTTTCCAGTTTTTGTAAAGTTAACTGATTTATAGCATCCTTATGCCATAGGAACTATGCCCAATGGTTTGTGATATTTTGTTTGAAGTACAAAAGAGATTTCACTACACTTGCACAGAAGCTAGACCAGTATTATAACAGTCATTTTGTTAGAAAGAAAACAGAGAGAGAGGGACAATGTCACTTCAATGTTTGACATCAGATATTAGTGCTTGACTGTCTAGACTGTACAGCTATGTGTTGTTTTCAATGCCAAAACACCATTAGTCAACTTCCATATATGACTCTCAGTAAGCAATATATCAATTCATTCAAATTATCAGATGAAATTTGCAGGTTTCCTTTGTTTTTTTTAAAAGACTGATACTCGCAACTATGTCAGGAAAATAATCTTGCTTTCTTGGGGAATACTGACTGTCTTCACCTGACACTTCAGGTTTCCAGGCATACAAAGCATTTTCCTTCTTATCAAATCAGTAAAAATAGCAGCATGATATTGCTCTTTAGAAATGAAATGTTTCTGCCACCAAGATATGAAAAAGTACTATTTTCCTGAAGTCACTGTTTTCTAGTGCATCAAGACAGATATGCACTGATAAAATAGGACATCACAATGGTTAATATAAGCCTTGAGCTTGTATTATTGTAGCGTCTTTCACCCTAAAAGGTCCATAAGCAGTTTACAAATTCAGGGAAATCACTTAATCCCCTAGGGTGGAAACTGTCGATGGTGAGCAGCACGTAACCATCCTTCCCAAAAGTTTGGTAAGGATAATGGAAAATAAACATCTAATGAAAGGTCAAATAATACAGGTCGGCAAAAAAAAAAAAAACACCCTCACATGAGCTACAGTTTGGCCAACAACCCAGCACTTACAAGTGCCCTGGAGTCTTTAATGACAAGTAAGCAAGACCTTGATTTTGCATCTAGACAGAGAAAGAAGGAGTGGCACCCTAACATAAGCGCCAATTCAGGAAGGTACTCAAACATGTGCCTATCTTTAAGCATAGGAGCAGCAGTGGGACTACACAAGCATATATTTAACTGCCTTTCGGAAATCAGAGGCATAATGCGGATGAGTTAGTCCAACAGGGAGCCCAAAGGAAGACTGGTACCAGCACTATTTCTTGTGCACTTGCCCTTCCCTGTCGCAATTGGCCTCTCAAAGCAACGGGCCAGCTTGCAAGATATGGCTTAAAAAAAAAAAAAAGTCACATGAGATGGCAGTAGGCCACATGGTTTATGAACAAAACAGGAAACGGTACTACTGCAATTAGTGCCGTGTGTGACTAGATACCATAAAACGGACCAAAACCTCAAGCACAAATAAATTTAATCTTTCCTGCTTATAAATATATTTAAGGTCATACTCCCTGAATGGTCCCTATGGAAAAAGGAGAGCAATTAAAAAAAAAAGCAGCCTCCTGAAGTTTAATGAAAGTTTATATAAAGTTCCCCCCAGAAGTTAGAGTCCAATAAAGAATCAATAAAAAGAGCCTCATTATATAATCTGTCATTTAGCTCCATCTGCTTTGTTCAATTCAAGTTAAAACATTTTCTGTAACTCTCTAGATGGTAGGCCTAGCCTGGATATCATGCGTTCATTTGTTTCTAGTCATCATTCAAGAAACACCTATTCCTGCTTCAGAAACTGAAGAAGCTGGTATACCGAGAATTTACCTATGTTTTCTGACTTTGCAAATTCCATGTACAGCTTTTAAATTGCCTCACATAGCTATTTTAAAAAACCGTCTAAAGTATAATAGGTTTTAGTGTCCTTTTTTTAAAATGTAATGTAAGAGAAAATGTAGTCATGACTTACACTGATATAGTGCTTTCATCATGGAGGAGTGCAAAGAACTTTTATAGGTCATACATTATAGGGATTAGCTTCCCACAACTAAAAAACAGTCACCTTGTGGGTACAACACAGCAGCCATTCTGCACCAGCAATGCTACAACATAATTTTAAGACAAGAAATCAAGAATAACTTCCACGAGAAGTTATAGAAGAATTGGGGGAGGAAGGGCGGGGGGGGCGCGCAATGTTGCTTAGTGTTCCCAAGTTTGGGATTTGGGCAGGGCAGCAATATCAACATCCCTACCTTTCCAAGGAGAGTCATGTCAACTTTATCAGCCATTAAGTGCTTGGTGGAAGAACAGCGTGATCTTGGTTTCAGAACTCACCCAGAAGACCAAAGAGCCAGCAGTGCATTGTCACTCTGCCATTAAAATTGGGACACTGGTGTAGTACTGATTTAGTACCACAACTTCCCAATTTATCATCAACACTTCCTGCACCACCCAAGTTCTCTCTGGAAGCTTTCCATCTAATTACTGATCTGGCCTAATTTTGTGATGGCTTCTGATAAGTGATATCATGGCACATTATACTATGGTATGGTTATGGCAACAGCCAAGCACCCATAAACAATCAACCAGCATATGTATATGATGGAATGGAAAGAAATGTTTCAAGTGTCCAAAAGTTTTAACTAGCAAGTATTATTAAAAACAGAGACCTCTTTGGACAATATTTTAAAGAAGAAATTCTGATACACCAAAAGATGAAATCCATAAGACCATGCCAAATAAAATCTTGATGTTAGCAACTCAGTTGCAACCAGTTAGATCAGACTAGTCTCCCCCTCCATCCCAAAGGAAGTGACAGAAGAAGCCCTAAACTCAAGATATTTAAAATGCTTGACTGGTCAGAAACATACACTGCAGGAAACAATCCTGCACAGACAGGTGATGTACTAGATGACCTAGAAGGTGTTTTCCAGACTTAGTTTATATATTTCAGGTTTATCCAAATTCACAATGGAACCAAGTGCTAGAAATGTACTTTAAAAAAAAATAAAAAAAACAAAAACTATGTAATGCACTGAATGCCTCCGAGATTGGTTCTATAACTTTGTGGTTAAAACAATCACACTTGGTCTTGGGGAATCTGAAAAGAGAGGAGCCATTTTTTAATCCAGACATTTTTCTATCAGATGACCATCAAGGAGAACAGGACACCATTACTTTTAAGTCAATCTGCTCCTTTTACATTAGCCTCTGCTAGCTTCATATCCACATTTGTATTCCTGAGAGAATTAGTGCCATCTTCAAAATGGGAAAGAAATGGGATAATCAAACAAACCTACCTTCACTTCCTCCTAACAGAACAAAATTTTAAAGAAAAAGTTTACATTTTACAAAATTTTTACAAAAGTTAAAACAGCTTCTTTGAAAGATGAAAACCCTATATGAAAATGGTTTTGCAATGGTAACTGTTGTGTTATTGAGCCCTTATTCCACTACTGGGGAAGGGCAAGAAAGGGGAAACTTTGAGGGGTGGGGAGGAGGAGAACCAAAGTAAGTAAATCTTCTTGGCAAATTAACAAATTAAAAGCAAGCAGAAATGAACAGTCTCCCAGAAAATGAGAGAGAGCGAGCACTGGCTTTCAGAGAAAGTTCTATTAAAAAAAAAAAAATAGTAGCCTCAAACAAGTAGCAGTTCCAGTGTGGGGCACATGAATGTGGGATGCACACTTCTCTCCTGCAAACAGATGGACACACGCAAGCTTTCCATGGGTAAGGAAAGAAGGGCAATCTTCTCTGCATGTGTCTCAGAAGTAGACACCTACATAAAATGTTTACCAGCTCAATCTAAATATAGACGTACTTGTCTCCTGCAGAGAGGAAAGAAGGGGGAAAGAGAGAGAAAGAACCATCTTCTCTGTATATCCGTGTGTGTCCCACAGAGAACCATCTTCTCTGCGTGTGTGTGCGCGCACCTCAGAAGTGGGGCTGCGATAAACCGTTTCCAAGCCCACCCTGATCAAATCCAGCCTTTTTCATTTTTAAGCCACCATCTCAAATTCAAGCTCCGACTTTTTTTTCCTTACACAAAGAGGAGAATTTAAAATGCCTCTAACACTAAAATCTCATCCCCAGAAGCCTCTCTAATCGGAGCCATGCCACAGCCTCCTCCACACCCGCAGGATTCTGCATGCAGCTGTGAGAAGTGTATAAAGAGCCTCCCTAATGAATAAGATGAAGAGGGGGGTGAGGGAGAGAAGAAGGGGGGAGGAAGGGAACAACCTTTCTTTTCTCTGCTCTTCCTGGGGATCTGAAAATTCCTCCTAATAGGCAGATCTTCAGGGGTCTTGGGGAGAGGGGGAGGACCCCCCAACACGTCGCTAGGTTGTTGTAGCTGCTGCTGTTCACGTGCCGTGGAGACACTGCTCTTCCGCTGGCTACTGCTGAGATTTGGGGGGGGTTTCTCTTCTGTAGCAGCCACCAGCAGCGCCTCCTCAGCGGTACTATCAGAGCGGCCGCCATTTTGTGTGTTGTCCTCAGCTGCTGCTGCGCCGCTGCTCTCCACACCAAGGAGGCCCCGGTCGTTCTTCTCCGTCCGCTGAAGCTCCTCCGGCTCTATCTCGCCACCGCCAGTAACCCCAGCATCCGCCATTGAACTCTATGGCGAGGAAACAACTGAGCGCTAACAACTGTTTCTTCTCTTCTCCCACGGAGCCGCCCCTTCCCAAGCTCCATGCACCACCCACCCCTAGCCTCTACCGCGCTGCTCCGCTCTACCACTCCAGTCGCTCACTTTATGGCAACAACTCCGCCTCTCCTCCCCCCAACATGGCGGCTGCGCCGCAGCTGGGAAAGGGGCGTGGTCAGCGCCCGGCCAGCGGCGGCCAATCAATGCGTGGGGCAGGTTATAAATATGGGAGGAGGTGGGTGCCGCGCAAGTGGCGCAGTAAGGTGAGAACGTCTCAAGACGGCAAAAATGGCACGGCACCTCGTTTGGCGCGCCTTTGCCTCAGATGCATCCTTCCCACTCCTAGACTCCTTGTGGTGGCTGGTTCCCATCCCTATTGGGCCGTGGCAGCAAGATAAGGGAGAGTTCATAGTGATCTTGTTGATTTTTTTTCCTGGCACCATTCACTCTTGGTGCACTGCCCAGGCAGTTGAAGCACTCACCATGGGTCACACCCATGTTGTGAGAGGGAGTGTTTGTACCACGTAGAGTCAACAAGCCTTTGTACCAGCTCTTGATCCTGTGCTGCAAGGTTGGAATCTGTAGGACTAACTGCTGCCTGTCCTGCAGCTCCTCCAAGGCTGCTTGATCCGTTAAGGTACCACTCGAACTTTGGTAATGGCCTGAATGGGACAAGAGAAGGAGGCATCATTGCAACTTCACCACTTGTTATGTTACATCAGCAGAAACAGAGGAGAAGGCCAGGGACCAGTTTCCTGCCCTCCTTAGCATTTTGGACAAAAAAGAAAGTGGCAACGTAAGCCATTGACCTTCCAGTAGTAGGAGTGGAGAAGACAATATGGGTGTAGTAGCCTGCTCTGTAGAGAAACAGGAACAGAGAAGAAGGTATCAGTCTGATCCCCACCCTTTTTCATGATTGGGAACAGAGATGAAAGTGTGGGCCTAGTTTCCAACCTTATTTCTGCAGAATGGGAGAAAAAGGCAGAGGTATAGTTCCCCACTCTGCCTCTTGAGGTGGCATCAGAGAATTTATGGGTCCTTATCCTTGCTTGAACGTATACAAGGTATAGATGGGATTTGTGTTTTTAAGGTCTCATCGAAAGATCTCCTACACCATAAACTGAGTGGAATTCAGTTTATCTTTTTCAGAAAGATAAGGACTGATTCAGTGCTGTCAGGGTTTTAAATGTGTGGTTCCTGTTTAGCTTGGTAATTTGGGTGTACCATTTAGCTATGTGCTTGTGTCTGTACATTTATAGTTCTTCTGTACTATTAATAACAAAAACTGAAAATAAGAGCTACTGTGAGGAGTTTGTCACCAATTTTATGCTGACTACTGGATATTTCACTTAAGGAGCGTTTTCTTAAATGGTTAAGTCAACTATTATGTCACTTAGAGATGTCACTCATTTCCTCACAGTATTTACATTCCACACAAATTTGGTCTGCTCACCTCTGTTTGAATAACTTGCATCAGAAATAATTAATCATGAAACTGAGATTATTGATATTTACACCAAGAGAATTAATCCTACATCATCAGCATCTGCAAACAATGTGTTCTACCTCCTACAGTTCATTGAGACTTTCCTGGTAGACAATGACCTAGGCTTGGTAATAACACTTCTGTATTCTCCTGACAACACAACAGCAATGCAGTCTACCTACACACCCTCATCAACCCTCTGGAAACTCCCAAGTACAGAATGCAGCAGCACATCTCAGCAACAAGGTCTGCAATTAATATATCAAACCTGTCCACTCTTCACTATACTTATTTCCCATAGAATATCATGTCAGATTCAAGGTCTCAATCCTTACTTTCAAGTTATTGAACATGGTGACCTTAAAGGTCACTTGAAGCTCTAGGACGAGGACTATGTTTAACAGCTCCAGACCTCTGGCACTATGGAATTGTCTACCACAAGAACAGAGCTTGTTTATGCAGGAGACAGCTTTCTCACATGCCTGCCTAAGTCAGGAATAAACTCAGAATCTAAATCCCCTACCCCCATTAAACTTACTGTCTTCTGATTCGAGTGCAAAACCCACTTTGGTCTTTTTAATATAAACACACAGCACAGTATACTGGTACAAATGATTAAAAGCAAAATAGCTCATAATTTTTCCTTCTGGGAAGAAGATGAAAGAGAGAAAGAAAGAACCATACATGGTAGATAATTGTTACTTCATGCACTTTTGTAAGGTGCATAGGTACTGCAATACAGAAGGCAGTGTAAGATCTTGAATAGAAATAGAATAATCATTTTAAATTTTCTGCATGAATAATTTTCTGTCTCCTTCATATTGGGTCCCATATTTGTGCCTTGAAAAGTTGAAAGGTACGCTGTGTGGCATTTTCAGAACCTGCCCTCTCTTCAGAATGTATGTCCTTGCTCCAGGAATAGTTCTAAAAAAGCAACTCTGGCTATGGTTAACAGCTTTAGACATGAAAGAAATATGCTGTAGGAGACTGAAGATATTTCTTTGCCTGAATCCATTAGATAGTTTAAAAAGTGGGACAAAATTATTTCCTGCATAACATTTGTGATCTGAGGAGCTATCAGCATCGTAGCATGGTTTGAGTTCTTTGCTGCTGCTTCACTTTTGTTTGTTCTACATAAAATTTCTTCAGCTGTGTTAGCTGCTTAAGTGGAGAATGTGGGGTAAGTACATTTATTTTTGTTGTATGTCTCTTCTTCTGAACAGTTTGACATCGAGCCTTCAGAGAAAAAGATGCCAGAAAATTTTATGCAGCCACAGCAGAGAGGAATAGCCCATTTTCTATGGTCTGCTACTAGTGTTTTTAAGTGAGGAAGTTTAGAATTAGCAGTTCACAAATGTGGTTGGTTGTGCCTCCTCATGCTCTGTTGTGGAATTGGAAACTGCACAGGAAACACCTAATCATGCAAAGACTTGCACAGTTAACTTTATGTATTTTGAAGTCAATGGAACTATTCACAAGTATGTACAGTTAAGCGTGTGTGATTAGAGCTAAAGGGAGTTATTTTTACAAGAACGATATTGAAGTGATTATTGGTACATTTGCTCCATGACTTGTTCTAGAAATTTCAAGTGAGGTTTATCAAGAAAAACTACAAATTGTGAGTAACCAACCACTATTTAAAAAAAAAAAAAATCAAATGGAGAGTAGGAAATAAGGTCATCCATTTCTGTGTACCTCTAATGTATATAACTTCAGGAAATACTCCAACCCATTGTTAAAATTCTTTCAGCTGGGTCTAGAAAAAAGTTCAGATTAAACCTAACTGTTTTAAAATTTAGGTTTATGGCAAAACTAAGCTAGTTGTTGGATAATTTTTTTTTTTTTTTGCTATAACAAAATTGTTGCTATAACTCTTCTTTCCCCCTTTAAAAATATTTTAACCATTTGTTTCCTGTAATAAACTAGAGAAGATAAAAGATGCAAGAATGTAAAAATACTGTAAGATGACTCAATATTTTAAAAAAAACAAACAGATGTCAGGTTGTTCCTTCAATAGTGTTGGTCGTAGGATTGCGAAGAAGTTTTAGAATTCCTCCATAGAAAATCTGAGCATCTTCAGTCTACGCCATGGAATTTTTAGAAGTAGTAGTTTGGAAATGTTGTTGCAAAGATTAATGATTTCATGCCTCTGTGACTAAGCAAAATACACCATGTGTAGAATAGTTAGAGAGACAGTAAAAAAAGGCTCTAAAATGTCTCATACAGAAACTCTTAATGAACAAAACATCATATATGACAAAGAGTACAAAGACAAATTGGTCAAGGCAAGAAAATCCATATCTAGGTACCAGGGAGTACTGGTATTTGGAAGAATTATTTGGTGCTACTGAGGCTAAATAAACACAGAAGAGAAACTGGTTTGCGAGGAAATGTGCTAACCAGGGAATCAAAGGAATGAGGTGCTGCAGCATGGAGTGTGGGGATATCTATAATTGATATTTTGTCTGATTATAGAGATAAAAGAATTTTAAGCAATTGTAAAAATGGATGGTTAGAGCTACACTACAAAGTTAGGTTGACATAAGTCCACTTGTGTTGACTTAGTTATGCATGTGTCTACACTTATATTTGTCTTCTGCCGACTTAAGTGGCCTGTTACAGTGATACAGTAACAGCACCTCCCCGAGTGGCACAGAGCCATAGCCAAACTACTGAGGTCAATGCAGTGCAAATATAGACACTGCATTAATTGTGCCAACCTTAACAGTGCTCCAGCACCTGTCCAACAATGCCTCTGTCCTTGTAACAGTGACTGTTCTGGTCACAGTTTTGAATTCCCCAGCCCAAGGGTCACAGAGATTGGAATCCCCCCAACACCTTTTAAACCCCTCCACGTTTTTGAAATTCCTTTTCCTGATTGCCCACCTTGGTGAGCACACTTAGCACACCTTTTTTGTGTGTAGCCAACTGACCATGCCAGCTCCACACACAGAGAAAGCTACTAGATGTGCTCCTGCCTGAGGTAGGGAAGAAGTATTGGATCTCCTTGGCCTGTAGAAAGAAGACTATGCAAGCACGGCTCTGGACCACCCATAGAAACATGGACATCTATGGGCTGACTGCACAAGGAATGCTGGCAAAGGGGCATGACAGAGATCAGCAGCAGTGTCGCATGAAAGTGAAGGAACTACCCCAGGCATATTACAAGCAAGGAGGGCAAAAAACACGTTTTGTGCTGCCCACAGACCTGCCACTTTTACAACAGATTGCATGCCACATTTGGCAGTGACCCAGCCTGAACCCTGCAGTCAACTGTGGACATCTCAGAGAAGTCTGAGATGGAGATCTCTGCCATGAACCATGAGGAGGAAGCAGGAGCGGGAGAGAGACAGGAGGGCACTAAAACTATGCCATGAACTAGGAACTGTTTGAAACTCTGCAGCCGTCTAGCCAGGTGGGTCACCGATGAAAGGGAAGAGAGCTTGGGTAACTGCGTATATGCATTATTCCTTGCCATTTTTTTTCCTTTCCCTTTCCCTCATACCTCATCTCCCTTATCCCACCTCATGGTCTTTGTTCTCCATTGAAACATGGCTTCAGCCCATTAACAGATTAAGGCACAAGGATCGACTTTTCATTGCTGTACTGGTATAA